CAATCAGACTCTGTGCCACCCTGCTGAGATGGGGTTCCTGGAGCGCACAGCATGGAAGCTCTTCAACACACCAGGAAGAGACCCGTTCGTGGACAAATCGCCCAAGCTACTCGCCACACCCTCCATGACCTTGATCTCCAAGTTCTCTTTGCCCTCCAATGAGCCTTCCCGATCGTCTTCTGCCAGCTCATTCTCTTCATCCTCGTCGTTTTGGACGTCACCAGCGCCATCGCGATGGCCAAGATACTTACCCTCGAGCGTTCGCAACACGGTCTCCAAGAGACAAATTGCTGTCGTGGTCTGTTTGCTGCTGGCTCTCCTCATCTGGGTCATACCACAACCGCATACATGGCGGCGTCGAGTGATCCACATCACGGTACAGCAACAGGTCGCGAACCCATACCAAGTTTTACGCCCCATCTCAGAGGCGATTCCTACGAAGAGGAAACATGCTCCTGATCCAATGCACTGGCTAGAGCAGAACTCGAATAACAAGCACGCGGAGAACACTGGACTGGGTTTGCTGAAGTCGGTGCCGTCGTTCGGTCATCACTCTGCCAAACCGAGAGCTGCTCTCATCAGCTTGGTGCGCAACTCTGAGCTGCCTGGTTTGATGCAGAGTATGCGACAGCTGGAATTTCAATGGAATCGGAAGTACAATTATCCGTGGATCTTCTTCAACGATGAGGCGTTCAGTGATGAGTTCAAGGTATGTCAATGCATTCGCCTCCGAAAGAACAAAGCTGATGTGAAGACAGGCCGCTACGCAAAACCTCACTTCTGCCAAATGCTACTACGAAGTTGTGCCAAAAGAGCACTGGTCCCTGCCCGACTGGATCGACGAGGGAAGATTCATGAACAGCTTGGAGTACCTGGGCGCTATCGGTGTGGGCAAAGGATGGATGATCAGCTACAGACACATGTGCCGTTGGAATAGTGGATTCTTCTACAAGCATCCACGGCTCAAGGATTTCGACTGGTATTGGCGGGTTGAGCCGGATGTATGCTAGAATCTTTCCATCAAGACCGTTCATACTGACATGCTCTCCGCTAGGTCCACTTCTTCTGCGACATTGACTACGACGTCTTCCGCTTTATGCGCGATAACAACATGAAGTACGGTTTCAACATGAACATCCTCGATGACGCTCGATCCTTTCCTTCCCTCTGGTCTCGCACCCGTTCGTTCATCAACGCCCATCCAGAGCTGATACACCCTGATGCCGACTTGGACTGGCTGCTTGACTCCCACAATAGCGGAGACTACAACAATTGCCAATTCTTCTCCAATTTCGAGATTGGGGACCTTAACTTCTTCCGCGGCGAAGCGAATGAAAGATACTTTGACTGGTTGGATAGAGGAGGAGGCTTCTACTATGAGCGGTTTGGAGATGCGCCTATACATACTTTGAGTGTGGCTATGTTCGTGCCGAAGAGCGAGATATGGTTCTTTAGGGATATTGGGTACCAGCATGACATCAACAGGTCAGCCTCTGCATGCCAAAGCCTTCTGCATTTCCGCCCATGTCTCTAGCTGACAGTGATGCACCCTAGGCACTGCCCGCCACAATCCTCCCACCGCTGCTCCTGCGATCCAACCCCAGTCGACGAGAATTTCTACCGCCTCGTCCCTCTTGAATCCCCACAGAAAAAGCCAGATGATACCTGCATTCGCCAGTTCCTGGGCGGACATTGGCTCGACAAGAAAGATGCCTGGTCTCAGGAAGTTGAGAGAGCTTTTGGTGGAGATGGATATCAGGGATATGTCGCCGGAGGATTGGGTTAGCTGGTTCCAGGCTTCAGAAGCAGCTGTCATACGTGGCTGACAGGATACTAGAGGTTCTAAGGTATTGCATAGTAACGTCATTTGGCATGGATACTACTGCGAACGTTTACTTAGAATTGGCAGCTTGGCACCATTACTTTAGCATCTTCAATGACAAGTCTTCGAATGCGACAGGAACCTACCACCCAGAAGGGAAAGAACCCTTTTCTCCAACAAATACCATCTGGTTCCCGGAACCAACACAGATCATGTGCATACCAATCGCGTCCGGCTGGCATGTCTCCTACGCCAAAAAGAACGCTGGCCCAAGGAGAAGTAGCATGCAATATACCATCACAGTCTTGCGGCTGGTCTCATCTATAGCCCTTGGCAAAACCAACTTGGATGACTTGGCGGCTTCATGCAAGTGCACATCTCGACCGATTCCTTCCCATTCCTGCCAGTAGGATACACGCTTCCGGCCTCTTCCCCTAAACCTGTCTTGATTTTCTGGTAAATTTCCCTCGGGTGTTCGATGATGGGTCCGGTTGTCGTGATCATTTCGACTGTAAGATGGGGGGTATGAGTTTGTAAAGCCGTGGAAGAATGGGTGATGAGTCGGAGATCTCCAGATGTAGAGGGTGGAATGGGCGGGGGAGATCGCCTGGTGGGAGAAGGACACAGAGGCTTGGGAGCAAGAATTGTGGAAGCGCTGTGTAAGGTTCGTAAGATAGACATGTTTGCTTGAGGAGCTCAGGGGTTGAAGGGGCGATTTTAAGTGGTAGATGGATTGTCGTGATTGCGGAGGTCGATGAGAGAGTGCATGCAGGTTCCGGGGGTTTTCACTTCATTATAGTTGTTGTGGTTCAGAGGTAGTGGATATGATGTAGGTAAATTAAAGGGGGGTACTTCATAGATATCAGGCGCCTAGACTAAGCAGGACAGAAGTGCGGGCGGATGAAGATCGCTGTCAGAGCTAGCGCAACGATGCTACATTTCGAAATAGTGAATCGCCTTGTCACCTGCCAGGATGATGCAGTTGGTCCAAGCCCAACACCATTGTGTGGAGTTGGGCGCTCCTGAGTTGGTTCGATTCCATCTCACTATTTCGATGGTTCTACACCTCGACCGGGTCACAGGATGTACGCTTCGGGCGGACAAGCGGGAAGGCCGGCTTATCTGTTGGCCCGGATGGATTGCCCTAGCCAAGCACTTCATTAGATTCCCATCTGACGGAGGTTCCCATGTTCTTGGGCGTGAACATGGTGAGGTGATGTGTCAGTTGAGAGAGGTTTGGTTTTTCGTTTTGCCTTCTTTCATAGTTGGTAGTTGATCGGTTCGAAGGCAGGATGTGTGAATGATGCTGCTGGTTTTATTTTCTTTTTCTTTCCATTCAATCTTCCTGCTTCGCTTAGTCGTCGTGACGTCCACACCACACGAGGTCTGATATGCATTTGCGGCTGCTTATCCCTTTTCCACCCATGCATTCAGATACCTTACCTGGGCGAACTGTATTTAGTTTACTTGTGGAGTCTGTGCTCTGACAGCCCTTATGCCATCAAAGCCAGTTCGAGTCGAACAAATGATACCCCGGCATGTTTTCCTGGCAGGCAGTTCAGGTCACTGCTTCAAGCTCTTTCTTACAGTTACATTCATATACTGGCCATACTGCATTGTTGTTTCTTAATTCTCAATGCCACAGTGTCGTGCATGACTTCCGAGGCTCGAATCTCGCTTTCCATGCTCCAGTACCTGAATATCATCAATGGTGCTGGCCAACATCATCACGACAGTCAAATCAAACATCGTCGCAAATATCACAAATCAATGCCTCATGTTCAGAGCTAAGGGATGCCAAAACTCTGGCAGTAGTGGCAACTACGGTCAGGGCAAACGCTAAGAGGGCGTAAACACATCCCGAGCGCCGACAATCAAAGATATGGGAATTCTATTGGATATGACAACGCTCGACGAAACGATCTCTTTCTTGGGAGTCTTGCACACAAAAGGCAATAATATAGTCTTCACATTGACGATGGTAGCAATGATGGACAGTCGTTGGAGAAAGCACGCGAATTAGAGTGCCCGTAGCCGCCCTTCTGCCAAGCTTCTCTCGTAGCCGCGCTAGGCGAGGCCTCGTGTCTCACTGCCAGCATCTGCTGTCCCTTTCTTACGTATATTGTGGTAGCTACGACGCACACGAATGCTTTGACACGAGAAAGGGTAGTGATGCACTCGATGAGCGCCAAAATCAGCAGGCGAGTTACCAGAAGAAGTGGCAGTCTCAAGCGCCCAAATTATGGTCATGAAGCCGAAAGTCTTCGCCGTCATGACAGAGATGAACTTAGACAGAGCGTTGTGCCAAATTTTCCACGTATTTGGGATCCGTACCGCAACAACTGCAAAGTTGCAGTTGCAAACTTTTCTCGCAGCATGTCTGGCAGTCCAGATAGACAAACAGCAGAATTAATCCCAGAGTATCAGCTAGTATCCTGTTTATCCAACAAATCTTCGAAACCTATACCCTTCTTATCGAAGTAAAAGCTCGACGGGTACCAAAATCGTCAGCGTGACTCACCGCTTTTAGTGCGCGATCGCGGGACGCTTGGGAGCTATTTTCGTCACATCAACAATGCCGATCGAGTTCGTATTCAGAAATCCCCCCGCATCTCATGTTCAACGACAACTCTCAGCCGACCTACGCGAATGACCAACTTGAGTACGGAGGGTCGCATGGAACATCGATGTATGAACAAGTATATGTGTACGTCAGCGGCCTTCCTTCCTCATTCATCAATTTCAACCACTGCAGCGATTCGAAGACACGATGTCTTTCATCAGATGTCTTCAAAAGTGTGCCATCGGCTACCCTAGCACTCAACCAATCCGTCTTCTCCTTTTTCTCTTCGACCTTGTCAGCGTCATCTGCTTCAGCGTTCGTTTTGAATTGGTCCAAAGATGGGTGTCTACTTACGGCGAAGTACAATATCATGACAACTTAACGACTGCGGCTTTGATCGCTATTGTCCGTCTTCCAGACTTCCCACCCTCCTAGATCTATGCTCTGCTTACATGCTTCTATGTATAGCTCATGCTCTCACTCCCCTGGACGCTATACGTTCTCCTGCGGCCATCATTCACTACCTCGAGCCTCCACCCCGTCTATCACGTCTGCTGCGAACTCCTATGTTGGGTTGCGCTCTTCGCCTGTGCTACCACGAGCTCGTTAGACAATATGAATGCTTTATGGGATGTCACAGGCTTCAAGTGCGAAGGACAAGGTTTTGCTCAACCAGACTGCACGAGCGCATACACTAAGATACAGAGTCTGAGATATGTAGCTTGTGCGTTTGCTTTCGTGGTAGTGTAAGCTCTCTATCTATTTTAGGCAGGGAGACCTAACACCGTTGGCTAATGCTCGAGTAGAATCCTGCATTTCATCCTCTTTGTGATTGCCTTGCGAACCAGTGGCTACTCGGAGGCTGCGAGAAGAAGGATATCTCAATGGATACCTACTTTCATCAAGACACTCGCCCGTCGCCTCAATTCCCGAAGCGATGGCCAAAGCAATCTCCTTGGCATCCGCATCCCACTTCTCTTACTGGAGCTCATCAGCATCATCCTTTGGGCCGTTTTGTTCGCACTTTACCGCAAATGGATACCCAACACCCGGGGCTTGGGTACATATTTTTTAAATGGGGAGTGGGAGCCACCCTCAGGCTTCGACATCAGCATCACTGTCATGCTCGCATTGGTAGGTCCCTGATGTACGCCAATTATCCAATACCACTGTTCTGACAAAGTATCACACCCAGGTCATTGCCTGCTTCTTCTGGACCCTCGTTGTTTTTCTTCGGCCTCTAATCACGGCCTCTCAGGTTCGTAATGGGTACCATATCGTTCTGGAACTCCTCTGCTCGACCCTCCTCCTTTTATGCGGTATAGTAGCATTCTGGTGGAACGACATGATCAGTTTGAGACATTCTGTCACTTTCAATGAACAGTGCATCACAATCGGGCCCCCGATCCCTGGCGAAGATCAAGATGGACCCGTGCAGTGTGAACCCCATATGAAGGCGTTGCGAGGATTGAAGTTTTTGGCCCTGGTCTTTGTGTACTTGATGGCGTAAGTAGGGTCTCCTTCACATGATGTGATAAGTGGCTGATGGACGCCAAATCTTGATCTAGATTGCTGCATCTTGTGCTTTATGTATTCGCCTGTCGAGCGTGCTACAAGAGAAAGCGGGAGAAGAATCATGTGTACGCGATTGGGTCGGAAGTTGAGTTGCCCATTGTGACTCGCTCGGCAACGGACGGGCTGGCTGCGGAGTTGAGCAGGAACCGGAGTGAAGAGCGAGTGTCAGAGGCTGTTCCTGCATAGTGGGGCAGTCAGATGATAGTCAAGCGTGTCTTTGACTATTCTAAATGCTAGATTCAGAACCATATTGTTCGCAACGTCATATGTACGATTCCTAAATATACTCACTAGCTCTCCTACGTCTCTCACTCCTCATCTTCATCCCCTTCTTCGTCATCCGCAGACTCTTTATCCAACCCATCTTCGCGAAACATAGCCACGTCGTAGTCTCACGCTCGGGTCCACACATCTTTTTGGGAATGTTCTTCCCAACGAGCGTTGAACCCAGGTCAAATTCCTTCCTGTCCGCATCTCCAAAGTCTTCACTAAAGCTCTCTCTACATGTTCTTCGGGCAGCCCACCCCTCCCTTTCAAGGTTTTCAGGCATGTTTGAAGACAACTTGAAGCTTTTGTAAGCCGTCCATGCTTTCTCGACCACCCCAAAGTCGCCAAAAGGGGTAAGAGATAATGGAGCACGGTGCCCTGATCTGGTTCACGACCTCCCTTGCAGATCCACACTTCTCCTGCGGAAACAGCACTCTCCTCGACATCTCCCGTTGCCCCAATTCATCACAGCTCTTGCCCCGCATGTAGAGTCATGCTGATCAACGCGAGCACGGTCCTCCCCCATTCTTTCACCATGTTTTTCTCCCTTGGCATCTCGTAGAACACGCAGCCTTTGAGGAGCTCAAAGCGGTGGGGGCGGGTGTCCAATCGGCTCAATGTATGTTCCGCATCGGACGAGGCGGCGTATGAGATTAAAGTCGTAGTTTGAGGGGGTCTGGACGGAGCGGGAGACGCTGCAGCGGGCCAGGGGGCAGCATAGAGGATGCTGTGGCCTTTGATTAGAGGATGGGGCGAGTGAGGGAGGGAGGGAGGCGGATGCGAGGGCGTATAGTTGACAATTGCGCACGCTTTGAGCTGAGGATTCGGCCAAGGTAAAGGTTGACGCGTAGAAAGGTTGGACTCGGTGGAGCAATACTCGCGTTTGCTAAGCGCATCACGCGCGGTCACGTGCATCGCATTCCTCTTCTGAGACCTATTAATTGTAACGACGATTATCTGTTCAGAGATCTGATGAGAGTAACTACAGATAACGCTGTCACACGTACACTGTAATGTCGATTCGTTAATCTTACAGTATTCACAGAGCTTTCTTCGAAGCGGCGCCCGCCTGTACTCGTACTGCACCCTATTGAGTTGTATGGCTAAGAGGGTCGGGAGGGTCGAGGGAAGGTGGAGAATGAGAAAACGGCCTCTGTTAGTCGTATTCTTTTGGCAACGGTCAAGTAACGCCTGGTGTATCGGACGGACTCGGCCATTCTGAATATGCAGGATGATATCATAGGAACATTGGCGGCTGCCAACATGAGGCTGAGCAAGGATTGACATCTGACTATGACTCGCTCGCTTTCTTTATCCACCAGGTATCCATCTCTCCCTGTCCAACCTTCAAGCGCTGCATTTGCCAATCTCAAACCTAACAACGGCTTGATCAATCCATCCCACCATGGATCCTGCCTCATTTTCCTTCGCAGTAGTCGGCATGTTTTTCACATGCGCAAAAGGCTATAAGATCTTTTCAGACGCTTACAAGGCACCAGCGGATGCCCAGAAAGCAGCTCGAGATGTGCTGATTGAAGGGTGTACTCTAGAGGTTTGGGGCGAGCACTTTGAAATCCATCAAGCGAAAGAGCAGCGAAGCGAGAAGCTCAAAATCCATCTGCTGAGGGGACCCATGTTGTATGGTTGCTTTGAGGCCCTTTGCGCCATATCCGAGATCTTTACGGACATCAAGGGGTTGGACAAGAAATACGGCATCTGTTTCAATTATCATACGAAAGGTGATAGAGTAAGTGGGCAGTCTGTAGCATTACAGCAGCAGGGCTCATGAATTATAGAGTCCGCATATACCTCGAAATGTTCGAGCTCTACTGGAGGGGCGTGATCCGTCACGGAGTCCATCACCAGCAGAGCGAAACGAAAAGAACGGAGAAATGGATCGGAAAGTCCATGACTACAACAACAAGATGTCGCTTCTTCAGAAATGTCGATGGAGTTTGAAAGGCAAAGGTCATGTTGAAACACTCCTCAAGGATCTCAGAAAGTACAATGATGATCTTGTTCGTCTTTGCACGTGGGAGGCGCAAGCACAAATAAATCGGGGTTTACCTACCTTTGCCTTACCACAGTGCAAAAACTTCCTCGATCTGCATTTCATGGCCGACTCCGCCCAGGATGCTGCTAAAGACAAGTCCTCACCAATGGCCGATGGTCGTGAAAGGATTGCGGAAATGGCCAGGTTCAAAGCGAAAGTGGTTACACCTGCTCAAGTTTCTAAGCGGTTCCGAGCCCGTTGGCGTCTTCTTGATAAAAGGGACTATGTTGTGAAAACATCTGGTCCTCGGACGCTTGCAATCTCTCGGCAGGATCAGCAAATAGTGTTTGTTGAGTGGCAATCCTATATTGGTCATGCAGGTCGACCTAATAAGCTCGCCGAGGAACAAATCCAGCAACTTGGAGACTTCCTCAGTGTCCCCGATCGTCCACATGACTTCCGTATACTAGACTGCATCGGACTGTTTAAGGATGAACCAAATTCTCGATACGGTGTGGTGTATCACCTGCCCTCGTATATGCGCGATCTCGCGCGCCGCACTCGCCCTGAAAACCTCGGGCACGTCTGCAAACCAAGTTCATTGACCCATCTCCTGGACAATGTTGATGCTATACTTGACCTCGGCTTTCGCTTCGATCTAGCAAAGAAGCTCGTGTACAGTATCGTTGTGCTGCACACCTGCGGCTGGTTGCATAAGAATATCCGCTCCAACAACATCTTTTTCTTCCCAGCTCGACCAGCTGACAACAAGAGCTTTGAGAACCGCCGAAAGGACCTTGGCCGTCCCTATATCATGGGCTATGGGTTGTCGAGGCCTGATGACGTTGTCCAATCAAATGAACACGATGATCGTGGGCCGCAGCACTACTCAAGGAGCCCTGAGGTCCAAAGGTCAGGTGGCTTTATTAGTAGACGGGTTGAGGTAGGAAAAACAGCCGATCATGATAAACTTCTGGTTCGCCCATCTAGGTCTCATGAATGGGGCTCCGACGCCGATGAAAAGCCTCAATTAAATATCTATCAACACCCGGACAAAATGGCAAACCCCGCCCGTCGCTTCCGACACAGCTACGACATATACTCACTAGGTCTGGTGCTCTTGGAAATTGGACTGTGGCAGAGTCTTCAGACGTTTGAGAATGGCCAGTGGGACGATGCCTATGCTTTTCGACACTTTGTGCTCACTAAGCTGGTTCCTGATCTATGGGGCCAGTGTGGATCGATTTACGGCGGTGTCGTGAAAGATTGCTTGAAGATGTCGAGCGATATCGGTCTGGAGGATGAAGAGGGACGAAGATTGGCTTGGAGTATCGCTGAGAGGTTGAACTTGTGCAATGCATGAGAACGTCGTTATGAATCATCCAACAAGTGTCGCTGTTCCTAGCCGATCAAGCTCAGGGTGGTGAGGCTTATATTTGAAGCAGAGATCGAGAACTCAGATGCAATGAAGAAGGCGAGCAGGTAGATCGGACGCTTCTTGGAAAGATGCCCGCGATATTTATCTTGCTGTTTGCGCTACCTTTGTCTCGAGAAGACAGAACGGACTACACAAGGAGCCATGCGTATACATCATTGCTGGCTTCCTGCCACTACAGTACTCTAAACCTCTGTTCTTGTGAACATGTGAATGGCAATAAAAATGACTAGGATACCCTTGTTACCCCTATACCCGAGGCTTCTTGCAGACGTAGAGAGTGTTTTCGGCACATGAAAATCCTTACATGCCAATACTGTCACTGATGCCTGGGTGGTGCATCGTTTGGGATTATGCCAAATCGGCGACAGTAATCGCAGACACTGGGGTATTACTTTCTGCCTCATGTCATAAAGACCATTTAAGATGGGCAGGGTATCGGTAGGACAGAGAACGCGTGAATGAGCTTCTGTCTTCAAGTAATTTCAGAAGATTCGCTGATATCTTAAACGGCGCAAGTCTAAAGTAGGGCACATCACCATAAAAACACAGTACCTAAGTGATTGGCCATGGCTTGGAGAGTAGGTAGCCGTCCTAGACGCGTAGCGCGCTTACCCTCAGCACCTTTGGAGCTTTCAACTTCTGAGCTTCCTCAAATTCCAAACCTCACTTTGCACCTCAGTTGAACATTTGGATCACGACTGAAACCCTAACCGTTTCTTCCGGAACTCAGCATCATGGAAAAGCTACCTGTGGAAGTACACACGCTCGTTGCCAAACAAGTAAGTCAGTCAACCGGGTGATTGATTTGTACTGACGAAAAAGGTCACATCGCGCAATGATCTTGCGTCTCTACGCGGCGTCTCAAAACACTGGAGAGATGTCACTTCTCCCGTTCTATTCGAGACCTTGGTCATCGAAACAAATGAATGGCGTATGGGAAAACTAGACTGGAGGCCTTACGACTCTTTGAAAGAAACGACGTTCGAGTGCCTCCATTTGGTCAGGCATTTCAAGATACATGCAGTCTTCCATAGCAGACTCGAAGATCGTTGCCCTCACGGCGTTTTTCCAGGAGGCAAATATGAGTGGGAAGAAGATGGTGTTGACGCGTTGAGAATCGAGATGTTGCCCTTACTAGCGCAGCTCAAACCTAGGGCTCTCCGTAGCTTTCGGTACGCTTCTCCTCGAGGACATTCAAGTTCTTGCTGACCACAAATAGTTGGGATCTAGGGTGTTGTATGCCCAAAGAAATACTTGGAGTTGATGGCCATCTACAACGAGAGCAGCCGGAGATCGAGTCACTATCCCTCAATACAGGAGCTCCGACCGACAGAAACTTTGTGTTTAAAGATGGAGACTACACCATTCCACCACCAGCGCCTCTGATGCTTGATGGCTTTCGACGTCTTCGAAGCTTCTCCTGGACAGGTGCTAGACTGGCATCAGAGTTAGAGTCCTTGCGTGTCTTTCTTGCGGCAAACAGAAGTATCCTCGAAACGCTGGAATTGGACTTCATTGATCGGAATTCAGTGAACCATGCCTGTCAAACACGGCTGGCGAGTGACGACCCCCGCGTGTTTACTACACACGTCTTACCTCTTTCGCCAGATCCATCCATCAACTCCTTTCCCGCGCTTACCACTCTCTCGCTCTCGGCCGTCTGTCTGCCGTTGAACCTTGATGCGACCGTTTTGGCATTCGACTTCGGCCGACTACGCGCTTTGAAAATCCACAGGTGCAAAGACACACACCTTCTACTACGAGCTATCGTCCATGCTGCCCAGTCCCTCAAGCTCGAATCCCTAGACCTTATGATGGAGGACTTCGCTACCAAACAGGATTGGGGAGGTTCAGGCTTGACAGCATTTCTACAGTCGTTCAACAGCCTCCAGCAACTGTACCTCTCGATTACGCCATCAGGGGAGATAACGACAGAACAATATTTCGAGTCGATACTATGCCATGCGTCGACCATGAAGAGACTAGTGTACCACGAAATGGCCTTCTATCACCCGGAGTCTGAATACCCGACTCAAGATAAAAATCTGACTCTCGCAACCCTAGATTTGGGCTACGGTTCGACAGGGGCGATGCACCGTTTTATGCAACAGTCAGGTCTTGAGAGCTTGGGATGCTGCGACTCGCTCTCTCAGCTACGACAAATACTGGAGTCTTGCACCTCTACGCAGAGCTTGAAACTTCTCCATATCAGACGTTCGAAGTATGGTTTTGAACCATTGCTCCGAGACGACATGATTCAATGGACCGTGAAGGGGGTTGTTGAGCCCGTGGGGCCGGAGAATCACTCGGCGCAAGCCATCGCGAATTTTGAGCTGTTCGACTTCGTCCGGTGGGCTTTCGGTTCCAGAGGTTTATCGAAGCTCCGGATCTTGGCGTTTGGAGACTTTTCCTATGATGGCCGCTTCGGGGACAAGCGCCTTTTGTTCTGCAGGCAGCGTATAGGTTCACCCCATGGATTTCGGCTGGCATCAAGGGAAAACGTGATCAGTCTGGGCGGCATCGATGAACCTTTTGACTTCCTCTGCGCTTGTCCTAATGACCCGCTCTATCCAAAATAGCATATTTTTCAGTATTGGCTTCGGAAATGGGGTGTTCTTAGAGCCGTGTGCGCATCAGATACTTCCCAAAATGATCTGGAGGCCATCACACGGAATTAGAAGAAAACGTGCCTTTGGATGTTTGTATCGAGTGATTGCTCAGCCGCCTGTGCAGAAAACGGGACTGTTATTGTTTCAGAGAACGAGTAGAAATGGACTGCATGGAATGTGACATGGAAAGATGCGATCTTGTTTGCAAAGTAGATCATAGGGGCTCCTTCGGAGGGCGCCATCGCGACAACACGCCCTCGTCATCACCGTGCTGTGACGGCACTAGCGGGCCGTTCAAGTTCTCGCACTTTCGCGTCGACGCTTCTTCTTAGTGATCTTCAGGATGTGCGGATATTCCCAAGTGCGCAACTAGGAGAGACGGTGCATAGCTATACCAGCAAATGAGGTGAAGACAAAAACTTATCAAGTACACATTCTTCCATAGATTGAAAATTTTCACATGAGTCTCCCACTAAAGCCTCCTACTGAAATCTCTCATACAAATCTCATACATACCTCCTTCTTTTGGTCTGCAGTCCTGTGCAGCGGGCAATTGCTCCAGCCAACAACCCTCTTGCAATCCTTCCTAGGTATCGCTTTGGGATCATCAATTCATCCTTTGCTGTTCTTGGTAAGTCTCTGCTGAGTCCCAGCATTCTCTCTATCATGCGGCTTCATCTCCACGCTCGTTCTCTTAGAGGCCACATATTCGTCCCCTTCCACCTCCCACTTCTTAGTATCTTGGTAGCAAGGTACACACGCGTAAGAGCCTCTCAAGCACGTGCGTATCCTCGTCGCCTAGGTTTGATTCTTCTGTAGCAATCCCCCAGTAAGATTCGCCATCGTTTGCTGGTTCAGCTTGGTTTGCGGCATCCACTAGAGGCCTATGACTCAAAGAAGTCATGTCGGGTTCTGTAACGTTGGTAGGAAATACAGCTCCTCAGCTTTATTGACAAGTCCGCTCCTCGTGTTTGATTCGCTGTCGATCTTCAGGGGAAGAAGGGGGGTTTCTGTATCCCCTAGCATGATGACTGGATTGTCCGCGTCCGTAGGACATGAAGCTATTGGGTTGAAAAACGTTGAGATTCAGATTTGCCGGTAAGAACATTGTACTATCGTGACTTATATATGATTTGTTGACTTCATGACCTATGTGACTGCACTGGCTGCTGATCACCGTGAGAGTGTGTAGATTTGGAGTTTGGGCTTCTGGGACTTGGGGAAGGCGCGAGCATCTCCCTTGCTGGTTCTAGCATCCATTTCTATTCCCGTTTCCTCCGGGTCTCTGACTCTCGAGTTGGAGCATACATGGCTAGTATCCCACGGTGAAGGACTGAGAGAAGAAGTACGTGTGCTGAGGAGGAAGATGAATCGGACCTTGGCATACCCCACAGTCAGCAGATGGAATATCAGGACAGGACTGGCAAAAAAAGAAGGCAAGCCTTTGGGGCTTTAGATAAAGCTTTATGGTGAGTCAGTCTCCAGCATGACTGACCCATGCAGGGGCTTGGAGAGAGAGGTACGGGGGGGTTGGGAATTACTTTCAGGCAGTTCAATCCATTGTGTGGAGGAGCATGATTTGCTTGACACATGTGTTCACTTCGCTTCATGATCAAATAATCTAGAAACGTAGCTAGGACCTTAGCAAGTAAAACTGCTACTTGAAAAGCAAATTCGCTCCTCGCGGTCACGTGACCATCCACTAGCGCGCCGCTAATGCGAATGACCTTCGCACTCACTCACTTCTCTTCCTTCTTTCCTCAAGACACTGACCACGGCCAAAGCAGCCACACTGCTTTCAGCTTTGATTAAATCTTCTTCCTTGGCTCACCAGGGGAACTGCGGTCTACGAGGGGAAAAAGAGCCTCCGGGCTCTGGTGCGTCGGTGCGTCTTCACTGGGCGGTTTTGCCCCCAGTTGTTGAAAATTTACAAATCTTCCACATCTGTGGAAGTCGGACCTCCGGGTTCGGGTGTGTCTACACTGGGGGATTGACCCCCAGCTGTCAAAAATTTACAAATCTTCCACATCTGTGGTAGTCGGACCTCTGGGTTCGGGTGTGTCTCCACTGGGCGGTTTTGCCCCCATCTGGTAAATATCTACAAATCTTCCACATCTGTGGTAGTCGGACCTCCGGGTCCGGGTGTGTCTCCACTGGGCGGTTTTGGCCCCAGTTGCTAAAAATTTACAAATCTTCCACATCTGTGGTAGTCGGACCTCCGGGTTCGGGTGTGTATCCACTGGGCGGATTGACCCCCAGCTGTTGAAAATCAAACTTTCCTCTCTCGTGGTATCAGGGTCCTTTGGACTCGCTGGTTCACCGCTGCAGCTCACTTTGGCTCAGGCTGGTACCATTCCCCTGATGTCTTCAATGACAGCACAATCTGTTGGTACGCTGGCTGAGGATTGCAGCAGTTCTCCCAAGGTCATGCCGAGCTCAAGACGCGCGCTCGAGAGCGAGATGAGGACAACCTAAAGCTCAAAGCGGAGAATGAAGCACTCGGACAAAAAAGGTTACCCGTTGAAAAAAAAAAAAAAAGGGGGGGGAAAAAAAAATTAAAAAAAGGGGGGGGGAAAAAAAAAATTTAGGAAGAGGGGGAAAAAGTTTAAAAACCCCCCCCCCCCCCCCCCCCACATTAGAAGGAAGAATCAGAGACCGGGACGCACAAATCACAGCCGCGGTGAATAGGGACTGGACAGCTGTGCAGCCGCACCTGGATAACGTTCTAAGGGAGACCAATGTTGTTCTGGTCCAGCAGCGAGACGTGCTTATGAAGGATCTGGACCAAGCCCATAGAAAGAACGATGATCTACAAAAGCTGACACAGGGTCTCATGGAAAAGCAAGAAGACTCAGAGTCATCTAATGTTGCAAAACTGGAAAAGGAGCAGCAAGAGCTTGTTCAGCTCCGAGTGAGGGTGTCGGCATTGGGAAAAGCAGCCGAGCAGGCTGATATCCAGAGGAAGCGACTCGAACACGTCCGAAGGGCGGAGAACCGGGGAAGGGAATTAAAGTTCGAGCCTGGAAACGACAAGCTCCGAGCCAAGGCTAAAGCTCTCGAGCTTACATGTAACGACATGAAACCTAAGATCGCGAAGCTACAAGCGGTAGTACAGAGAGCTCGACGGACACGCGAGGCTTTTGTGCACCGCTGGGACGAGATCAAGCGTCTCACCTACTCTACCCACAAGGAGCAGCAGCTACTTGCAGCATTAGCAGAAATCGTGAACGAGGAACTTTTGGAGTGAAAATGGAAATGCGAGTGCTCAGCTGAACAAAACCCAAGGGTTCAAAGATAGTTCGACTACGCTGTCTGGGCCAAGTCTTCCATTTCGGTCTCATCCTTTACATGCTAATGGCTGGCGTCTTTGTAGTCCCACCTTCGCTGTCTACTTCTGCGACCTCGAGAAACAAAAACAAGGTCTTCTACATGCCTCCACTGAACGGCTTGTAGAAGACCTTGTTGACCACTACTAGAGCAACTCCCAAGCTAACTTTCGTTAGTAAGCTCAACTCAGTACTCGTCTCCATTCTCAGCAAGAAATGCCACACAACTATCCCACCGTGATCACTGAGATCATTTTCTCCTGCCACCGTGTCCTCTTGCCACACCAACCTATCGGTTTGCGAGAACAATATGGCTAGTCTAGGCCGACTTTCAGAAGAGGTATCTGACTATTTGGCCGATCAGATAATCTCGGCCAAGACGAAGAATCTGAAGAGCACCATGTGCGCGGAGTTCTCGAACATACTTCACCTACGTTCGAAGACCATGAATGCTGCGAATTTTAAAAGCCTGACAAATGTGACGCGGGAGACTCTGCTACGGTTTCTTGACTGGATCGCGCTTATCATCATCCTCAAGACGCCAATCATCGATACATTACCTATCGGATGGCAGGAGACCCTAGAGTTCCGCCACACATCTGTCAAGTGCTTGACACAGATCGAAGGCCTCGAGGTATCGTCATCAAACTCATATGACGAGAAGCGAAAAAAGCCAGGGTCGAACTGGATCAGTTCCGTCGGAAGAAAACCGCTTCGGAAAAGTTCGTTGGAGCCCAACTACCCCTATTCTAAGGCAACCTCAACAGGTCACCGGAGTGAGTCAGGTTCTCATCAAGAGGACTTGGTACGTGATACAAGGTTCAGACAACGAGGCCCTGAATCTTGTACTGGAAGTAAAATTCTCGGACGAGAATGCGAAACCGACTGTGGGCTTGCCAATCGTCAAGATTGATAAGACGAAGATGAAGACTGTGCAGTTGCAAGCGAAGATGTTGGCCTTGGAAGAAGACGCAGCGCTGGAAGCTTTGCGTTCTCGACAAGTTGACCGAGATCCAAACAAAGGGTACGTTTCCCGAGATATGAGGAAGCATTGACTCACGCTTATAGGCCCGCTGATAGCAAAGAGTCCATTCGCAGCGCGCTAGTCGAGGTTCTGGACAGCCTCATGGAAATGACTCACTACAACCTAAAAAAGCGCTACATGGACGATTCCGCCGCATTTTTGCGACATCTGCTCTTCGAGCGTAGAACACTGAGATCCAACAACGTTTTGAAGATCCGGAAAATCATATCACGGCTCCCAAAAGCAAGCCACCAGCACAAAGCAAAGAAATCGGCTAAGAACGCATCGGCATATGACACCTTGCACAAACTGTATGTTGAAGATTCGAGCAGTGAGTTTCGCAAGAAATTCGAAGAACAAGACCGCATCGCGAACTTGCGGGTTGCCGAATCGCAGCAAACTGTGAACAAGCTCAGGCAAAAGTTCGTCGACCTTGAGCGGTCTCGTTCGGCCATTAAAGCAGGGTACTCTATTCACAAGCCAAAAAGCCAAGCCGAGGACCAAGCACAGGAGCTTGAGAATGCTCTTACCGAAGTAGCTCGACTACCTCAAGCTGTTGAAGAGCAATTTCAGACTATTGAAGAGCTGGAGCAGCTGCTGATGAGTACCGTAAGTTCCAATAAGAAGCTTGTTTCTGGGGAGGTTCAGAGTCACCGTTGCATGACACTCAGATGGCGCTTGCAAACGAGCACGTCGGAGATCCTGCAGCACAGCCTTCTTTAGTAGATGGCCCTGTTCAAGAGGATTGGACATCTTCAACATTCGGGGATCAGCTGGAAGTACCAGGAGAGGACATCGACGAGCTCGAAGCGCAATACTCGGCTAAGGACCAGATGCGTGGAAAAGAAGCCACGTTGGAAAGCCAGCTCGGCGATCTCAGAACAGAGAACGCTGAGCAAAGAAGAAACGAACTTCTAGTCTAAGAACAAGACAAGAAATGGTGCAAACTTTTCGAGGAATTCATGCAGCGGGCAGCAGATGTGCAACGCAAGGATGCCTCCAAAAATCAGAGCAAGAAAGGATTCATTGATCTGCAATAGATCGTCAAAGTGGGGGAACTGCAGGACGTCTGAGTTGGCTTGAAGAGAGTTTTTGGTGATGCATTTTCGAGTTCGGGCTGTCGGAATCGCAATAGCACCTGTCAGGACAAGAGGAAGAAAAAAGAGAAGCTCTACCAGGGCGAATAAAAAAGCCCGAAGATGATCTCAAGCATACAGAAGAGAAGTTCCTGTCTATTCCCGGAATATTTGACGAAGAAGTCTCCCAAATATAACTAACGGACAACAGATCTGGGTTCTCGAAGAGGACGTGGCTCGACAAGTCTTTCCTTGCTCCGCAGCTCGAAGCTTAATCACCCACTCACAAGCAAACTCCAACATTGTGCAGAACCAAAATGAGGAGCAGCATCACCCGGACTTGGAAACCTCAGCTTGGGAACACGACTCTGAGACAGTAGAGCAACACTCCTCGGTAGCAGAACCCGGATCTCATGGCAATGAATCGCCGCACTGAAGAACGCGAGCGAAAGTAGCACAAGCTCCTTGAAACATTCTTGCAAAGAGCGCCAGAAGTCCTACGTAATGGCACGGCTCTACACAAGATCAGGAAAGCTTTCTCCGATTTGGAGAAGAACGCGAACGAGGGATCGCAAGGCATTTGAATCAGTGTAGCCGTCGTTGACATGATAGCGCCAAACAAATACGGTCGCGAAACATCCAAACAAGCCTCTTCTGTTGGCCAAGCGGAGTGAAAGCAATGGGCAGCAAGGTAATTATGCTACGTCACGAGATTCGATCGTTTCACATACGCTTACCACTTGCAGGCTGGTTCGAAAGCTCTACTCCTCTCTCAGGTTCTGAGTCAATCACATCATTTCTCTAATTACGTCGGTCCCCAACGTCGTCGAGTGCCAACGAAAAGAGGATGAAGTTACAAGAGGACCAAGTGAGCCAGAATGGGGAATGGGCGCTAAAGATGGTTGGAATACGTGGACAGACGACTTGTAGACGACTTGTGTCTAACGTCGCAGAACTGACCGGGTGACACAATCAATCTGGTTTGCCACCTTCTTCATCGGATAAATCCAACGTGGATTAGAGAACCTCTTCCGCGAGTATGATCATTGCTGCTCTGCTACACGGAACGAGGATCAATTCCCAAGACGACCAGCAGTCCAAGCAGAACCCTTGCGAAGATCATTTGATAGTGGTTTCTGCCGCGTCAACGCCGCAGCAAGGCCTTGTACATCCCACCTGTCATCCCCCCACGCCAAGCGCTTGACCTCCCTCCCTTTCTCTCATACACAGAGTCCAACTCCGACCCTTGATCACCAACCTGCTTTCGTCTAAAGTACCATGCCAGATCTTTTTGCCGAGATCTAACCTCTCGGCTAGTTTCATCCGTCTGCTTCACCACCGCACTACTTTCCCTCTCCATGATTCAGAAGGTGGACATCTTCACGGAGAAGACTCACTGCATCCCCTTGAGGGCAGGGACCGCGGGTAAGCGTCTCGAGGAGGATTCCACGGCACTCTCGCAATGTCGTTAATGTCGAGGCGAGTCGACGCCTTGCCCTCAACATGGCTAAGGCTGTGGAGGATGATGCCGCTCTACTGGCGACGTCGACGCCGTTGCCACTGATTGACGATGCGACTTTCGCCCGCTTGGCTCTGCTATGTCACGCACCTCCCACGGCATTGAATAGCCTGGAGCCAGCGTCGCAGCCTCAGTACACAAATCCGACATTGCCTATGATAGCAGAAGGCCAGAAGAGAGCAGAACACAAAGACAACTAGAAAGCTTATTTCGAAAGCAGCCACACAGCCACAGCTCTGACCACAATCCTGATGGCCCACCAAGAGAAAGTGTCAAAGTATATCTGTGGTGTACCCCACGCAGAATCTCATTGCGCTTCGATGGCACGGAAAGGATGCAAACGCCGTTGCGAAAGCAAAGAGTGCTTTCGAGAAATTGCTGGCTGGTGATTTTGCAATGAACGGAGACTTAGCGCGTCTTAGATGGTCAATAAATTTTTGGCCCTCGCCTTCCTTCTTTAAAACGCTGATCATTGCCAAAGCAGTCACACTGGTCACATCTCTGATGAGTATCTTCTCCTCTGGCCTCTGGCCAACCAGAGGAACAGTGGTCTTCTGAGGGAAAAAGGGTCTTCGGGCTCTCGTGCTTGCTGAGTCTCCACTGGGCGGATTTATCCCCAGCTGCTAATAAAGAGAAACGTCGTCTTCGGTACCAAACAGCGCCCAGCAACTCCGGCAACATACGGAAAAATGATCGGTCGCGCGTCGAAGTCCTCGAGCACCTTCTCGAGAAATTGGAACGAGAGAGCTTGGCTCTTGTCCGGCAGTCAGAAGCTGCGTGCGAGCTCCTTGGAGCACGCGTTGAAGAATTAGACGAGCAGGTTCAAGAACAAAGTCGACAGGAAGACTTCCTCCTGGAGCGTTTGTACTACTGGCGCCAGAGACTTAGTGACCTGGAGAAGTCGAAGCAATACGAGGAGCGGCGACTTCAGAATCTTATCAGTAATCTCAAGGACAAATACATGAGGGAACAGATGTACCGATTGATAAATGAGCGAGATCCTTATCATATTATCAGTAACAAGGACCAAGAGATCAACGGCATGAGGAGGTTGTGCGCCTTTGCAGAAGATGATGGCCCGCAGTCAGCAGCAACCAAGGACACCAAAGAGCCAAAATCGAACGACGACCCGACCCCATACTGGCTTACTCACAATACTCCACAAGACTAGTATGGCATCGCGTTAGAGGCGTCACGTCCATCAGAAGATTTGAGCTCACGCTCGCAGTTTTAGTATAGTAAGTCTCATAAAGAAGCTTCCAAGCAACCATCGCCAGAGCCACAGTCTCCCGAGTCTCTTCAATTCGGTCCCTGCTCACCTGACCATCATGGATCGGAACTCAGCCACATTCCAAGTCAGGGCTGGTTGTCTGACGAAGAGCTTGAGAGCGCTCACGTCGATAGTGACTTGAGTCAGGGTCGAAATGGAGAGGAGGGAAATCTCGACGATGTCGAGAAGCTCAAAGCAGAAGTCGAGATGCTTCGGCTCCAAGTACGAGTCATTGAAGACAAGAACATGGCCAACGCCGAGCAGGAGCGAAAACGGGGCAAGTTGTATGCTGAGTTCCTACGATGGGCGCCGAAGGTTCAGCAGGAAGGTTGGCTCACGAACAAGGTTCGGAAGGCGTATGCAGCCTGTCAAAAGATGGTTGAGGCGCTGGAATCAGGAGACTGAAGCGTATTATGGTCACTCTCGGGTGAACTCTGTGAATCTAGAGGTCGAACAGATGGAGGAGATTCGTGTGCTGCATCAATTGATGTTGCGAACTTTACGCTAAGTATTCTCAATCCCCTAATTTATATTTGCTGACTGACGTGTTGCAAGAGTACCAGAGCATCAACATCATCCTGATATCCTCCCGTCTCGAACTTGACCTGTCGTAACATTATTCACACCCTCCTAGTAGCCACGTTTTGGAACACCACCTGATCTGTACTGGGCATGAAATGTGGCCCATGGGATTCCTGAGATAGGACAATTTATGCAACCTGCGCATCACAAAAGCTGCATCTTGACACGACCACCCCTCGACAAACGTCTTTGTCGAAATGTGGCCCCCGCGCATCCCAGCCACCATGTTTTCCAGCCACCTGATTTTGTACTGTATTTAGGACCTGGCCCCGGAGAGGTTTTGGAGAAATCAATCCGTCCGTTCTACACACCACATACCTGAAATTCTAACAGTCTTGTCCAAACTCGAGTCGGGGAAGGAAAGGCATACCAGTGAAAAGATGAAAAAGGGGGTGGAAGAACTTGGAAAGGCTCATGGGTCGTAATAGGGTATGTATAAACTGGCGCTCGTAGGATCTCAAAAGAACCTGTTGGATAATGGGCGGTTCTGCTCCAGTGTTCGAATCAAGACATCATAGTGAGTAAAGCTTGATATCAGATTAGTTGTTTGGGGATCTCATTAGCCTTGTCCATAACAGTGATTTGAAGAGCTTTAGCGAGCTTGAAAAATCTGAGAACGCAAATCGATTTATGATCACTAAGCATATGCAACGTGTCCAAGTGTTTATCTATAACTATGATCCAGCGAGCTTTCAAGTCGCAGCTGTTACATCAAACTGAGATACGAAACATCAAATAGAAAGTTGTCCTTCGCCCCTTGGGGATGTGGTTTAAACCCCTTTCCATTGGAGTTTTCGTAGGATATCGACCGTGGTGGGATGGGTCCTAAGCCGTCGATAGGTCGGTATCCCGTGGAATCTGTCCGAGCTCTCTGCATCAGGAGGGCGAGGAGGGTTCGATCCGTTCATGTATAATTTTCGGTTTAATCTTTTCCATTTTACTGGAGGCTAGGTAGGCCAGGAATTCACATTCATCAGCTTTGTCCAAACCCTGAAAGCAGCAAGGGAAACCATGCGTAGAAACGTCACATTGAACCAGCTAAGTGACCACAGTCAACGATCAGCCTTCAATCTGTTCAATAAAATGGCTTTGTCCCTTAGAGAAGTAGGACCGACCCCGGCGTTGCTCGCTTTTCCGTACCCTATCCCTCCCTGAGCGAATAGAACTTTCAGCAACTTCGCAACCTAATTGCTGGACATGACCAGACTCCAGCGGCGCAGCTCTCTCCCACTTGGAGCCTGTCTCGATCTGTTCCAGCAGCAGAGTTGGCTTGCTGATAACAAATCCCTTCATCAACTCATTATCTCACTTTACAACTTACTAATCAACAAAGAACGTGGACACATCCCTCCTTGCTCACATTCCTTTCTGGCCCACCTGAGACTTTTGCCATCGAAAAATCCAGAACAGAATTCGAATCTACCAAAGACGTGGGTCTGGTGCGATCTGGGGAGGTATGATTGCGTATTAGGCATAGGTGGAGGAAGCAGAGAGCTTGAAAACTATTGTAGAGAGTACAGCTGCGATTTGAGTGAGGTACTGGGAGGCAAAGTTATACTTGCTGGGCTTGCGGTTTCATGCTGTTAAACGTATGCTGGTATTCCTGAAACTGCAATGTCTGCGTCTGAGCAACTAAGTTCGGTCTTCTTAGCAGTAGGAACATACCACGACTTTCCTATATATCTCCTCACCACTTAGCAATGCCACTGCACGCGTAGTATTGTAGGAAAGTTTTAGGACACTTTAGTACTTGGCGGAAGAAGTATGGAGTCCCGATCATCACCCGTTTTCGTGCTAGCGTGGAATTAAGCGAGGAACCAGAACAAAGTTGCTTGCTGCTTCTTCTTTTCCCTTTTCTTCTTCAAGTGACCGATTACTGCTAGAGCGTACGCTTGCCGTTTTAATCACGATCTCCCCTCTGCAAAGCAGAGGACAGCGGTACTGTGGGAAAGGAGCTCCGGCTCCTACGGAACTCGTGTCCGAACACACCTCCGGGTGTGAGTGCGTCTCCACTGGGGCATTGACCCCCAGCTGTTATAATTTAGAATGTCTTCATCAGGGACATCTCAACCTTCTCGAGAGGATGAAAAGGCTTTCAGCCGTATGTTCACCGGCGGAGAAGTCTTCAAGCCTCTGAATGAGGAGCAAATGCGGAAGCCCGATCTTGAGCAGGCTCATGAAGCCACGGAAACAGAGCCAACTCCTACCCGTGAAGAAGCAGACGCGCTACGAGCAGAAAACCTGAAACTCGAAACCCAGATCTGCTCGCTACAGGCCCTGATGCGCGATCAAAACAAGAAGATCCGAGAGCTTGCCGGTGATCTTCGCCAGGCATGCAAAGAGCGCGACGAGATCATCCAGGTGGCGGAGAAGATGAAGCATCAGCGAGAACTGAAGCCGAGGCAGATACAAAAAGCTTTGAACGGAATCTCTAAGATCTTGAAGTAGTTTGAAGACTCCTCTTCCACCTCCCAGAACCCCTGCCATCAGAGCCGCTCGGAATGATGTACTTAGGTCGTGGCCCGATTACTCGCTCGGCGGCACAGAGCGGCAGATACGCTTGAAGACTACAAAATGAAGCGGTCAAGTCAGGGGCGCTGAGACAAGTAGCTAAGTACCCCTAGAGTGACAATCATCAAAGCCTTGGTAGAGGACTAACTCCGTTTCGGCAGAATGAAGAACTACAATGGCATGACCCACAGCCCGATCCCGACGATATCGCCATTGCTACTTGATGTTCCGGGTCTTAGAAAGGAGAGATCGTCGCTTCTTGCTCTGTACCTGCAGGGATCTGAGTCGGAAGGCAGTTGGAGGGCAAGGGGAGTCGTCGGACGGTAGCAGTAATGGCGTGGCTCATGTTGAGTCAAAGAGAAGCCTCTCGTGCGTTCGGAGGAATTTAAGAGGATTGAGCAAAAGTCATGCATAGAGGGGGGAATTAGGCAGGCGAGCATTCCAAATATTACGGTTCCTGACTGAGGTCGAGGTCGAAGAATGCAAAGACCCAGGGATACAAACTTGAAGGAAAGGCAGGCCAACACGAAACAAAAAAATGTCAAGTACTTTTGAGTAAAATATTAATTTATGGTACGAGATTTGCTCAAAAGCGTGACGCTGAATAGCGTACGTCCTCACGGAAGACCTTTTCCGCCAATTCCCACCACCCACTCCCTAAAGCGTCTTACATTTGGCCCAGTCGCTGAACCGAACACAGACCATTCAGAGAAATACAACCGCATCTATTCACACCCGAGTGGGAGAATTTGTTTTCATTCCACCAATAGGCGAACGTGCTCATTTGCATCACCATGCCTACTCTAAGCTTGCAAATAAAAACCATAGAAAGGCTTTGATACTACCCCAGTCATCTGCTACCCACAGTACCGGTCCTATGTAGAAACCCTGTCGCTACCAAAGAACCCCTTTCCGAGCTCCTACGTCCCTCCTTGAAGACGTGAGGTCCTTGTTTTCAAAGGTCACTTGGGCCCTGAAGAATACCTCCATGCTGATCTCTGCTTCAGGGCTGGGTGGATGCTCAGGTGAAACGTGGAAGCTCTGTAGTCATGCCCTCAAAAACTGCCCGAAACAATGGACTTGAGCATGTTCCGTGTCATACTCGTCTGTCCGAGCTCCTGGTGTTCGCCGAGCTCAAAATGCTTCGTAAGCCGTGGGAAAATTTTCAACCTCCCCCTCTTTTGACCCGTTGCTAAGCGTAGCGTAGGCTTTCAAAGTCCCTTTTCAACCCTTCATTCTGTCAGAGAGCAGTCAGTCGGCCGTTAATAATCGTAGAAATGAGTTCTGAAGAGACTTAGCGTTTGCTGCTTGCAACCAGAAGCCACATCCATGAATTTTTTGATGGCGCTGTATTTGTTCCTGGCAACCCACCTGAGTGTTGTTGACAGCCAGCCAAGTCCTGGAATCTGAAGTGATATTTATCGAAGCTGGCTATTGGCGTGGACCAAGGTGCTGAATGATAAGGTGAGTACATGGTCCAGGATTTGGGAAAGAGAACTAGTCTATTGGTGCTCCAGTCCTCAAGCAGGAGCCAAGGTCTGCCTGTCTTGTACCCATGGCTTTCGGCCTCCCAGTCTCAATGATTTGCGGGGCCGGCCTCGACTCCGTCTTTGGACCCATGGGCTTCGGCCTCCCAGTCTCAACGATTTGCGGGGCCGGCCTCGACTCCGTCTTTGGACCCATGGCTTTCGGCCTCCCAGTCTCAATGACTTGCGGGGCCGGCTTCGGCTCCGGAACCCGGGGTTTCCGCTTCCCAGGTTCGACGACGTTCCCTGCCGCAGCGTCCTGCATCTTCTTCCTGTCCGATATCCTCGACTTTTGTCTTGGCTCGTCCGAATCCGACGACTCGTCCGAATCCGAAAACGTCCCGTTCAGGAAATCTTCTATAAGGTTCGTGGCCGCCGGTTTCTCGAGCATCGGCGGGTCGATTGCCACTTGCGCCATCGTTCTCGAGGACTTTGGTGCGAAGGAGGGGGCTGCTGGGTTGAGCGGGAAGTTCGGGAAGACTTCTTTTTTTGTAGGCGGCGCGGACTTTGATGAAGGTCTTTGTGTCCGACCTGCTGGGGGCTTGACTGCCCTTGAGTATTTAAACTCTTTTCGGACTGGCCTTGCGCTGCCAGCTTTCTGGTCCCGCTTCTCAGCATTTTCGTTGGCGATCGGCCGGCTTGGAGAAGGTTGTCGATTGTCCGTAGAGTTCTTTGCCTGGGCAGCGGACTTAGGGGTCCGCTCCTCATCGTCAGCCAGCGCGGCGAAAGGATTGCTTGAGGCTGCAAGTCCTTTGTGGACTCCTTGTTTGAGGCCTTGGGTGAAGGGTTTCGCCTTGTCTATGGCAGCGCCGAGTCTTTTCCGTATCAGACGAGAGGCATTTGTAAACTTGGAAGGAGAGTCGGTCTCAGTTTTCTCTCGTTCTGCCAGCGAAATGAGCGCATGATTCGTTTCTTGCACTTGCTGTCCCAACGAAATGAATTTCCGACTCCTCGACGCCTGAATGTCCGCCTGGTTGTCAGCTTCAGCTAACAGACAATCGAGTTCTCTCAATAGCACCTGGTTGAACTCTCGAAGCTCCCCGAGTTCCTCTTTGGAGCTCGCGAGCTCTGTCTGGCATGCCTTTCTTCGTTCATCCGCAGCGTCCATGCCGCTTTGGAGAGCCTCGTCGAGGTATGGCTTGACCTTGTCCCAGTCACCCCGTACCGCGTCTTTGATCTTCTGGTCCAGGTCCATGATCTGACCTTCAAGAGACCTGATCCTCGCTTGTAGTTCTTCGACATTCTTGTCGTCACCATGGGTTCTAGGTCGGTCAGCGTCGTCGAAGGCTGTCTGAAGCTCTTGAATGGTAGCATCCTTGGCTTGAAGTTCCTCGTCCTTGAGCTCAAGCTCCACTTCTAAGCTATCGATTCTCTCGATGTCGGCTTCCAACCTAGCGATCTTCTTGTCGAGTACCTTGCTTCGAGCCTTTTCAGCTTCATAGAGCTGTTGAGGGGTTTGCGTCGAGGAGGACATTTTTTCTTCTTTTTCCAGCTGGAGGCAGGACCGCCCAGTGGAAACACACAAACACACACACACACACTCACACCCGGAGGTGTGTGGACGCAGGATCCAAAGAGAGGCCGGAGCCTCGTTCCCTCAATACCCGGTCCTCTGCTAAGCAGAGGAAGATCGTGATCGCGTAATGAACAACAGTGTTGGTGCTGCTCTAGTAACAATCAGTTTCTTGAAGAGGAAAGAAAGTTGGAACGCAGGTGCTGATGTTTGTGCGGCTCACTAGCGTCATCACGTGATGACGGACTTTCTCGACGCGTCTTACTACAACACAATTAAGCTCTGATGTCTGGGGCTTACGGGGGTATCCGTATATTCGACTTCATGCACAAGCAAGCATTGTGCAAAGACAGCCAACATTACCAGCCTTCCTCTACGCAGTAGAACCGCAGACCTTATGAGACTTACTGCCCCTGAGTCAAAGTGATCTTTCTGAAGACGAATATCAACGGCTCCTCCGCATATACAAAGGTTCAACCTCCCAATCATCGCCGAAGCCGACATCGTTAGCATATCCTCCTACAGTACAGATGTTGATGCACATTACAATCACGATCGATCTGCAGTGGTGATATTTAATCACCGAAAATGAGCGAGGACAGGATCAAATGTGTTGGCATTGGGGGTGATTTTCTGAAACTGCAAGCCATCATAGCCCACATCTTATACGAGCACGTCGAGGATGGGTGTCTTGACCTGCCAGTTGCAGTTTAAAGGCGTAAAAACCACCAAGCATAGTTTCGAGATCAGGACTGCGATCATTCAGGTGCTCCTCGAATATGAGAAAAATCGGGTATGAGAAAGGAGCAAATGAGTTCTTGAGGCAAGTCAACAACTTCCCGATCATCATAGTTAACAGTTTCACTCCATGAAACTAGGCAATATTATTCCAATATCTCAATTCATAAACCTCAAAGCACTAGTTGAGCTCGTGGATTAACCTGCTGAAGCAACAGAGAAAAGGCCTTAGAGCCACTGTTCCAATATGATTAGAATCGGCTAGAAATGTAGAAGCAGAACAAAAGCTATTTACTAATCTAGAGAATCGTCCACCATTGTGCAGCGCACCTACAATCGAAGCAGCGCAGGAACTTCCTGAGAGAAACTTTCGGTTTTCTGCTGAAAAAGGAATTGCTCAGGATGAAAGATAGAAGAACCTTAGATGATCTCGCGCCTCTCTGAGGTGGAAAGGGCTTTTCTGCTTTGATTCTTGTGATTCCCGTCCGCAAGGTAAGTCTTCTCGCATGGAGCCTATCAAAGAATCCTTACGCTGACCAGCAAGTATCCGACAGATTCGAGATCCATTGTCGCCATCCATCCCTTACAACCCTAAATCCAAGTCTCTTCAACAACAAGATCAGCAAGCTCCAAATGCTTCCGGTGCACAAAGATCTCTCTTGAGGGGTAGAAAAGCTGGCTGAGGGAAGGGCGCAAGGTTCTTCGAAAAGTGCAAAGCGGGTGTTCTACAGAGCTGCCACCATCGTCACTACGCATCGTTCAAAAAGGGTACGATCTTTCACACCACAAGGAAAGTACGACGGGCCCGGAACCACACTCGGGAATCGGGAGTAATGGAGGGCTCGAGGCATTTGGAGGGCTGCCGGCAGTCTTAGGAGCTTCAAGCGTTTGCTTGCTCCTTGGGCAGGAGAAGAGTGGTAGTCAGTCGGCCTTTCCACGGGAAATGTGGCATAGAAAGATCGTGTTCGTGCACAGGTGTCAAGATGCTTATATCGCGTAAAATGTACCTAGTGCTGTCTCGCGTAACGTCCCATGAAAACTACACGCATAAATGAGTTCTAAATAATAATTGGCTGGGTTCTAAGGCCCAGCCGCATATAAACAGCGATTTACTATATAGCTTAATTCTAGAAAAACTCTCTCTATATAAAATAAAAGATCTAAAATCTAAATATAAGAAAATACTAAAAAATAAGACGCGGATAAATAGGAAAAGTTTAAAAAACCTCTTTTTGCGATAAGAGAAATAAAAATAAAGAGTAAGAAATAAGAGGGATATCGTCTATTTAAGGCTCTTTTAATATAATAATCTTAGCTATTCTATTATAAGTATATATTATATCTCTTTCTTACTAGTTCTTAATTAAGCTATAATAACTAATATTATCTTATATAATATCTTATAAAAACTATATATATAAATAAGTTTTAAATAATAATTAATTAAGTTTTAAGGCTTAATTATATATAGATAGCGATCTACTATATAGCTTAATTCTAGAAAAACTTTTAAAATAGATTTATATCTAATAAGAATTATTAGCTTTAAATTAAATAAAAATATTAGAAGCGATATAATATAATAAGAATATAGATTAAATATATTTTAATATATAGATAATATAAATTAGACTTCTAACGACTAAGTAGTTAAATCTTATTATTAATTAAATCGATATCTCTCGCGAAGATAATAACTTCTTTATAAAAAGAGTATTTTAAATAATAACTCGGGTAATTAAGTATATATAGAATACTACGTAGTATAGCGATAATATATTATCTTATAAAGGCCTTATTCGAATTAAATAGCGATAATAATTTACTAATAGAAAAGCGAGTAAATAAGTTTTATAGCGAATAAATAGAGTAAGCGTTATTATTTATAGCGATAATAAATAAGATAATTTCTCTTTTAAATAAATTCGTTTTTAAGATTAATAGAGATAGCTTTATATAATAGCTATAGAGCGTAATTAAATATCTTATAATATATTATTATTCGAAGTTACTATTCTTAAATTTAGCTTAAGATTATATAAATTTATTTATATAAAGAAATATAGTAAATATAAGATAAAAGGAAGTATATAAGATAACTCTCTCTAAGAAAGTCTTATTAAATTAGATAAGAATATAAAGTAGTAAATCTCGTATAATTAGACGATATTCTTTAATATCGACCTCGCTATATAGTCTACGAATATTAATAATTATTCGCTATAATAGTAGATAATAAAAGATCTTAAGATTTTTAAATCTTATATTTATATAAGCTAATTAAATATTTATAAAATAGATCTTAATAAATTTAATCTAAATATAATAGTCGATTAGATATACTATTTAGTCGATAAATAATTAAATAGTAATAAGAAATATAATAATTTTTAATAGAATATAAAATTCGATATAGAAGATCTTCGTCGTTTAATAGCTACTTTTTATTTTATTAATTAGATCTTATTAGAGATATCTCGCAATATTATAATTTAGAGAAGTTTTCTTATATTATAACTTAGATAAATCGCGATTTAATAATTTCTATATAGGCTAAGAGCGCTTAGCTATAAATATAAATTAGTAATTTTATTAAATTTAAAGCGAGAGAGTAAGTCGACTAAAGTATTTTACTTAATAGAGATTTAAATTATATTATAAACGATATCGTATTAAGTAAATAATATAATTATTTACCTAAGCGGTGCTATAGTTAATCTATATATAGAACTATTATAAATATTTTTAATAATAACATTATTATTATAATAGAGTGTAAGATATAATTAATATAAGCGAGATAGCTATCTACGAATAATTATAAGAATAATAAATATCTCTTTAAATTAAATATTCTTCTTATAATAGCGAGTAGCGAAGTATATATTAAATATATTGTCTAATTTAGAATAAATAGCGATATCCTCGAGAATATACCCTTCTATTTCGTACTTATTAGAAGTGTCTATTTATATAAAATAGTAATAATATATAACTATACGACGAAGTAGATATATCTTATTTTATCTAAATAGAAAGATATTTTATTAGCGTAGATCCGCTGCGATTATAGCGGTAATATAATAATATTCTTATTTTTTAAATAGTGCGAAGTAGAGTTTTCTTAGAAAAGCCTTATTAGGGATTACTACTTTGGTGGAGAAGAATAGCAAATCTATCGCTGACTTAAGCTCGTTATAGGGGATACTTTATTTATTTAGAAGGGCTTTTATTAACTTTCTTACTTATTTTAGCTTATCGAAAGAAAATCTAATCTCTATCTTCTCGCTATCGAATTAGATTTTTAAAAATTCGATAAAAATATCTTTCTTATTCTTAATATAATTTATCTTTAAACTATAGTTATTATAGACGATATTAAAGTTCTCGCTAAATTAAGTTATATCGTTATTAGATAAAAGAATAGCGAAGAAATTATTTAAATAATAAAATATAATACTTTAGAAGAGGATAATAATAAATATCTAATAAAGGGCCTTAGCGAATAAATTGAAAATGAAAGATGTAATACGTAGATTAAATAATAAGAATCTATTAATATAATAGAAGTCGTTTTAAAAGAAATCTAGTAGTTAAAAGTCTAACTCGACTATAGAAATATATCTAAATATATTAATAAGATTTTATTTAATTATAATTGCATTCTAGCCCTAAGTAAGTAAGATATTAATAATATTATCTAATATAATATACTCGAGTACTTCGTAGGCCTTATAAATATAGTAATTAACGAAGTATAGTTATAAAAAGAAAAAATTATAAATTCTTCTTTAGCTATCGTTATACTTCGAAATAAAATCTAATAAAAATAAAATAAAGTATTTTAAGGATTTTACGTCTAATCTTATTAGATAATTATTATTCTTCTACTTTTAAAAGTCTTTAAATAGTATTTCGAGTACTATAGCGATATTAAGATGAAATTTACTTAATAATAACTAATTAAGATCTTAATAATCTATTTTAATACCGCGGGTGATAATTATAAGTAAGATATTAGCGAATATCTAATCGAGATAATCTTTAAGTTATTTCTTTTAGTTGTTTTTCTTTAATAAATTATATCTCTTTAGTAGAGACTTACTTAGCGAGATAAGTATATATAAAAATAACTTAGCTATCGATTTAAGATCTCTTAATATTAATTATAATTAAGAGATAAAAAAAAATCTTATATCTAGCGAGGTAGTATTAGTAAAGACTTCGTTAATATCAGTATATATAAAAGAATAAGGTAGGGCTGAGCTTGGAAACCTTGAATTTGTATGTGCAGCCAATCATAAATTCGGGTCCTGTACGCTTTTTGGTTAGACCGGCTGAGTCAGCCCGGTAGCCCTCCCGCGCCTCCCTCATCAAAAATTTGTATGTAGAAGTTTTACACTTTGAAGTACTCAGCTTGCGATACATACAGTTACTTCATAATTCCTCAAATTGTAGAGCTCGCTTTGCGTTTTCTAACGCTGTAAAAATTATGAAGTTTGGCCTACTATTGGTGGATTAAATGGATATTCAAATATCGTAGTCACACCAGACGCGTCCGGGATCGGATAATAATCCTTCCACCTGTTTGTGTAACTATTCTTCTTCCACCATTCTACCAATTCTACCAATTCCATCAATATGAACACAATCGTCTTCGGTACCCCTCGCCCAAAGGTTACTCAACGTTTCAGGCACGTACACCCCTTTTGCCCGCCTCTTAGAGCCCCTACTGACGCCCCCAGGCCACCCCTCCGCGAATCCGCTACTACTGGCAATCGAGGCCGCAGCCTAACAACTATCTACTACTACTCATAAACGCGTTGGAAGGCCCTTGAAAAGAGCCCGAACGGATTCACAGCCATCGTCCTCCCCTACATACTCCTCCCAAGCCAGCGATAATGCCTTCCAACCCAGCGATGCTACCTCCCAAGACGCGTCTTCCTCCCCTACCCGTTCTTCATCACCCTATTTTAAAGCCTCTTAACGCGTGTTAGATCCTGAACATCGTCAAGAAGAAGCTCCTGAAAATATGATAATCACACCAGACGCGTCCGGGATCGGATATTTGTGTAACCATTCTTCTTCCACCATTCTATCAATTCTACCAATTCCACCAATATGAACACGTTTACCCTCGGTACCCTCGCACTCAGTTAAACAAGAGGAGGATCTACAACAGGCGAATGCGGAGAACACTGCGGAGAAACCAAGCGGCAACAAGGCCACCATCGTCAAGAACACGGCTTAGCTCTCCAAGATCCCACGTCATATCAGTCATCCACTTAGTCAGCCACTCAGCTAGCCACTCAGTCTGATACTCTACAAGAGGAGGAGTAAGAGGAGGAACTATAATAGGTAAATGCGGAGAACACTGCGGAGAAACCAAGCGGCAATAAGGCCACCATCGTCAAGAACACGGCTCAGCTCTCCAAGATCCCACATTATATACTCTCCACGGTTCCACATCAAATTATCACTCAGCAAGCGTCGTCAGCCAGTCACTTAGTTATCCACTCAGTCAGCCACTCAGCTAGCCACTCAGTCTGATACTCTACAAGAGAAGGAGTAAGAGGAGGAACTACAACAGGCTAATGCGGAGAACACTGCGGAGAACACTACGGAGAATACTACGGAGAAACCAAGCGGCAATAAGGCCACCATCGTCAAGAACACGGCTCAGCTCTCCAAGATCCCACGTCAAATCATCACTCAGCAAGCGGAGAACACCACTGCAACTTGGCCTGTCATCCCCACTGCATTGATATGATACATCACTGCAATGACGTCACAAGAGGAGGATCTACTGCGACGATCACAGTCAATTGGGCCTCTGCAGGAGGGACATCGGACGATACATATTTGGACGAATTGAAACCGTCCGATGTCTACAGCTATCTCATTATTCGAAAGATTTCACTGCGGCAGGAGATATTGTGGGATTCACACCACTAATTGGCACGTTGTCTCCATTTCTTTCCGATATTTCGATACTTCTTGCCATAAGGACATGGCCTTTCTCTGTTTTTTGTGGGCAATTATTACGGATCAATCCTCCACACTCGATATACCTTCCTAATTAGGCCTTAGCGCGCCTCTCTCCGCACATATGTGCCTATATACCACATAGATAGCGTAAATCAATTTTATAGTGGTGGAAGTAGGTCAAAAACGCACATCAAGCGATCAGAGTTCGATTTGACTTAGGGCTAGGGCTAAAATTCGATTTGACTTAGAAAAATCCAACTCCATGAATTTAATTCATGGGCCTTTACTTATAGTTAATAATAAAATATAATAGATTATATATATTATATATATATAGATAGCGATAATCTTAAGCGTTATAGAATTTATTATAATTAAATTAATTATAATAGAATAATTAAGAATTTTAGATATTCTAATAAAAAGATATAAAAGTAATACTACGATATATCTAAGATAAAGTCTAATTTAAGCGTAAATTATATAATAGATAAACTCTTAATTAAGTCTATAAAGATTACTATCTTAGAATTTAATTTTCTAAATAATTATTAAATATTCGCTATATATAGATATCGTCTTAATAAAGCTAAATTCTATTATAAATAAAGATCTTATAAAAATAGCGTATTAATTAAAAGGTATAGATAATTAATAGATTAGAAATATAGTAGTAATAATTTAATAGAGCTTCTTAAAGGGATAAAGTAATTATTTTATAGATAAAGAAATATATAATTTAGCTATAGACCTCAAAGTATCGAAGAAGCTCTTTAAGTCTCTTAATTTTCTTATTACTATCAGCGAGGCGGTTAATAAAGCTATTAAATAGTTTATTAAAATATTTAATATCGAATATTCTATAATAGATTTATTTAATATATTTTAGATTCACCGCTTTAAAACGAAAAAGAAGAGAGACTATTATAAAGTTATTATCTTAATATAAAAAGAAGTAATATAGTATTACTTTCGTTTTAGATAGTATTAGCGTTCTCTATTACGATAAGATTAAAGTTAATTATAAAATTTAAAGAGATATAAATAATAACTAGAAAGATAGAGCGAATAGAAATAACTAGTAAGTCGATAATATAGAGATATAGAATATAGGCTAATATATAATAGAGATAGTTAATTAGCGACGAGTACGGATCTTATTAACCTCGCTTTATATATAGGCGAGTTTTTCGCGATTTTAGAGTATATTATTTTTATTAATCTATTCTTATTCGAGTTTCTAATAAGCGAATTATAACTAAATAATATAGAGATTAAAGATTAGCTTTAATAAGATAGATAGTTTTATTAAAGAATCTAGCTAATAAATAGAAGATATAGCGAGAATAGAAGAGGGTAAGAGTTTATTAGAGAGCCCTCTTATAGATTTAATAGACGATTTTTATAGAGGTAGTAATTTAGTAACGATAGTCTAATATATAGCTATAGCCTTTACGATAAGCTTGCGAGAACGCTTAAGAACTATTAATAGTAACTAAATAGCAATAATATAAGTAGAAGAATAATGTGTTTTTTAAATGAAAAATTGCTTTCGTTTAATATTAGGAAATGGGAAAAGTCTAAAAACCTCTTTTTGCGATGAGAGGAATAAGAATAAAGAGTAAGAAACGGGGGGGATATCGCCTATTCAAGGCTCTTCCAACATGGCAATCTCGGCTATCCTGCCATAAGTGTGTGCTGTACCTCTCCCTCACTAGCCCCCAGTCAAGCTGTGGCGACTAGAGGGTTAGAAGCAAAGACCCTAGTGGAGACACACCAATTTAGCGCCTTGCCAGACTAAGCCCCTCAGCGTACTTCAGCTTGCCAAGCGCCTACTACTAACTTTCTGCTACACACTGCGAAAATGAAATACAGTAGACATTTGCTGAAGACATAACGTATATGTAATTGCTATATCACGCTATATGTTACCTCTTCTCCCGCCAATGCTCGCCCGCTAATTCTCAGCTAAACTAAGGTAATCATCTCCGGTGCCTGCGTCCGTCATCTCATTCTCTTCCCCAACCCCAACACTCCCAGCCTCTTCGTCTTCTTCGTCCTCTGGGTCTGTATGAACCTCACGGCTCCCTTCTGAGGGCGCATCATCCTGGTCGTTATCGTCGGCCTTGGTGTCCGTTGCGGAAGGTTGCGCCGAGGTGTCCGCGGTTTTGGCGGGAGGGAGGAAAAGGAACTTCGAGGAGTTCAAAGATGCATTGACCGCTAGTTTAAGGTTTCGCTGGTTCTTCGCTTCGACCGCTTCGGTAGCCAAGGAGGCTTCCTCATCAGACGGAGAGAGGGTATCCAAGTGGCTTGTATTATTTGCGGAGGGTTCGCAGCCTGCGCTGAGTGTAGTATCCGTTATCCCAGTAGTCCAAATACCAAGGTATCGTTTTGCTAGGACCGAGGTAAGGCCGCATACACTTCCGTGGCAAGATCAATTCGCGCTTGCTCCGCATCGTGAGCGTCAGCAATTGCCGTGAGCTCGGGATTACCGATAGGCCGCGTGGTGTGTCCTCCGCGGGTGCGGTATACCGCGATTCTTCCGATTGGTCGACACAAGCAGTGCCGCTTGGCAGAAGACGAAGGTAGCATCCTTACCGCGAGTGAGGGCGACGTTGAGACGGTTGGGACTCCTCACGTGGCTAGTGACTGTGCCCACTTTGATGTAGTCTTCGCCTCCTCTGTCTTCCTCATCCTCGGCTGCACTCTCTTCCTTCGTCGTCGGATCTTTGTACTTGTCCTTTGCAGCGACGACGTCGACGATAACAACGCGAGCCTCCCTACCCTGGAAGGCATCGACGGTAGAGATCTCGATGGCGTCCTTGATCGCCTTAGGCCACCGCATGTCGCTGATCTTTTTTCTAAGAAGGCGACGCTGTCCTTGGTAGTAGGTGAGGATCTTGATCATGCTAGCCTTGATGGTTCCGCTCATAAGGAAGCGGTCAATCATCCCGACTATAACATCGGCATTGGCGTAATTGACAAGGGACGTCCCGTTGAGCTCGACCCGCGAACAACCATTTGCCACGTTGGTAACGACGTACTCTGACCCTTGGCCATTGTCTCCTTTGACCCCCATACCAAGAGTGATCTCGCGCATGGCTTTCCGTACATCGTTGTCCTCTTTCATCACGGCGGAATCCTTTAGACCTTGGTTGTCGTAGAACTGCCACCGCGGAAACGCGGAGCATGCTGGACACATACGATACTGCATGTCCAGAAGGTAGCTGGGGAAATCCTTCATAGCAAGTAAAGCCAGTGGTGACACTTTGGCATTCGCGAAGAATTCATTGGACTGCCCAGACAGCGCCGTGGGCTCGAGCTGTTGGATGTCACCAAACAAGAAGAGACCCTCCCACTTCTCGAACGTCGTGAGTGGTACGCAGAGACTGGGAATGGATATGTGGCCAGTCTCATCGCAGAAGATGGCCGTCGGCACAAAGGAGCGGGAGCCTTCGAGCAGAGACCCTCCGCAATTACTTGCGATGCTGAACAAGATATGAGTCTCTGCCAGCACTCGCTCGACCATAGAGTCGCTCTCGTCCTCGAATGCCGTTCTCTCTACCCTAGTGATCCTTCCGCGCTTGGCTTGGTAGTTTGCCATGCACTCCCTGTATTTTTTGGAGTTGTCGAAACTGGCGATGGAGATTGCACCGGTGGCAAGTTGCCCGTGGAACTCATCCGGTGACAAGCGTTCTCGAGTATCTCTGTAGTCCGCTTCGGCCATCCGCCTATCTCTGTCGGTGATCTCCCAGATGCGGTAGTCGAGTGTCATACCGGCTGCAGAGTTGGATCGTGATAGATACGGTAAGCTGTGCGCTCTAGCAAGAACCAGTCACCTGAGGAAAGAAAGGGAAAAGAAGCAACAGCAAGAGGCTTTGATGCGGAGAAGCTGTAAAGTATCAGTCACACTTCGCAACCTGGCGAGGAGATGATCGGGCATGATGACTTACCGAAGACTAGAAGCGATGTGGAATATATATAGCCGACACGTGAGTCAAGCGTATGTATTTCTATATAGAGATTGGAAGATAATGTAGGAGAGATGGTTCCTTTGGGAGGGGAGGGGGTTTAAATAGTACGCAATGCCTCTGGTGAATATTTTCTGTCCAGGATGAATGGAGAAAGGGAATGACTAGAAAATAGGAATGACTGAAAGAAAGGGAATGACCGGAAAAAGGGAATAACTGGAAAAAGGGAATGACTGAAGAAAGGAATGACTGGAAAAAGGGAATGACTGGAGTAAAGGAATGACCGGAATAAGGGAATGATTAGAGAAGGGGAATGACTGATGAAAGGGAATAACTGGAAAAAGGGAATGACTGAAGAAAGGAATGACTGGAAAAAGGGAATGACTGGAAAAGATGGATTGATTGGAAAAATGAATGATTGGAATAAAGGAATGAATAGAGATAGGGAATGATCGGGAAAAGGGAATCATTGGAAAAAAGGAATCACTGTTAAAGAATAATTGAAGAAAGGGAATAGTATACAGCGGTAAATGCTTTCATTCATCACAGATTCTCCACGACTCCGTGAATGAAAGCACGTTCATCTGTAAATGAATATATATTGGCAATGAATGTCATGCGTGAATAAACCTGACGTATTCTTATCTCCTTTTCTCTTAATCCTCACCTCATATATATAATTACTATATCTCACCTCTTTTCAAAAGCTGGGTGATATTACTTGATCTCTCCCTCTCCTCATCAACCCGGAAGTATAATTTTCCTTCTGATGAATATGATATAAGATCTGATACTGCTATTCACACCTCTGAGAAAATATCAATTTGTTTTCAGTGCTTCGATAACCTTAGCTTTGAAGATACTAAGCTCTCGGGTTTACTAAGCTCTAATCTCTCAATCTCTCCACTTTCTTCTATCAATTCCTCTCTTTTCTCTTACTCTTGTTTCTTTTCTGAGCCTATATCTCTGTTTACTTAGAGTATCAGCTGAGCTATGCCTAAGACAAGACTGCCTCTGTATTGGTACTAGAGATTTCTCTTCGGCACACCTTCGTTTGGAACTTAAAGTGGCACTGGTCTTTCTGAGACACTGGTTGGCCAACGTATGGTAGGATGTTTTTCTAATCACCCTTTGTGGCTTACCCAATCTTTCTGTTTGAGTCCTTGATCTGATCTAAGATGCTTGATCTTCGCTTGTAGCTCTTCAACACGGTTATCATCATCTAGGACTCTAGACCTGCCTGCGTTTTTAAAGGCCGGCGAAAACTCTTGCAACTACCGTCATGGTTGATGGTATCAGAAGTCATCGCATAAGGGTCTAGGATGCTCCCTTTCTATATAGCATTTATTTTAATGGTACCTCGCAGTTCTGCAACCATCTCTCTGCGGATAGAGCTTTTTACAACTTCGACACGATCGGAGTAAGAGTGCCTCATGTCCTATTGGGCTTCGAATAGCTAATCGAACCATTAATGAACGCTACTATGCTAGCCAGAAACCAAGTCTGTCGATTCGAGGAATCTTGCTTTCCGAATCGTCTCATATATCTACCCTTTTTCCAAATTCTCGAGCTTCGAGGGCCAGAAGATCGGGGCTCTTTTGCAAGAAAAGTCTCATATGTGTAACGTTTCTGGCAAAAGCCTGAGTTCAAGAAATCGGGAAATGGGTGAACATTCTTGACGACGACTAAGTGAGCTCGAGAAATAAAAAGTTACCGCGATGTAAAGGCCGAATCCCCGTGAATCCTATTTTTTCGGACATTATGAAAGTTAGCAACCGTGAACTCGTCATTATCTGGGGGTAAGATCCCATAAATTCGATCAGTTCCGAGTATAAAGCAGCTCAAGAATTACATACAAATCACCGTCATTCTGCCGGATTTTCCCCACGTATCCCATCATAATATAAAAGCATCGAGCTTTGCAGGGTGCTATTATCTGAAGGAAAGTTCTTTAATTCCCGTCATTTGATTGAGTGTTCGAGGTATCCAATGGAAGAAAACCTACGTCACATCCCCACTATAAATTGTCATTTGCCGGAGATTTCATACGCAACTTCTCTGATACCCATCCCGTGTATGCTGGAAAAGAAAGAAAATATCTAGGGTCCTCATCGCCATTTCGAGTCGACATTTCGAGTCGCCATTCGGTGGGGTTATTCCCCATCAGCCTATCTGCTTGCTTATTTTATAGAGCAATTTTGATCCTCGTCTATTTTGGCAGCCTTCACGGTGTTTGTGACAAACGCAAAAAATTGATCCGCGAGGATACACCTGACTTGCAACCAATAACACTCTTGGGTCTCTAAGTTCAAGATAGCACGGGAAATGAACGCCACCATTCTTCACGCAACAAAAAAGGCGCATTCCGAAAACACACGAAGTACTAGGCTGGTTCACATGGAATGTTTTCGCACTCAACAAAGACCGTTTCTTGTGCGACTATGCAGCAAGCAACGCTATTCCCGCATACATCGAGCTAACGAGGGTCAAACGGGCAGTCTATCTCTTGTTCACACTTCAAACACTTTGATATATCTTCCATGGATGTAGGGGAGTTTGGCCACTGCTGGGCAGGTGGCATTAAAGCCAGACTGAAAAGACAGAAGGAAGTGGCCAGCGTTTGTGGTACTCTTAAGTGTACACTGCACTAGTCAAATTTGAGTTCCTATCTCTATACACACACTTTGTTCTTCGTATCAATTCTCCCAATTGAAGATGACAGTGACGGCGAGCGACTGGGGCACGGTTGTTCTAAGCGGGCGAGATGCACGCGGGATGCAGCGGATGGGCTCACTTGCGCCCGAATGAATTATCGCCTCGCTTACGGGGCTATGTTCGCCGGTTCCGTTATGCTTCTGCGGTAACGCGTATAATTATATTGTACCTTGTAAGCGCCATTGGCGTAAGTGGTTGTGATGCAGACTTGGGAGACGTGTCATCTCTTTCCTTGACCTTCCGACGTTTCGTATCGAGCAAAGAACCATACAGCCTCGAGATGGGTCGCCACTCTTGCTTCCTTCACTTAGGAGCTTTGATTGCGCCAGATCGTTTTTAATATTGGGAGATAAACCACATGATACATGTTAAGAATTGTTGTACTCAGCCTGGTATAAACCTTATGGTCAATTTCGAAACAAAGGGAGACTTTCTCCACTGCCTCAATGATGCGAAACGTCGGCAACTTTTTCGCAATGACTTCTCAGGCTATGTCAATATCTACAGGAGGCTATGAGTAGTGGTATACACGCGCCATCTCAACTTGCGACGGGTATTCCTGTTTTCCGGGCTAATTACTAATTCATACCCCGAAACTATGAATCCTTACCGAATCATACCCCTAATTACTGAATCATACCCCTAGGGGTATGATTCAGTAATTTGCCATTACTTGGGGTATGATTCGGTAATTTGCCATTCATGATAAAAATCGCAAAGGAGAAAATTCGCGACCTGGGCCATCCGACCATAGAAAAGAGGAAATATCTCCGACCGTATTCAATGGGTGACCTACCAGCTTAAATACATCAGACGAAAGCCGAGTGGGTGTTAGCAGCAGCCCCCACGGGCACCCTACGACGGCCCTACGGGGGCCCTATTTAGGTCCAAATAGGGGTGTCTGGCTATCAAGCGCAAACACCCCCGGGATATTTAGGTTCAAATAGGGGTGTCTGGCTGTCAAGCGCAGACACCCCCGAGACCAGGCTTTTTTTGCGCTTGACAGCCAGACACCCCTATTTGGACCTAAATAGGGCCCCCGTAGGGCCGTCGCAGGGCCCCCGTGGGGGCTGCTGCTAACAGTGGGCTAAATTTAGCCCCCCAGCCTGTCTACACCCAGTCTGTGACTCTCACACACAGTCTTCACTCCCAATAGTCTACACAGCAAGTTTGATAAATTACCGAATCATACCCCAAGCAATTAATCCTTACCGAATCATACCCCAAATTTTGGTGTAGGGGTATGATTCAGTAATTAGGGGTATGATTCGGTAAGGATTCATAGTTTCGGGGTATGATTCGGTAATTAGCCCCCTGTTTTCCGCCCAAGCAAGACATGTCATAGCCGATAGAGGCGCACAGGGTTTTCTGGAATAAGTACAGCTCTTGAGCTGCTGATTAGCCTCGAGACATTTTCAGCACATACAACCTTAGGATTCCTATCAAAAATATGAGTCTGTCTCTTTTTCAATTGGCTGTGAACGCCTCTGCGGTCCAGGTAGCTTATCCTCCGCTATCTCTTCCAGATGTTTCCAATTGTAAAGACTACTACGCGTAAGTATACAGATCGGAATCCTACATTTATGCTTGTGTCAAAATCCGAGTCATAAAGCATGCTGTGGGACTCATGAGCCGTTCTATAACTGTTGGCTGTATTTGTACTCCATAAAACAGTCTAGTTTAATTTTACAAGGACGAAGGCTGACTCGAGTTTCCAGCAACCCTTCTCCGCCTCTCCTCTCCGATTGCCAGATCGCTTTCAAAAATCTACCGAGTGGTACTGCGCCCACTGCATGGTACACTCAACCTGCCGCTGGAGAGGAAAGAAACGTGCTCCCACTCGAGGTGCATCATGGTAAGAAGCCGGTCCTTCCAGCGAGATGATAGAAACGCCTAATTCGGAAATTTGTCAGGCACGTGCGATATCATATTTCACACATCTGGCCAGTCCGCCCAAAGTCTGGATCACGTCTGGATCGTGCCAAACGATATCAAAGCCATGGCAGCATGGGTACTTGCGCGTTGTGTTGCCGGCGGCAAAGGAGGAATGGTCACGAAGGGGTTGGAGAACACAATAGACTCCATTACCAACAGCGACAGCAAGATCTTCCCTGATCCCGCACTCCGTAAGATGATATCCCCAAACCTTCCGCTGTGTTGCTGACGTTAGTCAAAGCCCCAAGCAGCACCTTCTACAGTCTCCACGTATGGAATCACACACCTAGCGACATAGACTGGAACCCTGGGAACAGCGATCCCGACGTTGGAGACGCTCTAGCCCAAAGTCTTCACAGAGCTGGACGAGCAGCACCAGCCGGCAGTCCTGCGGAGGCGGAGCTCGAGCGCCGTGAAGACTATCTTTGGGCGGCTGTGGGCCGGACGGAGTATGGGGAGCCGGTCACTAACTGGTGGGACGGCCCTTCCAAACCTGGCCTTTCCTCAAGTGCACGTTGACTCACTGCGGATACGAGCCATGATTGTTATTCAAATGATTGTGGTGGTGATTTGACAGTGACGCGACTGCGCAAGGCGTTTCCGTATGCCCATATCTCCATGTTGTGAAATGATACAGATCAGTCCGTAGGTTCCAAAACCAATGGCAAAAGCTCGTTCCGCTGCATATCAGGTGCACAGTATTCCAATACACTATGAGCTTGCAATAGATGCGCACATTGTACTATTCACATCAACTTTCGGCTTTTTGAACAAAGTGAACAGCTAAAGCACACACATCTCATAACCCATTATCATATCTCCACCAAAATCATTCAACCGCCCTACTCCTTGCACACCGCGTGTCACAACACAGCGACCAAGCCCGCAACCGCCCCCAGACCAACAGCAGCCGCCAACGGCACATGTGAATGACCAGCGAGACTCTTCTTCGAACCTGTCGCCACACCCATGCTTGTCACCGCCGCAAGTGTCGCTGGGGTGGCGGTCGAGGACGTTGGAGAGGACGAGACGACATGAAAGATGGGAGTTCCTATGGAACCTGACGCTGGAAGCGTTATAGGATGGACTGATTGCGTGGTCATTGGAAATAGTGAGGATGTGGTGGGAGAGCTTGAATTGTTCCTGAAAGTGTGGATATCAGTTGGGGAAAGTTCTTAACAGAGAAAAGATTACGAACAGCTGAGCCCCGGCTTGGGCGTGGACGAGGCTCACGGACAGGGCAACGATCTGCAGGCAGGACGAATGCATTTTCTCTTTTTGGTTTTCAGCGCATGACGATCCAAGGATGTGTTGCAGGGAAGTCCTGAATATATCTTCCAACGACGGGAATAATATGGCAATGAAAAACCACAAGAAAGTCCACCCGTAGATGCACTCCTACAAAGACCACGACCCGAGACTTTCTCCGATGTGTTTATGCAAGTAGCCGGATTGCTTGTCGCTCGGCTTCAATCACCATGCATTTTCGAGATCAAACAGGCGGAGATATTACCAAGACATCGCGATAGATTTGTCCAACAAGCAAGCCCCCGTTCCGACACATGTTGACCTACCTAAAAGTCGCGATGGAGGTTTGTTTGAGATCAAGCAGAGGGACCTAAACCTATTCATTCTCGGCTGTTTGCCGCCTTTGTAGGATCCAGCCTAAAAGTCTGAGGTCCAGTGGAGCGTGAATCGTCCAAATTTTACACTAGATTACCGGGAGGGTACAGATCTCATGCACACGTTCCCGTAATATTGTCCCGAAGCAGCAGATTTGGGAGTCGGATGGCAAAAAAATCGGCGAGGCGCAGATTACAGGGGGAAGACGGGACACCGATTCCTGGAAACGATCCAGTAAATATGACATCAGCTCAGCATATTGTGTTCAACTTGGAGGAGGCCGGCGCGGTGTTTATATTCGTGCTTTCTGGGTGTGAAAAAGACTGATCGGGTATTGGTTGCGCAAAATGTTATCAATGTAGGTACGATGGATAGGAGCGAGGTCGCTGGGGTCGAGTTCAGGAACCGGCTTGGAGTTAGAGGAGTAGAGAGGAGGCTGGAGGGAGCGGGAGGAGTCCATAGCTGCTGGGTGGATGATGAGATGAGGGATGTCAGAATAATTGGCAGCGTAGTCTGAGATGCGCTTTGAGAAGCAATACCAAAGGCATCAAGTGAGCATCTAGAGCCAACTATCGGCAAAGGTTGTCTAATTAGGCTTCTAGAAGGACCAAAAACCAACGACCGTGCATGCAGAAACTTTTATTACAGTAAAGGCATTTGGCATGCCGACAAAAGAAGCAAGGAACCTGTCTGACACATCCTGCAACTCAGCACTGGCAATGCCAGACTTCGGAACTCCTAAAGCCCTGCAAATACCCCGACCAATAGGAGGATCCCAACGCTACCGGCGAAGCCACGGAGTTGACCGGCGCTATTTTTCTTGGACTTGGTAGGCGAAGCGGAGGCAGCCGTGGTCTTTGTGGCCTGGATTAAGTCAGCAAGCCGTGCTATCTGCCAATCCATATGTTCCTCGTCTCACGTTTGTAGGACTTGAAATAGCTGTTCCGGTGGCGAGTCCACTTGCTGTCTTGCTTGATGTCCCTGCTGGGCTAGATGATTTCGCCATGGCGGACATCGACGAGCCAGAACTGACAACGGCCACTGGGGTGGCCGCCGTAGATGTCGTTGCTTCAAGGCTCGTCGTCACAGATGGGGTGGTTGCCATTACGAGGGTAGGGCTGCCTGTAAAGGTGCCATTGTCAGCTCTTGCTGCTATGATTGCGCTGCTCGCAGTCGCGCTCATCATGCTCAACCAAGGCCGATGGAGTCGAGTGCGAATTGGTTTTGCGCTGGAGTAGCGGTAGATTGATCAGGAAAAGCCGTACCAGTCTGGAAGGTGACAGGGACAGCGGTCGAGCCCGTAGTGGGGCTGGCTGAAGGGTGTGTTCCGCTGAGGTAAAGGCTGAATATGGAAGCTGCGACATCTGCAGCGCCGAGAGTGTTGGTATCAACTCTGAATTTGGCATCATGTCAGCTTGATCGATTTTGTGTTAAGGAGAGGTCCACCAACGCTGTAGGGACAACGTTCCCTTGACCGAACACCAGACTCGCGAACAGGATAACTGTAGGCACAGAGAAGAGATGCATGATGACGCTCGAGGGTTGGAGTGTTTCAAATTAGGTTTTAGAAGGATAGAAGTGTGCTTCTTCGAAGGAGTGATGATGCAAAATGCAAGACAACGAATTTCGAAATAAAACTAATTTCCCATCACTCACAGCTCAAGCACCTAGCCGTCGCCTTTCCTCTTTGGGATGCTTCGCCCACATCACAAGACCTTGCCGTGACACCGTGACTATTAATAGGAAGCTTGAACGTTGTTTCACATTGTGATTTGCTTGCGGATTTCGAATGCTTCACGCAAAAGATATGCGTTTCATTTCGTTTGAAAGCCAAGATCCCAGGAGAAAAGTTCAAGATTGCATTTATATTTGCTGCCGCCACCGCCTCTGCAAGAGTCACCTGATTATGTTGCCTGAAAGATTGTGGTCATGTGGGGAACAGCATGTGGTGAGATTTGACACTATGCTTGCTACAAGCGAAGCAAAAGGATGAAAGAATTCGGAGTGCGTATCGAAAAAAACTCATTACAACAAAGGTATCTGGCTCGCCGACAAAGGTAGGAAAGAAACCTGACTAACGCACTCCGCAATACAGGGTTGAGATTGGGCTGTTTCAGTTGTACAGCTCAGTGATCATCCCGATGAGGAAAAGGATCCCGGCAGTACCAGCGAAGCCACGAGGTTGACCGGCGATGTTCTTGTTGGAGCTCGTAGGTGAGGCGGAGGTAAGCGAAGCCGAGGCAGCCGTAATATTAGTAGGCTGGGTAGGGTGGGTTTAGTGGGATACTCTTTCTGACATGAGAAATGCTGCTTCTCTTACATTGGCAGTACTTGAAGCAGCGGTTCCGGAGAAGGATCCGGATGTTCCCATTGTACCAATGTTGGTTGAAGTGACCATTCCGGCTGTTGCTGATGACGCTGATGAGCTTGATGCTCCCGCCATGACCGAGGACGACGGGACAGAAGTGGCGGGCGTTGGTGAGCCCATGGATGGTCCTCCGCTAGTACTGTCTGCGAGCGTGTCATTATCAGCTCGTGCAATCGAGGCTGTGCTAATTCTAGTCGCCCTCGTCATGCTCGATGAATACGCGGCCGAGTCGGTTTTAGACAGGTACGAGGCTGGACAACTGTGAAGTAAGGGTGATGGGGCCGTACCACTCAGACCAGAAGCGACTGTGGCTACAACAGCACTGGGATTACTGGCAAGGGAGCTAATTGCGTTGGAGACGGAGCTCGGCACTGAAACACTCGGTGATAGATCTGCATAGTTCGTGGAGCTGAGGCTGGCTCTGGAGACCGTGGTATTAGCATAGAATTCTTCTCAATCTTGGGAAGGGGTACGAACGCCGAAAGCTCGGATGGTCCTTGACAGTGGACAAGACCTGCAAAGAGAAACACAACTTGCAAAGAGGAGAGAAGCATGATGATACACGAGTGGTAGGAGACTGAACTTAGGTTGCAGAGAACGACGGGATGTTTCTTCGTAGAGGAATTGAGCGAGTGAGTGCCATTAAACTCGGAGGGGGGCGGCTGTACATGTACTCTCGCAAGCAATACAAATCTGCAAGCATAGTCAAGCTTCTGGCCGTCGCTTTTCCCCTTTTACGAGCATCGGTCCTCATTGGGATACTTCAGCCAAACACCATAAGACGTTTCCAAGACACTGTAACCAGATGTGACATTGATTGAAATCCAGATCACATGGCGAACGGCGTGCAAATTTAGAACACTCCGCCCAATTGACATGAATTTTACTTGGTTTGAATGCCAAGAAGAAGAGGTCAGATCGCTACCGGCCCTGCATGGATCACCTAACAATTACCCCTCAAAGTGTGGGGTCAGGTGGGGAACAGCATGTGTCCAGTGTGAACACTGAAATGATAGAATTCGTGGTGTGTAAGATGTTCGTATTTTCTTGCTACGAGAATGCTAGCTATGTGATCGTGCTAAGCCATATTTGGCTTAGTAAAATGTAACTTACCGGGTTATAAATCTGGCCTTCTCCCTGCCGTAAGACATCCTCTCACCAAAGTGCTTTTCAAGTCAACTACACAGCAGAAACATCAACTTTTCAAACTCCCCAAGTGACAAAACAACCTCGTTCAAGTCGATTCATCTCAATCAAGATGTCCCAATCATCCGGATCCGGCGGAAAGGGGTACGACGTGACCAGCTCCGGCACCAACAGCCAGGTATGTTCCCCATCCAGCCTGCCCTGAGACACTTGCCAACCTATTTGGCAGGGCAACCGCTACGACAGCCGAGACTACACCCCTTCCACCGGAGGCAGTCAAGCCAACGATAACACCTATCATTACTCCAACAACGACGGTAAGTCGGAGTTTTCCATAACCGTGCGGCGTGGTGATGTAGAGATTCCAAAAGTAGCGAGAGTCTGAGACAGAGGACAGGAAGCTACTATTACAGCAACTCGAACGGATCCACTTACCACAACGACGGCAATGGCGGGTCGAAATATACCGCTCCTGGAGGGAAGAAGTGACCCGATGGACAAGACATGGGCCTGGCCTGAACAAAGATGGTCATCTTCCGGGTTAGAGGCGGTGGTTGTTCCGTGATATTTGCCAAAGATGAGCTCCGAAGAGATGCTTGCTGTCAGGTAGATTCCGTAGAGATGCAATCCAAAAGGAACTGCTGCTCGGTGTCCCCTAATATGTGGCAAGATGTTTGATTGAAAGCCGACATGGTTTCGTTATACGGAATAAGCGTAGCGCTTCTGCGACATGAAACAGCACGGTAGCTCAGCCCCAGCCCCTCCTTAGGTAGATGTCCTCAAACGTTCTCACGGCAATCACTACCAAAGTGTGGACTCCCCTCCTCTTCCCGGTAGAAAGGGTAAGTCAATCCAGATCCTTACCAATCCTCTGACGAGGACGGTGAGTTTCTTGAGAACAGTTGATGTAGGTTCTGTCTTATGATCTTTGGTACGAACTGATGAGGGTCAAAAGGGAGTTATTATCACGACAATCCGAACGGCTCGCGGTATTACGTTGGGGGCAACGCTATGTCTGCTACAAGTGGGACAAGATCCGCCTCTGGGGAAAAAGTGGGAGGGACGTCGTATGTTGGGGGGATTTCGTCACTCGGATCTGAAAGCAAAACATGTGGGCAGGGAAACGAGGGTAGCATAGTGAAGAGGTTGATCAGCTATAACGGCTTCGTGATTACAGAGCTAATCAAATTTGATGCCTTCGTTGACTTATCAAAATTGAAGGATTGATCCAATATATCTGTTTGAATAGCGTGGAGTGAAAACCCGTGCTCTGACATCTCCCACTGACAAACAGCCTCTAGAGTATTTCCATCTGCAACGCAACCATCAAAAACTACAAGGTGGTTATACATCGTAAGAGAATACAGCGGAACAGCCTTTTTCTCACTCACGCAATCTGTAGGACGCCCACGACGAGAGATGTCATATAGACAGTCGGAGTAGAATCTAAAGCTTCCAGCTTGCCATTTGTTTGACATCCTTGTTCAGAACGGTCTTCCGCTCCTGCACATACCTTGCCAAGTCTTGGGCGGCCAAATCTTCGAAAGGCTAGTAGAGAAGATTAGCGCCCGAACCAGCCTGGAATCTACAGCGACATACCTTCTTCTCCCCAACTGGAAGACCCTTCCATTCTCTGCCTATCAGCTTTGCAGCCTCAACCACGCCCAGGCCCTTGAAGTCACCCGATTGCAAACGACCCTGGTAGAAATAATTGTATGGCTTACGCAGGCCTGTGACCTGCCTGTGGTCTTGCAGTGGGGTTGCAGTGACCCCCAGTCTTCTGAGTTGCTGCCTCGCAAGATTGGCGTCGTAGATGATAATTGGAGTGTGGGATTCGATCCATTGACGATGAGCCGCAGCATTCGCGGCTCTGTTCTGATTTGCTAGGTGATTGTAGTGCTTTCAGGTTTTAGTTTGGATAGACGGGTCAATTCTTGAAAGTCAAAACATACCTCAACTTTCTCTGGAGTCAGCTGTCTGTACTCCGAACTCGCTTCTTTCGACAACGCTGCAAAGCTGTTTCCTGTTACACCGCGACCTGCCCTCATCTTTTCTGCTAAATACACATTCCATGCACTAGAAGGAGTTTCATGGGGGCGTTTGAGAGCTGTCGCCTTGAGCTGCTTTGTAGTCGCCTTGAGCTGCTTTGTAGTCAAAGCAGATTCTTGTGCCTCCGTCAACACCTTCTTGGGCTTCTCAGGCTTGGGCTTGGGCTTGGGCTTGGGCTTGGGCTTGGGCTTGGGCTTGGGCTTCGCCTTCGCCTTCGCCTTCTTCTTCTTTGCGGGCTTTGGCTTGGGTGTGATTCTTGGCTTTGACTTCGACTTGGCCTTTGGTACCGCTTTCGGTGTTGTCTTTTCGGGTGCGGGCTTCTTGGCGGCTTTCGTTTTCGAGGTGGTTGGGGCCTTTCTTGCTGCGGTGGTTGTCCTGCCGGTGTGGGCTTTGGGCCGTGACACAGCTCTTTGCGCGTAAGTTCGGCGAATTATCGGTGCATTCAACCTGGATTTGAGGATGAGATCGGGATAGTGTTGCGATTGGGCAACATTGTAGAGAGCGGGCACGCGTTCAACCCAGGAGGAGCTGAGCCCCGTGCGACCATTGCCCAGACGTTGCAGCGTTAAATGGGGCAGTCGTATGACGGACCGACCGGCCTGAAAGATCATGGCGATTCCTTGATATGTATCTGAGTGGGGTTGCTGCGATTGGTAGAACAAACGAGGAATGAAGGTCGAGAAGGAGGTCTCGTTCAAGAAATCTGCGTCGCGTGAGGTGGCTGGTACGCTAGCGGTGTTCCAGGGAACGCTAAGGCTGAGCTAAATTCAGCCTTACAATGACTATATTCTCCCCCCGCTGGACGGCTCCAGTGACACAGAGATGAGAGAGTAACACTTTCGCTATCCATTTGCAAGAAGCAAAGATCTTCTGTGCGAGCCAGCTGGTTGCTACTCATAGACGTCTATACCATCTTCAAGCCAGAGAAGAGCTCGGCTGCTGGACACGCGAAGGAGAATTTCAAGGTAGCTTAAGATCACTTCTGCGAGCATTCCTCACCAACACTCCCCTGGCGATACAAGGAGTGTTGTGGGAGCGATATAATTTGGTTGGAAGCTTTCCCCTTTCACGCAACTCACTCTCCGAAGTACAGTTCACAGGTCAAAGGCGGGATCTTATGGCTCGCCACGGGGATACTCGCTCACCATCGCCTGTAGGCAGCTCCTACTCTGCGTCTGCGTCAAAGAGGCATCACCGAGATGGAGATCGTTATGAGAGAAGTCGACGGGAGGATGGGCGGGGTCATCGACATAGAAGTCGAACAAGGAGCCCTGAGGTAGGTTACACGACATACTCCTATACCAGGTCTAACCTCTGCTTGTTACAGAAGCGGTATCGGGATCGGGACTCTCGTCATCACAGAGATCGATCGAGGGACAGGCATAGGGACGACGATGGGTACCGCTCGAGCCGTAGGGATAAATCTCGAGACCGACGGAAATCTCGGGATCGAGATACCGTAAAGGACTACAGAAGGAGGAGTCGTGAGAGGGATCCTCGGGCGTACAGGGATGATTCCCGCGACCGAGCTCGAAGGCGGAGAGAAGGATCTGCTGACTCTAGGCGCAAAGGGAGAAGAGACGACAGCAGAGATAGAAATCAGAAGTCGGCAGGTGGGAAAGAGGTGAACTCGCCCTCCAGTTTTTCCATGCAGGCGCATTGCTGAACATGACGCACAGATAGCACCGACTCCTACACAGACCGACGAGGAGAAGAAAGCCGAGCGCCTTGCAAAATTGGAAGCTTGGAAGCAAAAACAAGCCGCTGAAAAGGATCGCAAACAGAAAGAATTAGAATCCTCGGGCGGAACTAGAAACCTCCTTGCCGAGATTGACAAGAGAGCACAAGTGTCGCCAGCCGCAGCTTCGCCTGTCTCTCCTTCGACGCCTGCCGCCACCAACGGAGATGCTTCCCCTGTCCCTTACGCCGGCAAGTTCGATCCAAAAGCTCTGTCCAAGAAGAAGGCATCTGCATCATCCAGCGCGAGCAAGCTCGGAACGGACATTGCCTTGCCGGAAATTGCCAAAGCGTCCGCCACCATAAAACCCACCGCAATTGGTTTGAAGGCTGACAAAACAGTAGCACTAGCAAATGGCTCATCAGGTACGTCCCTCGCAAGTTTAAATCACCGCCTCGAACCTCTTCTAATGTATATGCAGCCGCTCCTGCAGCTATGTTAAAGGCTCGTGGCAACGTCAGTGGCTTCGGGCTTGCGAGTAAAGCAACGACCGAACCTGAGAAACCAGCAGCCAAACCCGGTCTTAATTTTGGTGAGGAGGAAGGAGGGCGGAAGAAACTAGAGAAGCTGCCGACCCCTCCACCCGAGGACATTGCTATGGACGACGATACTGCTATGGCTAACGGTGATAAAGAAGACGATTCTGACGATGACCAAGGCATGCAAGACGCTGGTACGGAAGAAGAAGCAGCCGCTGCTGCAAGAGCTGCGGCGGAGAAGCGGGAAGAGCGCCTCCAAGTCCAAAATTTAGCTTATCAAGCTGGTGAAGATCCTGCTGCAGCTGTTCCAGAACAAGCAGAGACCAATGGCGATGCGCTAATGACAGAAGCTCCAAACGATACAACGCCGGACGAGGCAATAGAGGAAGAGGAGGAAGCCGATCCTCTGGATGCTTTCATGACCGGTTTGGGAGACCCAATGAAAGCACCAAAAATCAGCAACGGTTTCAAAATCACAAAGAGCAAGGTCCAGCGGCCCGAGGCCATGTTTGGAGATGACGACGTCGATCTGAACACGGTAACCGCAGACACAGATGACATTCTAGCCATGGCGACCAAGAAGAAGAAGAAGGATCTACCGACCGTTAATCACGCCAAGGTGACGTATCAACCTTTCCGAAAGAGCTTCTACCATGAACCATCGGAGCTGGCGGAGATGACGGAGGAGGAAGTCGCTGATCTGAGACTAGAACTTGATGGGATAAAGATCAGGGGTATAGATGCTCCGAAGCCCGTGCAAAAGTGGTCTCAATGCGGTCTTGGTGTGCAGTCACTCGAGGTAATCCAAAGGCTCGGATACGAAAAGCCATCGTCCATCCAAACGCAAGCGATTCCCTCAATCATGTCTGGGAGAGACGTTATTGGGGTTGCCAAGACTGGGTCTGGTAAAACCATAGCCTTTTTGTTGCCAATGTTTCGACATATCAAAGATCAGCGACCTCTCGATAGCCTGGACGGTCCTGTCGGCCTGGTCATGACGCCCACCCGGGAGTTGGCGACTCAAATCCACAAAGAGTGTAAGCCTTTCCTCAAGGCTTTAAACCTCAGAGCGGTTTGTGCGTACGGGGGCGCTCCGATCAAAGACCAGATTGCAGATCTGAAGCGTGGCGCGGAGATCATTGTATGCACTCCTGGACGCATGATTGATCTATTGGCTGCCAATTCGGGTAGAGTGACGAACCTTCGCCGAGTCACGTACGTTGTGCTGGACGAAGCTGACAGGATGTTCGACATGGGCTTTGAACCGCAAGTCATGAAGATCTTGGCCAATATTCGACCGGATCGCCAGACGGTACTATTCTCAGCCACGTTCCCCCGCCAGATGGAGTCCTTGGCCCGCAAGACGCTATCGAAGCCCGTGGAGATCGTCGTGGGAGGGAGAAGCGTCGTTGCTCCAGAGATCACCCAGATCGTCGAGGTGCGAACCGAGGAGACGAAATTTGTCCGTCTTCTGGAGCTCCTTGGCAAATTGTATGAAGAAGAGAAGAATGAGGATGACCGAGCCTTGATCTTTGTGGACAGACAAGAATCGGCCGATGGTTTATTGAAAGATCTGATGCGCAAAGGCTACCCTTGTATGTCAATCCACGGCGGCAAAGACCAAATTGATCGTGACTCTACAATCGAGGACTTCAAATCTGGAGTCATCCCCGTCATGACTGCTACCTCTGTTGCTGCTCGTGGCTTAGATGTCAAACAGCTGAAACTCGTGGTCAACTACGATGCACCTAACCATCTCGAGGACTACGTTCATCGTGCTGGGAGAACTGGTCGTGCTGGTAACACTGGCACCGCTGTGACCTTTGTCACGCCGGACCAGGAGCGGTATTCGCTAGATATTGCCAAAGCCTTGAGACAGAGTGGCCAAGAAGTGCCTGAAGAGCTCCAAAAGCTTGTGGATGCATTCATTGACAAAGTCAAGTCTGGCAAAGAAAAAGTCAATGGCTCAGGCTTTGGTGGTAAAGGCCTCGAGCGTCTGGACCAAGAACGTGACGCGGCTCGTGCTCGAGAGCGAAAGACACACAAGACTGGCGACGAACCTGACGAAGACGAAAAGGAGGACAAAGACAAGGACGATAAGGGCGACGATATTATCGCCAAAGCTGCTTCAAGCGTCCAGTCGGCTACCGCTCCACCCCCTACCCTTCTTGGTGTTCCCAAAGGCATCGATCTCGACGGCAAGATCACGGTCCATAGGACGGAAGCACCGGCGGATGGCTCGAAGAACCCTCTTGACAAAGTCAGTCGTGCGGTCGCTGGTATACATGATCGTCTCAGCAAGAACCGCGAGATGCGTACTGGGGTGCCTATTGACAACAAGGGCCCTGATGCTGGCGCGTTTCATGCAACGTTGGAGATTAATGATTTTCCCCGTAAGTCTTACTCTCCTGCTTTTTTCGTATGGTCCTTTCTGACACTGGAAAAGAAAAAGCTCGTTGGGCCGTCACCAACCGCACGAACGTCGCCAAGATTCTGGAAGCCACAGGTACATCTATCACCACAAAGGGAAGCTTCTATGCCGCAGGTAAAGAACCTCAAGCGGGCGAAAATCCAAAGCTGTATATTCTGGTGGAGGGAGATACGGAAGTGGTGGTCACCAATGCTATGAGAGAGCTCATGCGGCTACTCAAGGAGGGTACTATTGCTGCTGCTGACAGCGATGCAAGGGCTCCTGCTAGTGGTCGTTATAACGTTGTTTAGACAATGCTATAGTTGTTATATGCATGATGTTCTGAACACAAGCTGCTAATATATCTGACGATATTCAAACAATCATACTCTGCATACTCCTTAATATCACAGCCTCCACAAATCATTTGCTAACGTCGATGCTCCATGCAAATCTCATCCAAACCGTATGTAAAATTGTATCGTCAGGCATCGTAGTCATTTCCTCATATCGTAGACCCACACTCGCACCCATCAATTGTAATTGATGGCCTGACTGTTCTGGTCCGCCTCTCTCCTCCTCCTCTCATCCTGGCTAACATTCTCCAGTGTCCCAGTCCTTGTCTGCGCCCTCTCCTTCGCTAAATCCCTGCCTAGCTTGCCCTTCGGCTGATTCGCCTTCGCACGCTCCTATGGTTTGATCCTAGTCAGCATGACATCCAGTGTCCCTTTTTTGCATCTTAATGGATTCCAAAGAGAAGAGTGTACGTACTTCTGCTGCCCTCGCTGCCGCGCTTTTAGCATCGCCGCTCTCTCCACCAGATGAGCCGCCTAATTTCTGACCCTGGCTACCTATCTTGGGCACCGAGGCCCGAGGGTTTGATTGTGGAGGAGGGGCGGAACCGACTGTACGGCCTGGTTGGGAGAAGGGGTCGTTTTCTTTGGAGGCTTTACCACATAGGTTGCCCATTGTTTTCCGAGGCAAAGGACGACTGGATTCTAGATGTATGTGCCGGCAAAAGGATCATGCTCGGGCTTGGGCTTTGTTGTGGATAGTTTGCATTTGGAGGGGCATATAGCCATAGAACTTGTGTTGGATTAGCAGTATATGTCCGTTAGTGTGAAGCAATGTAGATGTTTCGAGAGTCCACCGGCCGGCAACAGACAACTCCCTCGATCTCCCCTCTGTTCTTTGAATGGAAGGTTTCCCGAATTGCGCTACTCGGCACGGGCCGCGTAGCTCCATGAACGAAATATCACCATCCTGACTACTGCTTTTTCTTCTTCTTCAAAAAATATATACATAAAAGTGGTGTCTTCTGGAGCTGCAAGAAGTGGTTCGCATTGGAGTTTTGCTGTCATGGAGGGCGCTAGCCTCGGCTCGATGGCAATGGAGCTAAGGTATTTAGCTCCCACAACAAATTTTTCACGATGTCAACCTTTGAGTCTCACTGACAGCAACAGCACTTCTACTCGCAAGGCACGCATTTTCGCTCTGGCGCGATCATCATGGATCCCAATCAGCGTCCCAAGCGACCCGCACCAGACCCACACTTCGAGCGGCTACATGGCCCTCCCTTGAGCTACGCGCGGTCGATTCAGTCAATCCTGCAAACCTACGATCCACAGCCTGCCCCCACCATCATGGATTTTCCTGCCGAGGCAAGCGGATTCTCTCATCCTACAGTGCCAAATGTTGTCGACTTCACCAAAGGGAAGGCACCTGCTAGAGACATGCCTCCTCCACCAACCCCGGGCTTGCTGAGCGATTTTCAGACCCCCTGTGAGGGTACTTGCTCCGTTACCAATTGTGAATCTGGATGCAATCCCTCGGTAGTTGGCTCTGGGACGTGTTCGTTGTCGCAGTGTAACAATTCAGATCAATGCACAAGCGAAGAGTGTTGCAGAGAACCAGCGTGCTTGGACCATGAATCCGTACCGACAACTCGACGTGAGTCCATCGACTTTAGCGCAGAGGATCAATATGCTTCTTCGTCTCAGCATCAGTTTGCCAGCAGTAGCGCGGTATTCCCAGCCTATGACAATCTACCGGGCTTCGACAATACCAATCACGACCCAATGCAGTGCCATTGGCTGCTTCCCGATCAAGAGTGCGACATCACAGCGCCAACCAAGGATGCTCTCAGCCAACATGTCTTCCACGACCACATCCAGCCTGAGACGAGCCTCGCGTGCGGGTGGTCTGACTGTGACGAGCAAATAGACGCGCAACAGCTTACAACCCATCTGTGGAACAGCCACCATCCCGAACAGCACGTCCCTGATTCCTACGTTTGCCTATGGGATGGCTGTATGGAGATGTTCTCGGATGCTGAGCAACTGGAGACGCACATGGAAGTCGCGCATACCCAAATGGAGAGCATTGATTGCCGTTGGGGAGGATGCGGCACAATCACCACAAACTCTGCTGAACTGCAGAGTCATGTTAACAGGGAGCATCTCCATCTCCACATCCAACCGGCTTTCTCTTCGTCGAACCTGGAAATGGGCCCATCGGACCGTCGTACTTCCCTACCATCCAAGCACCCCCTCTACTGGTCACAAGAGAACGACGATCTGCTTATGCGCGTACGTGCTCAAAACCTTACTTTCAAGCAAATAGCTTCGCAGTATTTCCCAGACAAGTCCGCCCAGGCCTGCCAAGTACACTATGCGGTACTATGGAATCGGCAACAGCAATCCGTTCCGCAGTCCACGGAGCAGTCCACTCCGTTGTTGTCCTATTCACCCCTGCCACCTTCTTCATACGCCACCAGTCCGTACGAGCCTCACCATCCTTTGGTCGATCCTCCCTTGATGCAGACGTCTACGGCTCTTCTTTCGAAACATTCCACCCAGCTGGTTTTGGACCATCCTCCAACCCAAGGAAATCATGAGTGTATGTGGATCACAGATGATGCAACCGAATCACTCTGTGGAGCTCGTTTCGAAAATCCGAATGAACTACAAGCTCACGTCGAATCATTCCACTATCCTTTGTCTGACGATCGCAGGCGCAGGCCCGCCTCTCATTGGGTTTGTAAATGGATGGGGTGCGCACGGAAGGGCGAAACACGCGGAACTAGAGATAAGCTGAAGAAGCACATCTACACTCACACAGGGTGTAAGTCGACTTCCATCATTTGAGAATCTTCGAAATAGCTCATACTTCACAGACTATTCGTTCTCTTGCCGGCACTGTGGGAAGAGATTCCGGGATAACACCAAACTTGCTGATCACGAACGCACCCATACGAAGGAGAAACCTCACAAGTGCGATGTGTGTGAGATGGCCTTTGCTAGCCGAGATGGACTGGGTAAGCTCAAGTATGCCTTTGAACTGCTACCCTACTGATCAATGCCTGCAGCAACTCATAATCGTATTCACACCGGGGAGAAACCTCTGGAGTGTGGAAAGTGTTCTTACACCTGCTCGGACTCGTCCAACATGACGAAGCACCGCAAATGTAAGTGCCGTCCTTTTTCTCACCGCAGCCGCCATATTGACAGGCGATGCAGCCCACGAGCCTCCTCTATATTCTTGCCCAACCTGCGGGAAGCAGTTCTGCCGAGCCGACTCGAGGGATCGTCACATGCGTTTACACGAGAAGGCAACTGCAGGACGTAAGCGCGTACACGGTGAGGTTGTTTAGGACCGAAGCACTTGATGGACTTGATGCATCACAATGAGGCTCGATCACGATTGCGATGAATTGATGTCTAGCATTTTCATGAGGATATACCCCTGCCTGGCGTGATTTTTACACTGTACAATAGCTACCCTCTGTGGCATATTCACTCGAGCCCATGAACATGGAAAAGACATAGCTGATCACCTTCGTCCATTATATGTGACTCCGTTACCTCTATCGTGTGCCGAGAACGCTATAGTACAACTTAGTCCACAAATCGTTGATATTTTCCGGTCTATTGGGCAAGACAGAACCTCTAGGCTTGGCTGAGCCAACCACGGAGCTTATGGGCAATCTCCGGGTATGTTGCCCCCCCACCAAAGGCATCCCACCAAAACCGCATAGGACTGCCAAAAGTCGTCTGTTAACTACCATCACACAAACTCATTTCAGCATGTTCAAGAAAGAGCAAGTCCAAGATTCCTTCAAAGGATGAGCATATCTTAGCTAACATTACATACCAGCATCTCCGCAGGCGCAAAGTCCAAAGTCAAATCCTCCGTCCAGCGTGCCATCAGAACCAAAGTCTGCGAAACATACCCTCTTCTCGCGCCTCATATCGACGAGATAATACCCAAAAAGTCACAGCTAGATCTACTAAAGCTGTAAAATCCCCCAAGTCCGTACGACAAGACCTTTTCATGCGTTGCGACTGCTGACCATGGGGTTTTCATTGCAGGCCTGATAGAGTCTCCCTTTACGCCCTCGACTCCACCCCCCTCTTCTGGCAACACATGGACGACCCCTTGATCCCCCACCTTCGAGTCGTGCACCAATTTCCTCAATGTTTTAACCGCATAGGCATCGACAGAGGAGCAATTCGTTTCGTATTATCAGGCGCAACACTCATGGCGCCCGGACTGACGAGTACTGGAGGGAAATTACCTGATAAGGAGGGGGAGTTGAAGGACGGGGATGTGGCAGTCATAGAGGCAGAGGGGAAAGAGGAGGCGTGTTTAGTGGGGCAGTTGAGAATGGGGACGGAGGAGATAAGGGACAAGAAGAAGGGGGTTGTCATGGATACCGGACACTTTTTGGGGGATGGGTTGTGGAAGATTAGCATTGATTGACGAAATCATGGCTAGGCATGCTGTTATGGTGCACGATGAGCCCTGAGTGGGAGAGATAATGGTCATCTCGTGGGAATGTCCATGAGTTCTGAGGCCGCTCTTGAGGTGCTTAAGGCTTGGCCTGGGGAGGGGCTGTCAGAGTGAAGAAGTGCAATTGGAGAACTTCCAAGTACTGTAAATACCGATCTTAGAAGTACAAAGAAAAGATATCAGAGATCTATGCCTTGAACACATTGTAACATTTAGCGTCTGCAAAGTTAGGGTTACGGCCGACAGGGATAGCACTCGATGTTTCCCGACTCGAGCTCCTCAACTTTCCTTGACTCAAGCGATGTATTGGCCATTAGGTGCACCCAGAGTATATGCAGCGACTAGACGGAAAAAGAAACTTCCAGCCCCAGAGCACGAAGAAGAGGACAGCGAAGTTGTCAGAGAGAAGGCTACTAACATCCTGGGTCTGCGAGTGGCCCGTAATGGGCATGTCTTGGTCACGATTACAGAGACCACCTTGACCGTCTGGCAGACATCGGTACGTAGACCCCGCCGGAGTATTGACTGATTCTGACTGATCAATAGCCAGTAGTAGTGCTAGCCTCCGTAACACGCTCCATCCAATCCCTCAGCAATTACGGCCACAACGTGGGCGTTCTTCTCCGACCGGACTCTTCAGTAGCTGTCGTACAGACATCCAACAGCTTTCTCGTTACTTACTCAATCATCCCCGATCCGACCGCTCGAGTATACCAACAAATCCGCGATAATGGACACGGCCGAAGACAGAGCAACGCGGACCGCTTGGCCGTGGAAGAGGAGAGAAGAGGTTTTCCGGAGGTGAACATTCGGTTTCGCATGGTCATCAAGGTTGACGCTGGGCTCAAGAAGGTTCTTGCGCTTGATGATGAGTTGGTGGTGGCTACGGAGAGACCGCCGGCTGTGCAGTGTATTCGATGGGCGCCAGATGATGCGGGGAAACAGACGAGCACAGAGCTGCTGAGCCGGATGAGCTGGATTCAGAAAAAGTCGTGCGTGACTGATATGGTCTATGATAGGGCTATGAGCCTTGCAGTCTGGATTACAAGCGAAGGTCATGCCTACGCTGTACAAAGACTGCCTCCGCAGCCAAAAGAGTCGGAGGGGCCGAAAAGGCTCTTCCGTGGCTACGGCTTTCATACGCCAGAACGAGAGGAGGACATGGCAACCAGAGCGGCAATAAATGCGAGGTTCTCTTTGTTAGCTGTAGGCTGTGGCAACGCTGAAATACACGTTTATACGGCAAGAGACTATGTTGGCAGCATTCCACTATCGCACAAGCTGGAACAGCCGGCGTCTATAGTCTCTACCGGACAGATCAGTACGCTAAGCTACTCCCCGGATGGCTACTGTCTATTTGCTGGGTACGAGAAAGGCTGGGCGATCTGGAGTGTTTATGGCAAACTCCAAGGAAGCAGCTTCATGGCTGACCGCAAGATATCAGAAAACAATGGAGAAGGTTGGCTGCAGGGCGTACATGAAGCAGCCTGGCTCAGCGCTGGCTCAGAAATATTGCTTACAGGCCAGAACGATGACCGATTGTTCCTCCTTGAGATGGCAAAGAGTGCCGTGACTGGATGCTTCTGTGCAGCCAATGTGTCTCGCACAGTGTTATTGACCAGCTCAGGGCTCATGGTATACCGAGGATACGATCTACCCGTGCTCACAACAATCTCAGCCGATGCATCTTTGTGGCATCATGTGCAGATCCCCTCAACATATCTAGCGAACCAACGCCCGATACGGTCCGCTGTGATCTCTTCCGATGGCAGATACGTGGCGGTTGCTGGTAGACGCGGACTCGCACATTACAGTGTCACTAGCGGGCGATGGAAAACTTTCGATGATATGCAGGCTGAAAACACCTTTGTGGTTCGAGGCGGTATGTGCTGGTATCAACATATCCTGGTTGCTGCTGTGGAGACCGATGAGCATCACGAGGTTAGTCGAGAATGCTTTACGCCTGACTAGAGCTAATAACGCGATAGCTACGTCTATACTCACGAGAACGTGGTTTAGACGACTCCTCTCTTCTCTACTTCGAACAGCTTCCTTCACCGGTCGTTTGCATCGCACTTACAGGGTCAGACTCGCTTCTCGTGTATACTTATCAAAACATACTCTACCACTTCGTAATCAACGCCTCTTCCGAGGCTGTGACCCTTGTTCAGGTAGGGCAGATTGCCTTGAATGGCATCGTACGAGCACCTGCGCGAGTCAGGGCTGTCAGCTGGATACTTCCCGACCACCAATTGCGTAAGTCTCGTATATCTTTGGTTCCATGGTGTGGAACTGATCAATCCTAGGGGAGGGTGACCCATCGCAAGATGTTGCTCACGCGTCCGTGATCTTCCTCGTTGATGCTAAGCTTGTGCTACTGCAGTCCTCCACGAATGTTGGCGGCGACTTGAAGTACGACATGCGTGTCATTGCTAATAACGTGGAATACTTCGACCTCATGAGAGACCAAACACCGTTGCTGGAATCGCCCAGTCGCTCGCTGCCACCATCGCCAGCTGCTGAGGGAGCACTTGACGCATTTTACACAGATCGCGGGCTTAGGGACTCGCTCTGGTACTTTGACGGTAACGACATACAGTGCTGGATGGACGTCGAGGATCTCATCGAAGCAGCATCTACATCCAACGACAGGGAGTTACCACCTAGCGTCTCCATATCTGCAGATTTCTACCCTACTTCCATCGTCCTCAAAAAAGGCATCCTACTAGGCATAGATGCCGACCTAGTGCAACGGCGCGACGTGCAATTCGCCTTCTTCCGCTTCTCCATCCGGACGCAATTGTTCCTCCCACAAATTATCCAGCGCCACATCGCCCACTTCGACACGTCAGCTGCCTCAAATCTCGCCCACCGATATCAGGCGCTCCCTTACTTTTCACATGCCCTCGAGATTCTTCTTCATACTGTTCTGGACGACGAAGTCGATAAACCACCAGATCCTGAACATGCTCAGCTACCTGCTGTTCTCTCATTCTTATCTTCTTTTCCTGACTACCTCGATATACTCGTTCAATGCACCCGCAAAACAGAGGTTCGATCATGGCGAACCCTCTTCTCGCACCTGCCACCCCCACAGGAGCTTTTCGAAGCATCGTTGCAGAAAGGCATGCTCAAAACGGCAGGTGGATATCTGCTCGTGCTGCATACTTTCGAAGAGATGGAAACTAGCTCTGGGTCGTGCGTCCGACTCTTACAGCAAGCCAAAGAAGCTGGAGACTGGGACTTGTGCAAGGAACTCGCCAGGTTCTTAATGGCGTTGGATGAGAGTGGGGATACTCTGAGAGCAGCATTAGAGCGGATGGATCTAAATCCAACGGCCACTGAGAATGACAGCGTGAAATTGAAGACGCCTCGGCCAAATACGGCCATGAAGCGGTATTCGACGCAGAGGCAGACCAATGGTAGGCCGAGTCCTGTGAGTAATGGGGACAAAAGCTCAGCGGGCTTGGGCCTGGGAATTGAGACAGGGCAAGATGGAGATAGTGAGGATTACTTTTCACCACGGAGAGCATAGCGTGGGCATTTGCTTAGTGATTCGGCAATTATAGGTGTCTCTCGGCCCCTTCTGCTACCATTATCCCTCACAACCCTACCGCCAACGCTTGGCAATGCTTAGCAAAGCTTGTGCACGACGACAAATGCCTTGATAAACTCCACCCATTAATTCATCCTCATAACCTCATAAAATGACCCGTCGATTATAAATCTCCATCGTGCCCACCATCCAGCTCTTTGACTTTGTCCACTCGATGCCTTCCCCTCTGCACAACCAAGCCAATCTTCTCCAACCTCTTCCAAACCCTCTCAACCACATCCCTCACCCCAAACACCCCCCCATCACCCTCCACACCCTCAACCCCAAACACCCCCCCATCACCCTCCACACCCTCAACCCCATCCTCCAGCCCCAACACCAACCCCTCCCCCCCCCTCACGTCGCCAATCTCGCGCCCCCGTCCCCCATCCACCTCATCCCCACCGTCCCAAATCCCAACCGGTATCCACATCCCCTTCTCCCCCGTGATACCGCTCAGATCCCTCCTCCTCCCGTTTCGGACCTGCGCTTCCGGGACGGCGGTGGCGGCGGCGCCGGCGAGCAGTGCGGTGGTGTGCATCGGTTTTTGCGCCTTCCATGCCTCGAGGCGCTGTTGGCGGGCTTCGGGGGAGCGGGGGTCGAGGACGATTTGGCGTTGTGGGCGGAGAGGGTCTGGGAGGGTGAGGGCGGTGGGTGCGAGGGCGAGGAGGAGGATGAGGAGGGTTTGGGGAAGGTGGGAGAGGTGCATGGTTGGTTGCTTGGTTGCTTGCTGCGATGGGTTGGATTGATTTGGTCGAGGGTACTTCGGCGGAGATGGTGGGCTTGCTGTCGAGGCGGTCGAGTGGGCAGGCGTGTGGGGATTTGGGAGACGACGGGTTGTGGAGGACAGCGATTAAGCCACTTGGGAGTGATCGAACGTGGTCGATTCTTGAGGCAGGATGCGATGTTAAATGAAGAGCGGCTGAAACCAACAGTGTGGCCCGTCTTATGAAACTCTGGTTCCCGCAGGCTGTACTACCTGTGTCGTAAATAATATTTGATGCTGTTCAGCCGTAAAAGTCAAATCGAGGAGGCTTGGGTAAAAGACTGTAGCTTTGGACAAGTATGCTGTTGTTGTACATGCTCGCCCGCAGTAGCGTACGAGGTGGAGCCTCCACAACGAGGAGATGGAAACGCCATTTTCGTCGAAGTGGGGTGCGTTCCAGATTCGCTGTTGGCTGCTGCACACCTGAAGCCAGGGAGAAAGGACGGCCAATCGAAGCGACATGTGCCGCCGTGGGAGTAGTGATATCCGACACTGCTCGGCCGATAGGCCTTTCGTCGTAGTAAAACTCAGCCTTATCGATATCCTGCTCGCCAAGGCTTCCTTGCGCCCACTCGGCTCGCTCCCGGTACTTTAAGCAGGTTCTAGGCTCGCCGCATCAACAACTTGACCTGTCACCACCACTTCATGCAAACAGACGGAATGAGCCCCTTTAATGGTTTACTATGCTGATGAAGAGCATCCGAGGAAGAGGCTGAAGCTTTGGGATAAGAGCGCAGCGAATTTGGTTCCGGGCAGCATGGAGGATTTCAACAGTGAGACGGATAGTGATTATACGAGTTACTGGAGAGATTGGGTGAGTTGACAAGTTTCTTTCGGCTTTTTTAGAGATCCATTCCCGTTTTTGATGCCATGCTCTGTCTTTGATCTACGTAAAAGGCCTTACTAGGCCTCTGTGGCTCCTGCTGGACTGCTCTCCACATCGCGATCGTGGATACCGAAAGCGATTTGGGGATTTCTGGAGCAAAGCTTCAAGAGGGCAGATACATTACGGGCTAGCCCCATGTCTTCAGGGGCGCTCCTTCCTTGCCTTGTTGGAAAGCCAAGTAGCAGAATGGACGAATGATCTTCTTGACAATCATTTGCACAACATTTCCTCAGCGTTGCATTCATGGGTTACCTCGAGAGGATTGATGAGGGCGACGGTCCATTGGATTTTGTGCGTGATAGTTTTATCCACATTCATGCTTGGTTGTCAGAGAAGAAGGTGGATGCTGATGAAGCGGAGCTCCTGGCGGATATGACTCGGAAGGTTGACTGGAGCGACTACGTGGAAAAGAAAGGTTTCGTCCGGCTGATGGAATACTTCTCTGGGCGAGATTCGATATCTGAGGACCTTACATGGGCTGGTGTCGTAGGTCTCGATTGGACTTGGCCGTATCATAGCTCCTGGCTTTTTTCTCATGTCGAGCTCCATGTTTTTGCTCCAGTGTTATTGATTCAAACACCAACAGAGGCGTACACTTGCTGACAGGTCTATGTGCAGTTCATCTCATCTCGAGGCAATGAATACTTCTGCGAGATCGACGAAGATTATCTCACAGACCGCTTCAACCTTACTGGGCTCAACACGGATGTGCAGTATTATCAATACGCTCTGGACCTCGTCACTGACGTCTTTGACCTGGATTGTGACGACGATATGAGAGAGCAGATCGAGAAATCTGCAAGGCACCTGTACGGCTTAGTCCATGCACGATACATCACGACTACGAGGGGGCTTGCGAAGATGGTAGGCCAGAACGCTCGTCCGGGACCCATCATTCATGCTGACCTCTATAGCTCGAGAAGTACAAGAAAGGCGACTTTGGCAAATGCCCCCGAGTCATGTGCAACGCACACCCTCTTCTCCCTACCGGCATGGCAGATCTCGCTCATGTCCAGTCCGTCAAGCTTTATTGCGGCAAATGCGAAGACCTATACAACCCCAAATCATCTCGCCATGCCAATATAGACGGTGCTTACTTTGGTACATCATTCCAGAATATCCTATTCCAGGTCTACCCTGCTCTAATCCCAGAGAAGACCATTGAGAGGTACCAGCCTAGGATCTTTGGTTTCAAAGTGCATGCAGCTGCTGCGCTGGAGAGATGGCAGTCAGGAAAGAGGGAAGAGATGCAAGAAAGGCTGAAGGATGTCGGGATGGAGAAATGCTTCAAGGAAGATGTGGAGCTCGAGGATGATATGGAAGAAGACGAGGAGGAGGTTGCGGGCTTGGATGGAGCTGATGACGTGCTTGCTGAGTAGAGGCAGGATTCGAGGCCTTTAGATATGGTTTTGATGCATGGCTTATGGCGTAGGACGGTAGATACCAGCGAATTTAAGGGTACATGATTGGCTCGCACATCTTGAGAAAAGATTAGCCAGCAAAAGAGCTCACAGTGTGCCAAGCCGTCTCAGCCCTACTGAAATATATCTTAGTGCGGTATGTAAAACCACCGCACAAGTCTCCAAGTCTCTGCAAGCTCGGCAAACCTCTACATCCATGTCACTCACCCTAACGACCTCGCTGTTCGCGGTACAGCTTGGACTTAGGATGCGTGGCATCTGCAGAGGCTCATCCCACGTCTCGGGCTGATCGTTTATTGTTAGTCACCTCCCAGCAAATGCAATCCTGCCCCCAGTGCCCCCAAAATGATGAGCTTTTTACGAACAATCCAAATCCTATAGCATCATGCAGGAGTACTATACTCTAGAATTACTCTGACCCTTACTTTATACTGCGTCTTGGTGTCTAGTTGCGATCTAGAAGACACCTTGCTGACCCTTCACAGAATAGTGATATGCTCCAACTCGATATCGAGTTCGAGATTCCCAACAGCCAAGACCATCAGTGAAGACATTTTCGATCTTTCATGCAGGCGAACAATATCCATGCACCCGAATATCAAGCAGACCGAGCCTGATTGTGATGGGATGGCGGACCTGATCGGGCTTCAAGTCCACCAGCAGTACTCCTTCGATGCTGTCTAGGTGTTAGACGGTTTCCCTGCGCGCGTCGGACATTATCAAAGGTACAGGACCTTTACTCCTGCATTGATCAATCTCCTCTAGATGATGACCATATGACACGGAAAGGCATTCCTCAATCCGAACAATTAATGTCGATTCTGTCTCTACAAAGTTTCAGCCTTGTCTGACCCCCAATCTTTCACCCACTTGTTACATGCTCAATTTTTTGGGTGATCAAGGCTAATGTGGTGTCATTGCGTCAGGTATGATCCGCTTTGCTGTCCTCCGTTTGCGGCTACATACCATTCCTTTACATGAAGAACTTTGAACGAACGGGCGGACAGATTGCGTACTCGTCTGCTGGCACCAATCTGTGCTGGAGCGTACAAACTTCAGCCGGTGTCAGGAAGATGATGTACTTGTTGAGAACTCGTCAGCTGAGCCATTACACATCCCGTTATCTTTCCGGTCGACCGCTTTGCTTGGAGACCATACTGACAGCTTCTTAAGTAGGTGATTGGCCTGCTATCTCTTTCCAAGCATGCAATTTGTCTCTTGAAATGATGAACACTATTCACACTGTTTGAGCCGGGAAACGCCTTGTAACGAGGGCACCTTTCGGTGATGAACGTACAAACACTGAAAATTCTGATTTAATGAGGTATGTTACGAGACCCATCCACTCGTCTTCAGAAGTATGGCTGACAAGGTGCTAAGCCTGATTCACAGATGATGATTGCGATCCCACTGAATTGCTATTCTCTTCATTTGATAGATCTTTGGCTGACTCTTGGTTGGCTACGAAGTGTAGGCGCAGATAACAAGATTCAGCTGACCACCTCGTACGTACTCAGATCAGTGGCCTTCCTTCTCTTCCATTACATACTACCTGATGAATCCAAATATTCGCTGTGTTCTTTCCGAGACACGTCATTGAAGAAACATATATTTCACCTTGGAGAACTGATACCTACATCCCAAAACATAATCGCTTACGCATGATTCTCCCTCTGTGCAGAAGCTGATGGATTGCAGGTTGTTAATTGCGAGAAACAGACGTTCTTGCAGCTGCCGAGAAGCAAAAAGCCTTTCCATATTGTGGCGGTGTGCGTTAGAGATTGTGCAGGAGCAAAATCAGTCAATCGTGTCCATTTCGGCGTCTCTATAGCCATAGCTAGCGAATCATGACCATGCTTCTCCCACATGCTTCAGCGCTTGATGCATGCGTCTATTGAGATATAACACACAAATCTTGCTACCGCCAGCCCCCAACCCTCCCCTCATCCCACCGCTCCCTCGCCTCCTTCCTCCTCCAAACCTTCACCCTCCCCTCCCTATACCCCCTCAAAAACTCCCCCACCTCCCTCTCCCCCACCTCCCCCTCCCCATCCAACCAGCTCCCCTCCAACCCCTCACACCACTCCTCCCCCTCCCTCTCCCCCTCCCTCAGCCGCTGATACAGCACCTTGGCACTCCACGGCGCCAACTCCCGATCCATAAGCGCCTGCTTCTCCCGCCACTGCCGCTCCAGCGCGTGCAGACGCAGCAACTGCGACTGCGTCCGCTGGCGCAGGGCGAGCAGGTGCGCGCGCTGCGCCGTGAGGTGTCGGGCGAGGTTTTGCGTCTGCTGCAGGTGCGGGGGCAGGGGGGACGGGGTGAGGGATGGGTGCAGGAGGGAGAGGGAGCGGAGGAGGGGTTCGTTTTGCAGGGCTGCGTGGAGGGTTTGGGATCTGGATCGGTTCAGGCAGGGTTAGGAGACGGTTTTTGGGGATGGGGATGGGGATGGGGTGGCGTACGGTTTGTCGAGGAGGATGTCTGGCAGCCAGTGCTCGGATGGATTCGGCGGGGGAGGGTTGGTTGGTTGGGAGGATTGCGGGGGGGGTGCTGGGGTGGTGGTGGTGTGGGAGGGTGTTTGGGGGGGACGGGGTGGACCGGTCGTTGTGGGGGTGTAGGATGGTGTGTATGAGGGCGTCGGGGGTATGGATTGAGGGGGTTTGGGCGGGGGGGGTGGGGCGGAGGATGGGTTGGTGTAGCTGGAGAGGGGGGTCAGGGCTGAGGATGCCATGGTTGGACTTCAATGGGTATACGGGTGGGTGAGCTCTGATCTGGTTGCCTTATCGATAAATTACGAGGTATCTTTAAATTACACTAGTGCCGTTGATAGGGAGATTTGCTGTGGCACCGTTGCATTCCATGTTTTCTTTGCAGGCTCTGCATCAGGGTGAGTTGTCACGAAGATCGCTTGTGTTGTATTGGATCCACTTTGTAAGAGTGTCCGTGCTCGATCCGTCAGCTACCAAGCGATTCCTCGTTCTTGTCCGTTTCATGCTCAACCCCAGTATTCAAGCAAGGCAATAGGGCGTAGACCGCCTTGGCCAGTACCATTCTCTACTTTATGGCATGCTATCTTACGTCGTCTAAAAGCTTGAGACTCTGCTGCCCAAGTTGCGTCGTCTCTACTTTGAGACTTAGTGCTGTTGGGTTCACTAGCACCACTTATCATGGTGGTCATCCGGAATGATTTATACGCACAGACTCCATCCATCGTTTGTTTCATATGCATGAAAATCCGAGGCTGAAGACCACGCGCATCGGGTCTTACCCAATCACCGTCATGCCAATGATGACCAACTTACCTACATCAAAATGTTGGAGGTGTCCAGAAATGGGTGGCAAAGACACCAAGGATGGCATGCTTACGCTTCGCCGAAAGCTTGAAGAGTCCACGTGCTTCATCCTTTGATGGACTAGCTGGTCAAAAGCGGTGGCGACTTCCTCTTACGGCCCAGATTGCATGCAAACGTTTATATCTATATAATGGAGGGTAGCATTTTCAGATACTGTGCCGCCGAACGATGCCATCATCATAATTGACATCCGAGGTCCGTTTGAACAGAGCTGATTTCGTTTGTCTTCTGATGTCAAAAGTGCGTGTCAAAATGTCCGACATGCTGAAGGCTTTGGAGAACAAACCATGTGGCCTCAGGCGCATATTACCCCAGAGCTTGGCAACGACCAGGTTGTAAAGCTGTAAGCGCTTGAATCGCGACCCCAAAGCTTCAAAGCAGCGTCATGTTTCCGAAAATCCCGACATCGGGTCCTGTCGACTTGAGACAGGCTAAGTATGCAGGTGCCACGCCATTGCAAGGACAACCCCTGAAGAAAAGATGGCGCCACCCGAGGCGCTCAAATCGCAAGTCGACATCGTTCTTCCGCCAGATGGGATCTTGCTCCCAGCAGGCCGTAGAAACATTACTGGTCCTTCTAGACGGTTTCCATATTCGAAATCCCGTCCAATAGTGTTTCAATAAACACTTATGAGACTGCGGATAGTACTCAACACATGCCAGGCACGAACAGCGCCTGTAGTAATGGTCCAACGGTCAAAATGAGAATCTGCGCTTGCGGGCGCCATGAGCTATCTATGGAGATGATACTTTCGAGATCGTCTTCGCCCGAGAAAGTCTCTCTTGTTGGCCGTATTTTGACTGTCGGCGATGTCCAACATGAACGCTGAGAGCCTGACTCCTTCCGAGTAAAAAGGAGCAAAATCGTCGCGAGAGACGAAAAAGGACCGATGATATGGTTGCATGTTGATTAGTGATTACTATCCTTATTGTACTTATGTATATATAGCATTTGGCAAGTCATGGCGATAAGTTCTTGCCCAGACTACGCCCATGCCTCCCAACTTGTCACACGTGGCGCAGAGGTCAAGCAAGGCCATAAATAGCAGAGCATATTCCGCGAAATGCCAGCGATGATGCATGATAATTTCAAAATCTAGGTATTATTGCTTGCACACGATCATTAGAGATCGTCAGTTGGTCATAACGGTCGCATGTTTCAATGTTTGACTTGCATTTTGGCGTACCAAGGGTTGGGACTTGGAATGGTTGATCCCTCGTGGCTGTTGATCCTTCCCGCCTTTGAAAGGTCTCCCCTTTTAACCACGCAATTAGGGGCCACAATATTGTCCAATAATGATGTGTTTTCGTAGTGTTTCTATCCCAATCATAATGTAGTCAGCACGCCATCAAACCCTCGAATCCATCATCCGCCTCTCGCTTGCTCCTCTCTCTCAGGGCATCCGCACTGCATCGCTACGGGCCGGCAGCCATTTGGAACATTACCTGAATGATGGATTTTTCTTACATGCACAGAATGCAACCTGCCAGTATGACAATCCCTCATAATGCAACCAGTTGATTCAGCATACGCCATACTGAGCCTTGCTGAGCCCTACTGTGGAGGAATCGGCACGAGTTTCTGCGCTTGGCATCCTTGCATTGGTCGCTACCGAGGTGTTTCATCTTTGGTCGCTCTTTCCGCCTTGCCTTGCGGAACCTCAACATCTCCACATCACCATCTCCTCCCACAACACCTCCCTTTCGACACTCTCCTGTTCTAAGACACATACATGACATCACAGAATCCCATGATATACGGAGGCTGATGCGCATCGGGGAGAAAGGCTGGCAAGGGCAAAAAGGTTGGAGGAGCGAGGAAAGGAAGGGGCTTGCGAGACTGTACAGGCGACCCAGGGACAAACATTACGCCATTCAATAATCGACATGATACGATAGTTGTTTTCCATCGTGAACATACTCAATTCGCCACTGGCAAGCGCCTGGTTGCTCTCGCCATCGCCTTAACCCATTCTTTGGTCCTGTGCAACCTGGGCGGGAATAACCCACAACAATGGTCGTTCCAGCGCCACCGGTACCATTGAACGACCATTGCTCCATAATATACAATGGCGTTCTCTACACATACCAAGCAAACGCTTTCCAATCGCTGGCTCTCCAAGATGGCGCAACCTGGACACAATTACCCATGGGCGTACCCACGAATGGCTCCACCTGCGTTGAAGGCACTTACAACAATGACAACTCGCTTATTGTTGTAGGCGGTTCCACTTCGACTTCAAACTATCAAGGCATACAATCCTTTTCATTCTCTACCAAGACATGGACATCCCAGTCCCCTCTGGACGCCGTCGCTGCGAATCGAGTGGACCATGGCACTGCATACCTACAACAATCCTCATCGATCCTCATGTACGCTGGTACTCAGAACAATGACTATGGGCCTTCATCACAAACTTTCCTCATCCAAACAACATCACCTTACAACGTTCAAGCCTTCAACTCTATTGCGCCACCAGTCATCTCACCGCTAGTGCTACCGTTTAATACTACACATGCATTGATGCTGGGAGGGGATCCGACGAACACGAAACTCTTCACGTTTGGCCCTGTCGAAGGGTGGCAGCAGCTGGATGTCAGCTTGCAGAATCCTTTGAGGGATTCATCCATGGTACAGGCTACGATATTAGACGGAAGCGATGGGAGCAAAGTACTGGAAATCTTCGATTTTAGCACATCGCCAAATCAGATCTCAACGCTTCTTCTACAAAACGCGACGAACACGCCACCATCTACTAAGAGGTCATACTCAAGATCCGCACACCACCCTGCGAAACGACGGAAACGGGATACGACATTAGCCGATAGACCAGCCTACAATAATACTCTTGCACCCCAGCAGACTCGAACAGGGTACTCACTTGCGGAGGATCCAAAGTCTGGCCTGATCGTTGCATCAGGTGGAAACAGCCAAGATCCATTGGCGATATTTAATCAAACAGGAAACCAATGGGTTGATCCCAACCAGTTCTTTGGTGATGAACCAGCCCCGAGTTCAACGTCATCTACTCCTACCACAGCTGCGACAGGCACTAGTGCAAGCGGTACAGCTTCACCAAGCCAACAAGCAGCCAACACGAATGTACGGAACAAGTCCCTGACTATTCTTGGGGCCGTTCTAGGCGGCGTGTTTGGGCTTGCCGCTCTTCTAGTAATCCTTCTACTTCTCTTACGGTACTGTCGGAGGAGAAGAGGCAAGAAGCGTGAGCAACAAGCAAACAGCTACGCACTCGAGGATAAAGCAGAGATGGACTTTCGTGATGTCGGAGCACCCTTTATGAAAGAGGCCGGAGGCAGCTTTGTTGAACCCGATCACAGGAGGAATAAGTCTGACAAATTGGGGGCTAGCGCCAACACCAATGTCAAAGCTCAAGAGCGAGGAGGCGCTGCTTCTTCCCAATCGAAACGTGCACTACTTCATCACCAAGGTGACAGTGCTGGGAGTGCGCATTCGTTTTGGAGTCGTAGATCTCCAGAAAAGTCGCCGCCTACGATATCTGCACCCATCATGGGCCCTCCAATTGAGGAAACTCTGAGGACATCTCCGGATCCGAGGACCGACCCTCGAACAGACACGGGCTGGAGCAGGTATTTCATCAACAATAACTCCAAGGATCTCAATTCTATGCCGCTGGGGCATGACCAAGAAACAAGGCCGCAAACCTATTTCTCGGGTGAGGGTGAATCGGAATACGATTCATCCAACCCCCACGAGTCGGCTGAAGTCCAACCTCTTAATATTCGCGCTTCTCAAAATCCTTCGCTTTACCCGCCGGACTCTCGCGTCCTGTCTCCCACCGGTTTCCCTCACCCAGTTCAAGGGGTCCCTATCACGCACGGTACCAGACCGGACCCAAGAGATGAACCATCCCCGCCTTCGACCCTCGTCTCTGACATCGACGAAGAAGATGAATACGCAAGTCACTCTCACAGTGATGGACAGGAATCTTGGGATCCAGTAGCTTCCGCAGGCGAGCGAGGAAGTTCCTGGACAGAAGATCGACCGATCAGCGACTATGCCGACAGCAGGATGAACGCGGATAGTAGAGTCCCCGTCGATAGCAGGGTCAACAGCAGGATTTATCCACATCCTGGCGAGCGGGTGCGAATACCAAACTTCCCGACCGTGCCCAATAGCCAGGGACCGTCAGGGGTGAACACTCCCACATCACCCGTTGATGATCCGAATAGAGGTCTGAGAAACGTTGCGTCTCGCGACTTTGCTCGGACAGCAAGTGGGAGACGGATTCCTCATAATGCCGCCGTGGCTAGTTACAGTGCGACTCAGGTGAGGGAGCGTGCAGTGCCTGAAGAAAGTACCAGCAGGCAGCCGGAGTATGGCGCAGCTCAAGTGCGGACGTTTCCCCGAAAGAAGGAGGAACTGGGGCCCAGAGGACGAGGAGGCAGGGAGACAGAGGACATGAGCTGGCTGAACTTGGGCACGAGTGCCGAGCAGAGCAACAATCACCTTCGTTTTGCGAGTTAATGAGCATCAACAGCACGCATTTGAAGGGGATGACAGTGGGGGCATGGGACCAAGGCGTTATCGGAGCACCATCGGCGAATACCAAATCAACACAAGAAAAGGGGAAGGATTTTAGAGCATTCAATTCTTACGATCATTAATCACACTGTACAATGTACCAACACCAATACCGACGACGCAGGTAACGCTTAATCAGCATGCTGGTCTACTATTATCCATGAGGGTTTTGTCTTCTGGGAGGCATGCGGAAAAGTGGGAGGATGAAAGGGGTTGGACTAGCTGAGGCTGTTGGATGGGATGGATGATGCATGGCTGATGATGGAGATGAGAGGGAAGGAAAGGAGATGTATCCTAGCTGCATGCATGCGTATGAAGAAGGAATCAAAGTCTTGACATCTACGTCGCTTGCCCATGACGATCCCAAATCCAGCATCAGCTGCAAGCAGTAAGCTCAAGAGTGCTTGCTAGCAGTCGCAGGTGATTGCATAGCAAGGTACTGTACACTTTGTTGGCAATGTTTGCGTTGAATTTCCCTCATGGCCAAGGTATCCTGCGCTAACCGCTTACAGCAAGCCTCAGCCCTATCAACCTCACGCTCTGGAGACTCTTCTTTTTCTCTGACCGGCGAGATCTCCAAACGCTGGACGCGCTTCTTGATGTACCATCCGGTGGGATTCTAGATGTGATAACGCCATCGCGTCGGTGCCGTCTATCTGCCGGTACGCTCTTGCGGGTCTGTTCCGTCGGTGCGAAGGAGGTTCGTCTTCGAGCTTTCCCGTTGACATTCAAGGGCGTCGGCGCGAGAAGTCGTGTGGGAATGTTGTCCTGGATGGATCAGATGCATAGGCGTCTGCTCTTGGTTTTCTGGGTGGTCGGTTTCGATCAGATTGTGGGGGGAGGTGTTCGACGTGACTGCTGCCTCGTTGAGATTTAAGAAAATCCTCCACGCGTCCACTTCCTCCCAAATACCTCCTCACTGTCTCGTCTCCAGCTGGGTGTACAGAGGCTCAAGGCTGCAACTCCTTGACGCCATGCTCCGCTGTTATAGAACGGTCCCTGAAGCGTGGATTCCGTTGAAGTCTCTGTTCATCTCCTTCAAGAATTCTTGACTAATCATCGAACACGATGCGTGGCACTAGCCATCGTCTTCGCGGCGTCCGCTATGCTTGTGATGTTGCCGCTCTAGGGCGGCATTGGGCTGTGGATCTGGCTATGCCTCGGCAGTAAGTACTCTGGTGAAGCGCGTTGCAGAGCATATGGATGGAGATAGGAAGCTTGGAGTAGGGTATGACGGGGTGGCACTGAGCTTGGAAGAGGGGGATGGCAGCGTCTATTTTCGGGTGAGTCTGAAGCAGATTAACCGAGCTGTTTGGTAACGGAGCTTCAGATGATGCATCTTATGCTGTCCAGGAGATAAAGGGAAATGTAGCGCCGCTTTTATTTATTCTATCTTTCTTCTACTCCAAACGGTCACAAGCCTCAGTTGTCTCATCATCAGTAGAAGCTGCGACCCTGCAAGAGCAAGGAATACCGTTTGCAGACATGAAGTATTTCCAACACTGAGATATGAAGCGAAGGGCGGTAAGGTCATCAACATCTATCTCTATGGCAAGTCTAATGTATAAATTCAGGATCGAAGGCTTTGCCTATCGTTGGTCCTAGGAAAGAACCCAAGCCCTCGACGTTGATCTCCTGATCTCAGCTTGAGAAATGAGACCAAGATCCTGCAGGGACTCGGACTGACTTTGTGTAGGGTTTGAAAGCGTTTTGTAGTAGTGCAAGCGGTGGTGGAAGGGTCTCAACCATAGGGCAGATCAACGAGAGGTATCATCCACTATCTGGCTCTTTCTGAAGTATTAGTGACTGCTGCAAGTGGCTTTTCCCACTTTGAGCTTTTTGATACCCCTTTTCTACCATTTCAAATAATGAAGCATAGTACTTGTTTTCTTACCGCATGCGCACTATGGTGTCTTGATCGCGGAGAAATTCGCCAAGGGAGACTTGCGCGAGGGTTGCTAATGTTTCGTGTGGTACGAGAACTGTCCCCCTCATCTGCATTCACCGTTCGATTCCATTGGGTTGCAATCTCCGTCCATAGACGCCCTTCGGTCCCCGGACCGCTCAACTTCGGTCCTCGTGACTGTGAAGGCAATCTTACACCGCCTCTCATGTCCCATGATTTCCTTCCGTTTCGCCTTCGTCTTTTCCCACACACACACGAAACGTCTCCTTCACTTCTACTTGTTTCCCCCACTTTTAAGGCAGGGAATCAAAGTGTTGACACTTCAAGGAGGTCCGAAGAGAATGAAGTGAGTATTAACGTCACAATACACTCACCCTATTGGATCCTCATTATCGCTGACCATGAATTCAAACACCCTAACAGAACAGACCTAAATGGCCTCTTCCTCCAAAAGTGTGCCATCTCTGCCGAGTTACGGGTCGGAAGGGTCGAGCAACGACGTTTTCCCCCCCAAGGAAGAGCAAGCTGCACTCCCTGAGGCAGATGAACCCGCACTCCCTACCATCACCGCCATTCGCATCCCAGCCGACGGCACCCTACCCTGCTTGATCACCCTCCAACTTGTCAAGGCAACCTCAAACTACCACTATAGTCTCTACGACTCCAACCTGTTGCGCCACTCAAATGCCGATGACATGCGGGACATCAATCGTCACTCCTGTAAGTTTTTCAATCCAATGGTCGATGATGCCCAGATCGACCTCGATAAATTGTACGACTCGAGAGACAGTTTGTACGAGAAAGCGACCTGGAGCCTGGAAGAACTTGAAAATCATCCCGGTCTACATGCCCACTCATATGTCAAAGGCACTGACAAGTTTCTTGACGTCCCACTCGCCGAGAAAACAGAAGAACCTCATTTGACCTTCACACACGCCAGTCTACGCCTTCAGCCAAATGTCGTCGATCCATTCTGGGGATCTGGAGAAGCCTGGAATCACCGTGCCTTCCAACGACTGTACGCCGTCCCCCGCGAGTATGCCGACCTGGAGATGATGACCGGCGAATACCACATCGTGTACACTCAAACACTAGGAATGGGCTTACATCCTAACAAATGGGCAAGAGATCGTGTATTTGGTGACGCTTTCGTGTTGAAGATGGCGAGTGGGAAGAATGACGAGGGCGATTGGTATTATGAGAACATGCCACAGAAAATTCTGCACTGCTCGTTGGGAAATCAGTGTTTGGAGACGCTGAGGAGTGTGAGACCGATTGCTTGGAAGTTTATGGTGGGTGAGAGAGGCGGTGGGCCACCTGGGGTGATCTCGCCTGGTACAGGGCTGAGAGGTATGGTCACCGGAGTCTATGTTACATGAGTCTCTGACTGTTTCACAGACTGAGGGGTTATGTTTGGAGGCTTAGTGTTTCAAGCGTGTTAGAAGCGCTGGCGGGCTACCCTTTCCATTATACGAAGCTGGTACTTCCTGATTAATATTGACTTTATACAACAGACAAATCTCTTCCCTCGTCGTCACTTCTCTTCTCACCCCGCTGTTCGTGGAGTAATCACAACACAGCATCACCATACATGATCAAGAGCATCATGATTCCTGGTTCACAAAGCAGATCAAGAAACATCGTCAGAGACATCATATGCGGGCTGATGTAAGTCATTTACTTCACAGGTGCATCTTACACTGACAATCGAACTTCAGGACTCAAAGGATCCAGTGACGATCCCCACATCTATTAAAGCTTACATCATTCCTGCTGACGGAAGTCGCCCGTACTTGGAAGAAATTCAACCACCGAAGGGCCTATCTTAACGCTCACTCGCTCCAATGAGGTCGATTCAGCAACTGGAGATATCCTGAGTTACATCGACAGGAGAGACGAAATCGATGGGTTGTTCTTACACTTCCAAAAGGAGAGCCTCTGACTCCGAATCCATACGTTGCTGGTAAAGTGTCCGGCGATATGTTCCTGCTACAAGCTTCGGATGACATCGATAGCGGTTGGCGGCGGTTCTATGTGGACATCAGTTCCGGAATTGGGTTTTCGAGCCAGGGGGGGAAGACATATACTGAAAACCCTCGCATTGGTCGGTTTTGAATACAGATGAGGAGCATTGAGTAGCTTGGGGGATCATGGACGCACTACTACTCTGTCCTTACTGTCGGATTAAGCATGCCGGTTTTACAAAGCAATTCTACGACAATAGCCTACAACCTGTTCTCTCCATGGTCATATTTCAGCGCTGAGACGTCGTAGTATCCCTCGTTTCAATCATGACTCTATTCGGCGGCTCCTCTAGCACCCAGTCATCGTATCCCGAGATCATGGCGGATTTAATATTCCTGGAGACATGGCTCGATTTGCTTGGCAGTATTTGTCCCCGCAGAGAGTTGTGAGAGTGGATTGGGCAGCACAGCAAGGCGGTCAAGTCTCGGAGAGCTGAAACATATTGTATATCTTTGATATTGGTTGGGTAGGCATGCCTGTTTCACAAGAAAGGCATCTTCTAAAGGTACATGTCCGAAGCATGAAACTCATATGCAATCATCTGCCACCGCTGAGATGTTGCATTATGCCTTGTTTGAAGACTCTCTTCAGGGTATCCGTGGACGCCCAGTCATCGTGCCTCTTTCGATCTTCAAACCTTTAACGTGCTTCGTGCCATCTGATACGAAACGCACAAGCCATGACATCTGCCTAGACGTTCCAGGCAGTGCATGAGTTTCGCTTCGCCTTTTGTCGGGCAGTACTCTTCCACTACAAAAGCCCGCTTTTTCCCCGTTGCTTTTGGCTTCACGCATCACACAAAATCTTCCTCTATCCTCTTTCCACTTCTCATCTCGCTCCACACCGAACAACCGCAACACACCATTGCTTTTGACATCAGACATCACATAGACTCTTCCTTCATCCTCTCTCCGGTCTCAAATCGCTCCCTGTCAGACAGCCGCATCACAGCGTCAACCAACTCATCGTCAACATCGTCATGGACGCCCCAAAACCAAATCGTGATGTCGGTCCTACGCTGAAGACAGTAAGTTATCAAGCTCTCATTCGCATCCTACACTAATGACTGTACTTCAGCGCTCCGATGACCCAAAGACAGAGCCTGAAGAAACGGCTTCCTCCCGTGTCCAAGTGTTCGTTCTCCCTGCCGATGGAACCTCCCCCCGTACAGAGTTCCTTCCAACCATCGATACGATTACAAATGTGTACTCGTTCCCCCCTACAGAGTTCCGGCCTGTCATCAACCCGTCTAGCGAAACGTCCTCGGGCCCCGCTGGACGCGACGACACAACTCAAGCAAATGCGAATGACCACGTGGTGACCAGCTCCCAACTCACGCTACCTGACCCTTGTCACGGACACTGGCCCGCGGACGCCTGGGAAAAACGAGGCGTATTCGGAGGAGGTTTCTTCCACTTCTTAGTCACGCTTCTGGAGGAAGGGTTGCATCCCAATCCGTGGACGAAGGGGATATTCTTCGGCGATGTCTTTGTCCTGGTTTTTTTCGGCACCACGGGTTCACCGGTACTTAAGGACATTTTCCCCAAGGCCGAGGCCACGCCAGAGCTAGAGTCGGCCCTTTTGCAGCTTGTCACTGCCTCCTTTCAGGTTTGAGTGGCTCAGGATCTTGCTTGCGAGATCGGCACAGCAGACTTGGAGGATTGAGCGGCATTGAGGAGCTTAGGCGATGTTGGCGACTTAGATATGTTGGATGCGCTACTACACTGTCCTTACTGCTGGGTTTAGCATGCCTTTTTTTCGGAATCATCTTACATATACTGTCTCTACTGTTTGTTAGGCGTGTCCGCTTCACGGAGTTGTCGTAGCAATACTGTCCTTACTGTTGGGTAAAGCATGCATAACTTGCGAGATCGTCACAATAGCACTGTCCTTCCTGATGGGTTAGACGAGCTTTCTTGCTCAAGAAAAGCAATAAGCAAGACGGCGTCCCAGTATGATTCTTACTACAACCATGTCCAGTATCCCTTGTCACAAAAGTGACTCTCTCCGACACGTGCTGTACTGCTTGACCATTCTACCCTCTTGGGCCCCTGTAGACCTTTTGCCTATGACATGACAACCCATCAACGAAACAATGAGCTAAAACATATGTTTGGAAAGTCGTTTCAGGCAGCGCTGAAGCCTCACCGAATGTCTTCCGGGCAGTCCCTTCTCTTCAACTTCTGCCTCGGATCCACTGCCTGCGAACTCAAAACTTGACCAAGACAAGACGTATCGCCAATGCATAGGTTAGAGAATGTTTGCCCAGGTTTCAGACTGTGACTCGGTTTTTCTGCTTGCCTTTCGGGCAGTCCTCTCTTTCTCTATTTAAGATCAGTCGTGCTCCCTCGTTCTTGTTTCTGAAAACATACAACTCCTTGTACATCCTCACGGCCCAATTCCCATCCCATTCGCGATCACATCACCACAGTACCATATGGTGGGAGACACCATCAAGAAGATACCAAACACATCATTAAAAGACATCTCAGCCAGTTAATGTAAGTAGTGGATCTCTCAGATGCACATTTTACTCACTGTTGAACTTTGGCGCCTCAGAGACCCTCGAACTAGACACAAAATGACGGCTCCCACGCACGTCAAAGTCCTCGTTCTTACTCAAAAAGGACTCCAGTATCCAGAATACATCAAGAGTGTGGACACGCCTAACAGACAGCGGATCCCGTCCACTGATCTGGATCCTAAACTTCGAGCACTTCTCAAATCCCAGATCCCGACAATCACCTCTCATCTCTATCACGGTACCGAGCACGCCGATTACTCAGACGTTGGTCCTCTACCCGACACTCGCCTACATTACTGGAGCGAGAATGCCTGGGCGAAACGTACTGTGATATGTCTATCCAAGTATCACGTCTTCTGTACCCTTCAAAAAGGAGAGACACTGCTTCCCAACCCATGGTCTGGGAACATATTCTCGGGCGACATGTTTATTCTGAAGTTTCCCAATACTGAGGGTCCAGATGGGCGACGGTTCTACGAGGACATCGATCCTGGTACTACATTGAGGGAGATTTTGCGAGTCGATGCCGAGGTGGCGGCTGTTTTCGAGGAAGCAATGAAAGAGTACTTCACGCGACGATGGGAGGTATCCGCAACGGTGGAGAGCTGGGAGTAGTGGACGCCCTATACTGTATTTACTGTTTGGGAAGCACGTTTGTTTTGCGCAGTCATCATTCGTAATACCGTCCTTACTGTTGGGTCAAGCATGCATGTTTAGCAAGGTATCACATATAACACTGTCCTTACTGTTGGGCACAGAATGCTGGTGCTGCAAAGCCATCGGACGCAATACTGTCCTTACTGTTAGTTTGAGCAAGATTGTTTAGCGGAGTCAACATACATAATAACACAAAAGAGGTATGACACTCCCAAATCATAATCTCTCGCCGCCAATTGGCGCAGCGTGACTTGTATTTCTCAAAGTCCTCGACCCGTGATTGACGTCCTCGTGATCAGGCGTTCTCCAATCCCATTCGCCCTCCAATCCCGCTGCCTGCTAACCCTGGAAGCACACGCGTCCTTGCATCTCCTGCATTCCTTTCCGCGAGCATTTCTAGCAAATCATATATGCTTGCTTCCGCCTAGGGTTACATGCCTGATTTCATGTATGCGGTTGTTGATCGGGTCCGCTCAGATACAACACAGAAATTAGCTGCTGCATCCTTCCTTCTCCGCCAGTCTCGCTCGGATTCGCGCACCGAGGGAATCAGAACACTTTGATTTGATCACCATCTCCGGGCGCACGGTCCCTACGGTGTGATTCGGATTGCTATCGTGCCTTCTCCGTCGGCTTCAATTGCTAACACCTTCCTCAACCGTCCCGTTCGCTGAGGATTTGTACCAGGACGTCAGAGAGCGTTGATCTTTGGCCCGAGCAGCTCCGCCTTATCTGCCAAGCTCTTTTGCGGGGAAATGCTGGGCGTTTCTGGCTTCTTCTACGCCAGTCAGTATAAAAAAATCTCAGTCCCTCCGCATCCCACCATTCGAATCTCAAACTCCAACAACCCGCCCTCAGAGAAGCATACCCTCTAACCCACAGCTCCCTTACCTTCAGCCGAAGTTTCCTCGGATGCCAGTGGAATACCCCACCGACGGGGCAGGAACCTTTCCCCCTCCGACTAAACCCCCTCGAGATGTCGCCAAAAGTAGCAAAAAGTGGGCGATCTCCTCAAAAGCTCGTCCCCAATCTCCCTCCTTGGGAGAGTCGACACCGGCTCAAACCCCCCAAGAGATCTCAAAAATTCTCCACGACTTCCTAAAGAGTCTTCCGGGGGCCACAGAATCGGGTCTGGGATGGCAGTAGAACATGCCACTGACGGGGGCAAAAACCCCGACCGACCCCTCCAGCGGATGCCCCTCAAACGGTCACCGCAAACGGCGGAATCCCAGCGGAATCCTCAAAGACTTCACCCCCAAGCTCTCCACTCAACCTCCTGGGGTCGGAGTTACCGCGCGCTAGGACTTGTGGGATTAGATTGGGCCAGGATTTTGCATTGGCATGTTTTCGGGCTTCTTCCCCTACTAAAGGTACCGACTCTCAAAGGTTCTCCGGACTCCGGTGTACTTCATGGCGGCGGGAAGGGGGTTGTAGGCTGGAGAAAGTAGGAAGATTTGATAGCAAAGAAGCCAATGATACACAATCGATGGGCGATTACCCGTAAAAATGAACTGCATTCGCCAGAAGAGCAGATTCTCCTTGCGCCATGCTACCATTCCCAGCGCCAGATGCTACGATTTCGTCAAGGAAGAAGGGATTTCAACCTTCCCTTTTCGCCATCTTTTTGACTGGCAGCCCGGGTACTTTGAACCCTCCACTGTCTGTTACAACTCCATTTGCATTAGACGCAGCAGCACCCCCAACCTGCGTGAAAGTACCACCCTTGAACCACCGATCATCCTCCTCAGCTAGCTTCCTTTTCCGTTCAGCCTGCATCTTAGGATCCACAAGCTCCAGTCCTTGCACGGGCGTGAAAGCAATGCTACTCGCAGTCCCGCTCGTGCCAGCCCCAACGCCAGCTGTTCGTAAGCCATGCTGAGCGAAGGTGTTGCCACCAGACTGTCCAAATCCGCGAAGGGAGGTTGCGGTACCTGAACCGAGAGGCGTTGCAGTGCCCCATCCCTTGTTGTTTTTGCTGAGCTTGGCTTTCGTTCGCTGATCGATTTGCTGAGAGCGGATGCGGCCCTCATTCGCCTGGCCGATCATACCGAGACCTTTCGTGGTCTCTGCATAACCGACTTCTTTCTCCTCCTTACCAAATGCCATCCTGTTCTGCGCTTTGCGAAGGTCAGTCATTGCCGTCGCTTCTTTGGCTTTGCGGGCACGTCGGCCACCACGTTTTCTAGATGGCTTATCATCTGGAGCAGGCAAAGCTCGAGGTCCTTTATTAGGGGGAGGTTCTGTGAGTTTTTCGAGGCGGTCTAAACAGTCCGATTTGAGCTGTTCGCCGCTGGAGCCGTCAGGGCTATTGTGAACACGATCAACGCGAGCTGCGAGGACGACTTTTGCAGCAACTATACGCATGGCTTGACGCTTGAGGTCATTGGGTATGCCTTTGATTATGGGAGAATGATAGAGGAAGCCTTGCTGCCGTACACCAACATTAGTGGCAAAGCCGGTCTGTGATTGCTTCTTCGATCCAAGTGGAGGTAGATTGCACGCCGGGGTCTTCGCAAGGCCGGTCAAACCTCCAGCAAAATTAAGCAGCTGCGCTGCAGTGAGGGACCCGATCAGCGCTGTGAGATTCGGTGCGAATAGATTCATCCTTGATTGAACGTATTCGGTGAGTACTCTCTTCGCTCGATCTAAGGATAAGGTCATCTCGCAAGCTCTCAAAACTCTTTGCAGCTCTGCCTCTGTCATTTCTCGTCCTCTCGACGTGGTAGCCTCGACAGTAACAACCATGAGCGAAGGTCCGTCTAAGATCGACTTCAGCGATGCGCTGACAATGTTATCGGTCTTCTGCGCAAGTTCTTTGATGTTATCCATGGGCCCATTGCCAATGATTGCGACAGACTTGGCGTAGTCGAGAGGGTTTGTAACGAGTGTCTCCAGCTCCGGGAAGCGGATTGAGTAGTGGTCGCGGATGTACTTGTGCACCAGGATTATCTCATTGTCAATTGACGTGGAAAGCGTATTGGACTGTGTGAGAAGATGATACTCCGGATTGTCTTCGATCGAACCAACAAAAGTGGTCTGCTGCCCAGGTGGACGATTTTGGTAATGGGAGATTTTCTGAAGGCGACGGGAAACGTCAGGGCTACGTCCACAGAAAATGTAAACTTTGGTCTTATTGTAGAGCAAAAGAAGGAGCAAGAGACAAGCACATACCTGTAATACTGGTTCCAGCGTCTCCATCAGACCTGCAACACTTCGCACATCATTCACTCCCCCAAGTTGCATCTTCTCAACCTTGGCCTTGGCTTCTTCCTCATCTTCGACGTTTGCAGCGGCGCCAGTCGCTCTTACACCTCCGAGAGCTGTTTCTTCGTCCTCGCTCACATCTTCTTCGTCTCCATCTAAGACCATAGACCCTTCAGGAGCTTGAGCTCGGCCGTTGGTTGCGGGCGGTGTCGCGTCATCTCGAAGGAATCCGTTCTGCTGCTCACCCTCACCTTCAGAACCTGAGTCCTCAAAATCATTGAGCAGCTCGTCAGCTAGTGTAGACATGGTAGATGACTCTTGTGGGTGAAAAAGATTCGATTCTACTCTACAATTTTTCAAGTTTGACGTCGTTCAAACTCCCGTGTGATACAAGCCTTGGCACGGCCACTAACGGGAATGCCCGAGCTTCAACGGGCAAACTTCGGCGGAAGCTGAGATCAGACAAAACAGTCACAAAGTCCATTGCAGATGCGCCCTTCTCAGAAACACATCCAACGAGCTGTCGATTTCCTCTAAAATGGCGGAACAGTTGAGTCGGGAGGAGAAGCTCAAGCTGATCTATCAGAATCTGCAAGAGGTCCTGAAACCTGAAATTATCGAACAAGTCGTTCTCAAGGAAGATAGACCTCTGAAGATCTACTGGGGTATGGCGAGGCTCGACCATTGGATTTGCTGCAATCGTTGACTCTTATAGGTACTGCGACCACTGGTCGGTAGGTACACCAGGATTACCCCACGAGACTCCGATCTCTGACATGACAGACCTCACTGCGCCTACTTTGTGCCCATGGTAAGCATCACACAAGAAAGAATCTACAGGTCTCTGACTGATGATGGATAATAGGTCAAACTCGCTCACTTCCTTCGTGCCGGCTGCAAAGTCAAGATACTTCTCGCCGATATTCATGCCTTCCTTGACGCTCTCAAAGCCCCAATTGAACTGGTCAAGGAACGCGCGAAGTACTACAGATTCGTTATAACCTCCCTCCTCAAGGCTATCAATGTTCCCATAGATCAACTGGAATTCGTTATGGGCAGCGACTACCAAACCTCGAGCAATTACACCATGGACTTATTCAAATTAAGCTCGGTAGTCACGGAACACGACGCAAAAAAGGCAGGCGCCGAGGTAGTGAAGCAGATGGATAATGCTCCGCTGAGCGGTCTCATTTACCCTCTAATGCAGGCGCTGGATGAGCAGTACCTTGACGTGGATGCACAATTTGGCGGAGTGGATCAACGGAAGATTTTCACATTGGCCGCAGAGCAGCTTCCCCGGATCAACTATAAAGAGCGAGCTCATCTCATGAATTCAATGGTACGATGCAAGCCTCTGGACTGTATGCGATGACTCATATAAGAATAGGTACCTGGTCTTGCGGGAGGGAAGATGTCTGCATCTGATCCAGAATCAAAGATCGATATACTGGACACACCTGATGCTGTCAAGAAAAAGCTAAAGAAAGCATACGCTGTGCCAAAAGAAGTGACGGACAATGGTCTGATCAGTTTCGTGGAGTATGTCTTGTTGCCAGTCAGCGCTTTGAAGACCGAAGGTAAAGGCAAATTCGTGGTGGAGCGGAGAGAAGGAGAACCCCTGGTCTATGACAGCATCGAGACGCTAAAGGATGACTACACAGCTGATACAGTAAGTCACTGATTTTGGGCCCCTTAGTCCAGAATTTCATGTGAATAATACTAGAAACTGTACCTGTGTGTCGCCGATACAATTCAGCTGACCATCTGATAGCTCACACCACAGCTACTGAAGTCGGGCGTGACCGACGCACTCAATGCGCTCCTTGAACCCATACAAGCAGAATTTAAGGCGTCCAAGGAATGGCAAGAGGTAGAACAGAAAGCTTACCCTCCGCCAGAAGTGAAAAAGAAGCCGAAAAAGGAGAAGAAATTAGGGGATAGGTTCCCTGGTGTTATTAGGGACCAGGTGAAGCCTGATGATAAGGTGGAAGAGGAGCAGCGGAAACACGAGGAGAACTTGGTCACTGGCCTTTCCAAGCCTTGATTGCTATGGAGAAGCTTGACCTAGCGGCTTGCAAAATCAACAAGCACCAAGTCATAGCATCCACGCTCGTGACAGATCAAAAGATGGACACCTGCAGCTATGGAGGACAAATCTACCTCACCAGAATTGCCTAAGCCTGTTTGAGCAACAGATATCATCTGTTGACCGATGAAACACAGAGGGTTCAGCTAATCACGAAACCCTGCGCAATCCTGCCGTTTCCTGCTGCAGCCTCGTACTCGCAAAGGTGGACGGGAACGTCTAGGTCATGGATACAGATCTAGCAATGATAGAGTAACATCGAATTCACCTGTTAAGAACTTTGACGGATTGGCAGCCTCGAGCTCGACCAATTGTCTTCAATCGTAGAGTGACTTTCGTATTCGCATTATCTGTAATCTTGCAGCTCGGTTACATTTCCTGATGCGGCGGCGGGCATGCCGATTCCAGTAGGGCTGATTTGGCTTGGCTTGGCGGGGGTTGATCATGTACAACCAGCGAGTACAAACATTTAATACTTCCCTTTGCCTGCACTTCTCCCTACTCAATTGTCAAGAGCCACTGTCTCGTTTTCTAGGCTACTCATCCCTTCCATTCATATCCGACCATGACCTTCAACGCGGTTAACGACGACGACGGCTACTTTAACGATCTCTCCAGGCAGCCGCAATTGGAATCGCAAGATTCGTTCAGTCCTCACGACCAGAATGGCATCGATGCTACTGGAGAAGAAAACGGAACGGCGAAGCTAAAGCGTATTGCGTGCGTGATATGCAGAAAGAGGAAGCTGAAGTGCGATGGGAACAAGCCAAAATGCGCGACATGCGCCAGACTTGGACATAGTTGTGCATATGATGAAGTACGGCGAAAGAGTGGACCGAAGAGAGGGTATGTCAAAGATTTGGAAGCACGTTTAGGTCGGTACACTATCTGCCTTTAACTTGGGATCTTTGGGCTGATGCTGTCTATCATGCGTAGCGCAAGTCGAGGGAAAGCTGAAGAATCAAGATAATAAAAAATCTAAGAACACGAGTGAACCTGAGCAACATGGAGTCCCGGAAACTGTCTTCGAGATCGGGGAGTCTATGGGTATGCAAACAGGACTGCAGCAATCGATGCCCAGTGTATCTTACGATTCCATGCCCACCAACGACCCCATCATGCTACCTATGACGAATTTGGCTTCAGAGATGATGCCAGACTCAGACTTTGTGCCACAGATAGATCTCAACCTCGATCAGAACTTTTCTTGGGAGATGATAGGTCTTGGTCTGGAAGAACCAATGCCCACGCAGGAAGCAGTCGATGAATTGTATGATCTCTGGCCCCTATATCGGGGCATGCTGACAAGACCACAGAACACAGGTCTTTTTCGATAAGATACATACCTCTTTACCAATGATTCACAAATACCGGTATTATACTTCCATGAATCTAGCTCCTGACAGGCGCCCACCAATCTGCCTACGATACATAATGTGGTGTCACGCAGCCTCCATTACAGACAAATACATGCACCACCAGGATATATTCTACAGACGGGCACGAAAGTACATCGAGCTTGATGAGATGAAAGGCCAAGGCGAAGCGTTCGTATCCCTTGCACACGCACAGACCTGGACCCTCATTTGCGCGTACGAATTCAAGATGATGTACTTCCCAAGAGCTTGGATGAGTGTCGGTCGCGCGGCACGAATGGCTCTCATGATGGGCTTGAATCGAGTAGACGGTGTCGGCTTGGACGTGAAGCAATGTCTCCCGCCGCCAAGAGATTGGACAGAACGTGAGGAGCGGAGAAGGACGTTTTGGATGGCTTACTGTGTAGATCGGTACGCTAGTATCGGCACAGGCTGGCCAATGGCGATTGATGAAAGAGATGTAAGTCTTCGCTTTGAGAGGATTGTACCAAAGTAGACCTGGCATTAACATCACTTCAGATCATGACCTGCCTCCCAGTCAGCGAGGAGGCCTATGAAAGCAGTACAGCCCAGAAAGCGCCAACATTAGAGGAAGCCATGAGACCTCAGCAAGCATCCCAGCTTTCATCTTTAGCCGGACTCGTGCTCGTCACCCACTTTTTTGGACTCAATCTCACCCATCTTCACCGCCCGGAACCCAACCAACAAGAACACGACATGAATGGACCATTCTGGAAGCGGCATCGCACTATGGATAACGATCTGCTGAAAACGGCTCTCCAGCTTCCTTCGTATCTCCGGCTGCCCTCGGGTATAAGAAATCCCAACATTGTATTCCTGAACTTCGCCCTCCACACTTCCACAATATGCCTCCACCAAGCAGCGATATTCAAAGCAGAGAAGAACCAACTACCAGACAACATAACTGAGCAGAGCAGAACTCGGTGCATTTTGGCAGCAGCGGAAATAGCCGGTGTGATGCGTTTGACCAGTCATATAGATGTTGCAGGCGTGAGTTAAACCCCCTCCAACTACATGAAGCCATCATTGCTCACGACAGCTAGATGAACCCTTTCATGGCTTTCTGCCTCTATGTTGCCGCTCGTGTCTTTGTTCAGTATCTCAAGAAGATGCCAAATGACCAGGAAGTTCGACAGTCCCTGGAATTCCTCCTAGCCGCCATGCGAGCGATACAGAGGAAGAACCCCCTTTCAGAATCATTCTTGGTCCAATTGAACATGGATATCGAGGGGAGCGGTCTAGACATCTTTTTGCACAATCCGGACTACACGTCACGATATGTGGAAGGAATGGTAAGCAGCCTTATCTTGTTCACTGACACTCATCGCATTAAGCTTTAGCCAAATCAACACGTATTGACTCAATGCCAGGACTCGAGCAATCTGCCGGCCGATTACGCTGGCAGCAAGACTCACTGCTCCCCTGTCTTCCACATCTCAGAAAAATCTGAAGATGGCCCGTCTCCCGGCGATAATCGATCCTCTGAAGACACACGATTGCCAAAAGACGACGCCAAGAAAGAAAGCCCAACAGTCCGGACAGAAGATTCTCGCCAGCGAACATATGCCTACCGCAACGTCGACGTCATTTCCCGAATGCATGGCACACCTCGACCCTTCTTTCCGGAAAATGTGCAATCCCATTCCTATCGGCCTCCAGGTGAAGTTCAAAACAAGCCCGACGCCCACTCTCAACGATATGAGAAAATCTTTCCGAGCGACGACTGGAATCAAGGCAACATCGCTACGGTGGCGGGCCGTAACTCATTTACGGATAACGACAAGATCAACGCCATTAATGCGAACAATCGGCACTTGGATACCGAAATGGCCGACCAGTCCGCCAATTCCCGGGGTCCAACGCCGCAGTCGAACAGCAGTTATAATCACTCGTCATCAAATACATCATACTCCCCATCGCAGGGACATGAGGATGACCAAACTACGTCCAGTACTGGCGGAGGAGGTAATTACATGATGGGATTCGCACCTCCCACTCATAGTACCATCTTTACCGGAGAGGGTGTCAAACACGCAATGAGCCCGCCAGCACAACAGCAAGAAGATCCTTTTAAGATTCCAGCGGGCTGGGACATGGGGACCGGAATGACGCCCGGCTCGGGAATGACTCCTGGAAGTTTGACGGGCATGACGTCGGACGGTGGTTGGGAGAAGCTTATGGATAGTATGGGGTGGGAGACGGGGAGGACTGGGTGAAGGAGAGTGGGAGAAGATATCATTAGAAAGGAGACGGCTGCTGATTATCGATGTCGGAAGGCTCGTGCTAATCACCTGGTGCTGGTTCGTTGTTCGAATCGTCCTTACACGCTGCTAATGAACATTTATCAAAGGCCTGCACATACTTCACTTAGAGCTGTACTATACATGGTAGCAGGATAGCTTCATATTGAGGAATTATCACCGGAACTTCCCACTCTACCTACATATCAAATCTGGAACTGCCTAACAATACAAGTTACGAGTAATCATTCCAAGATTGAGAGAAGCGACCCCGGTGACGGGGGGTCCTTGCTGGTGCAGACACCACGCTGAGAGGACATCTTGTGGGCCAAGACCTTGCGCTAGTGGACTAGGAAAGAGGAGATCAAGGTTCTAATGGGTTCATTTTGTAGGAGGCACTGCTTCAGATGTGATTTTAGCGAAATGCGCAATACCAGCGTAGCCTCCGGTGCCTGGAATGGTAGCATGTTTTACCCCCGAGATTACGTCCATTTCATCTATGTCATTAGCATCAATGGAAAGGAAATTCGCACGCTATGCAACGCTCTTCTATGCCCATCTCTGCGTACGTAGACCCGGGCGTTGGTGCAGGTCAATCTTCCCACGGTGTGATACTCCATACCCCAGCGCCATCGCCAACCTCGAACCTCAACCGCTCCAGTTTCCACTCCGTGTACATGTTTACGGTTGCTCTCATGGCCTCTTTGTGTCCCGGACCAACACTGGCCGGGCGCGCGTCTGCGAAGTTGCGCCATATGCCTGCCTAGAGTGTCAATGTCTGGAGATCTGGCCCTTGGGAACGGCAGAATGAGTACATGTTGCCAGGTTCCTCCCGTTTTCGTCGGGCAGTCCGAACCAATACTTCAATAATCCACCGCTTTTGGTAGCTTCCATGTGGGATTTCTGGTCGAGCGCACCGAGGTGCGTGCGGTCAGTAGTTGGAGGAACCTGGGATCTGAAGACCACTATGTAGAAATGTTGGCGCTTCCATTGGTATTGTGAGAGCTCGAGTAACGACTTTAGTCGGTCAATCACCGCCTCCCAATTGAATGATTGGTGGTAGGGGGCCGTAGCGTAGTCTCCTCGGACGGATTGGAGGACTGTCAGTGCCCTGGCTAGAAGTCTCTGTGACTCTTCGAGTGTTCTCAAGTCAAGAAGATGCTGTAAAGTAGTGTATGGGGAGACGACAAGATGGCTTCCGAGATCGGCCTGTTGACGATCATCTGTTGGCAATGCAGGGTCTTGGCGATCTGAATGGGCTCTTGGGAGAGAATCATTCCCAATGGCCCATGGCTCTGAAGGGGAGTGTAACGCTACTTGCAACATCTTGTAAAGGTACGACAAATCACCAGAACAGAGTTGTTCTGGTTGAGGAGCAAGAGATAAGTAAAGACGGGGGGACAGAGAAGTACGAGGAACGAGGTGCATAAAGAATCGTAGAATCCCAAGGAAATATTTGCCAATTTGGAATGAGCTTATTGTGCAATGGGTAACTGGGTACCTACGCCATATGGCCCTGATAAGGCGCGATAGAAATAATGCGAGAATCAGCTCAAAGCACGCAATAGTAAGTGGCATGAACGATGAATACTATCGGACAGATGTGAATAGCTTCATGACTGATAGCGACTGATGCAATGGAAATATATCAGCAATCACGACGAAATACGAGCGCAGGATGCCAGCGCCTTTGGACATGGCTGTACGGATAATAGGGCCTCTCTCAATGTTGTGAGAAGATGATGCTACCATTTTGACGGCGGAGCATTCGTAGCTTTGATGATGACTGTTAGAGTAAGGACACACTTACCCTCCTCAATGAATCATCAAAAGGGGTGTTGATGGAATAGAACGAGACATCAAAATGACAGAAGTCTGACCACCCTCACCATCGGGTGAACATCGGTGCTCATATTGAACTAAAACTCTTCAGGTTTAGCTTATGTCATTCGACCTCGGCCGATACGCATGCAGGGAAGAGCTAACATGTCGCCGCCTTTACATATTCAGAGTGCCGGGAACCTTTGTTGTCGCAATGGAGGCATCTCTTCCTCATCACTTCCCGGCTCGACAACTTCATGACGGGACCATATTCCATTCGTCGCCGTACCCTCCTCACACTAACCTCGCCTCACAGCAAGACATTGGGCTAGATGACTTCCAATTCGACCCTCAATTGGCAAACGAGCCTCAATTACAGCACCCGCAAAGAGGGAACGCCTTTGAATCAAGCTCATTTGATGGTCCGAGACCCAATCAACCTCGCTTTCAGGAGATTCGCTCAAACCCACCTGTATCCTCTTCCCAGCCAAATGATGTCTTTGACCCATCCAATGCAGGCGGATTTGGTCTTCTCTCCCGAACGCGTCCCCAGCAGACTACCGACGGCAGTCGAGGCCAGTTCGGCATCTTGGCACCGACTATGCATCCTCAATCCCAGCTACTGGCTGCGCACCTGACTCATGATGAGCAGCTGGGGCGTCTACAACATGAATTGGATCTACGGCCAGTCCCGGTTACGGGTGGGGGAACGACCGAGGGGCATTTCAGTAACATGAAGATGGTACCGAACCCTCCCAATTTGGAGCAATGGCGGAGAAGGCTGTTTGACGTTGACGAGGCTATCACTTTGACTGAGGAGCAGTAGGTGGATTGAAGGGGCCAATTGCCGTCAATGTGACTAATTCTCTGGGCTAGATTCCAAACGTACTTCCCACACGTAGACAACATCTACTCCCATCGCTCTACTCAACGCTACAAGCGCAAGCCTTTCGTCTCTCACTACTGGGATTGCAGACTCAAAGGGCGACCACCCGGGACGGCAAAGTCAGACGACCCCAATAAGAAGAAGAGAAAGCGGCAAGCCAGGGAACGCGATCTATGCGACGTCAAAATCAAGATCACGGAGTACTTTCCGGGAGCAAGAGCCTTAATGGGTACGGATTTTCCGGTTGAAACCCCTGCCAATGACAACTCTTTCGCTCCTGGACAAGCACTTTCCACTACACAAAGTTCAAACAACGGGCTCCCGACCCTTACCGAAGCTGGCAATGATGGGGCAAGATTCTATACAATACAGCGAGTCAATGGGAACGGAGCCAATGGTAAAGGTGATGGAACGGCTGGAGCGCATAAACACACCATCGAGGAGAGTGATAAAGTCAAGAAAAGTAGCCTTCATCGACATTTTCTAAAAGAAGAAAAGGAAAGAAGGAAATCCATGGTAAGCAAACAATTTTTTTTAATTCCCGGGGCTTTTTACCACAGGAAAGCGAGACCTCAAGGCGGCATGACACCGCGTCGAGCTTCCGCATAGGGGCGATCCGAAGTCGGCTACACGTCATAGGAGTCGAACCATGCGAATTGCTTTCGTTTCCACCACAAGCTTCTTCAATGCTTGCCAGTGCTTCTTTGATATCCAGACTCTCTACTCTCAATCGTGCCCTTCATCCTGTCTACTTATCAATCACCTTCCGAATGATGTCTGACAATGCTAACTCTGACAAGAAAACATACCACAAGAAAGCTACTGGACTTGCTCTAACCACAGTGAAGAAGCACTCCAAGGACCATGATATGAAGCTATATGGCAGCTGCTTCTGGTAAATCCTCGATGCTTTTGCGTACAATTTATTAGCTGCGACTGACCTCTCGTTTCAGTCCGTTCGTACAACGAGTGTGGATTTCACTGGAGGTCAAAAGTCTCAATTATCAATACATTGAGGTCGATCCATACGAGAAGCCCGAAGAGCTGATGCGGATCAATCCCCGCGGACTCATTCCGGCCCTTCAACACGGCAACAACTGGGGCTGCTATGAAAGCTCAGTATTAATGGAGTACCTGGAAGACCTCAATGAAGGAGCTCCACTACTACCACCCAATGCAAAAGATCGAGCGCATTGCCGCCTTTGGTCTGACCACATCAATCGCAACATCTTGCCACACTTCTACGGCTTACTGCAATCTCAAGACAGTGGCCAGCAAGTCGAACAAGCACGGCAGCTCACGGACGGAATCCAGAAGATCGTCGAAGCTGCGGATCCGTCCGGTCCCTTCTTTTTCGGCCCTCACATTTCCTTTGTTGACATCCAATTCGCGCCTTGGATCGTGAGGTTGAAAAAGGTACTAACACCTTACCGCGGCTGGCCTGAACCGGAAGCGGGTAGTCGATGGGCAAGCTGGGTAAAAGCCATTGAGGAGAATGAGGGTGTCAAGGCAACGACCAGCACCAATGAGTTATACATGGATAGCTATGAGCGATATGCCGGTGAGTGTCTTTGTGGCTTGCACCGATAAGACATCGAAGCTGATGATTGGCGGTAGAAAATCGCCCAAACACCAGCCAGGTCGCCAATGCAGTCAACGAGGGAAGAGGGCTGCCGTGAGCGAACGTCATTAATTGGTTGCGTTGGTAATGTGTATACATATTCAACTCGCAAATACCGTGAACGAAGCACACTTTTTGAGGCTATGGAACAGGGGCTCTTGTGGCCACGCGTATGGCTGTTCGTATCTTTTTTAAAGAAGAATGAATGAGAAACAGTCATTGTTTGACAGCAAAATACTCCGTGTACACAATAGCTTTCACGTAAACCTATGAACAACGATACTTTCACTGAACGAGCAGAGCGCAACATACAGGTATGCTGGTCCATTTCTACACCTCGGTATCGTCGTAAAATGTTTGACTGCATTGTGAGTATACCGATCTTGTATCAGCACGAGGACACGGGTTCGCGCTTTGACAATGGCATGAGAAGGTTGTGGGGGAATGCTCTTTGGGTAGAGATCTCATTCATCGCACGGGTAGGTTGAGGGAGGAGAGGAGGAGCAAGATACCCAGGTGTGGACACCGCTTCACGGCACGGTTCCACCCGGCCAGCGCGAACGCATGAAGCGATTCGACATCCTCCCAGTAGTAACAAAATTGAAGAACAGTGTCTTTGGTGTCGGGATTCGATCCCACCAGAGAGGATCTACCCAGGTCCTCCTTTCGGTGTGGTGGAGTCGGCTAGATAGACACTGCTCGTGTGGGGGTTCGTCCTTCCGCTGAGCAATTTGGGACCGTGGGGTTGATCAGCTGGGCGAAGCGGACGAGTCGGCAGGTCTCCGATCACTTGCTCCGGATATATCCCATGGGTCATCATCACCCGGCTTCCAGGTCCGGCTCGGGCGGATCTCCAGTTGCGCCGATGCTGGTAGCATGATGCCCGGAGAGCGGAGCAGAGATCGAGTATTCCGTCTTTACCAACCAACCATCTTTGCATATCTGACGAGGCCGAGGACCCGCAGGCCATGCGTGTGTCCACCACCCTTGAATCCCTGTTCCGCATTGCCTCTTGTTTCTTTTTGGGGGGGCATTGCGCCGAGAAGATGTCTTTCTTTGCCTGCCCCAGTACGTCAGTTCAGCCTGCCTCCCGTGCAACTCGTATCCGGGGTGGTCCGAAAGCTCTGCTGATACGGAACCCGATCGTCATGGTGGCTATGAAGGCTGGTTGAGAAGATGCTTGCGCTGTCACAGATGTCAACAGTTATCAAGTTGCGGCGACCCAAAGTTTCGGCCTCGGTTGATTGATTGATTGAGATCCGTGACTTTAGATGTGGTCCACTATCATTTTGTGAAATTGAGTGGACACAGCGCCCACTGCAATCTCTCCATCAGATGGGGATATAATGATAGGATTATCGAGAAGGAACGGTCATCGAAGATGGGGACTTACCTTGGGATAGCATATGTGGATCGTAAGGATGAAGGCATCTGCAGCAGAATTCCGATGCGCATTCACAGTCCAAATCAGTGGGAACAATGCCAGTGCGGACTGGTACACCTTATGGGGTGCAGCAGTAGTGACTGTGGGGTGAATGTCAAATGGGCAGGCTTGAGTGTTGCAGCGATCGTGCTTGTTTTTTGACCTTCTATGTAGAGACCTTGCTGAGCGCCCCGATCGGACATATCTTATCGAAGACTAGCAGTGGTCGAGCAAGCTGTGAAATATGAATGCCGGGGAAACTCGAATGCAGCTTCAGCTTCTGCAAGTGCCAAACTTTCTCCCCGTCAGACGACCCGTGAGCGACCAAGCCTCGTTGCTAGCATGTCGTTGTCCTTGCCCTGTCGCAGGAGCCCCGCATAGTGGAAACCAAGCAATGTCGTACTATTTGGCATGTCAATGAGAGTAGAAGACTGGACTTCTGTAAAGGGCCAAAAGTACCGGTCAAGCTACAGGAAGGCAAGTCAGGGAAATACCCCATAGGCGTCCTCGAGGCACGGGATGCGGCTTTTGTCTCTATTTCGTCTGTAAAACATTTCTGCATTGGCAAGCAACCTGATGATCTGCGGGTCTAAGACGAAAATACTAGAGGGTGTCCTATGAAGATTCATATACGCCGGCGCAGGTGGCACCCACGCCTCATTCCTCTTTTCCAGCTCGTGCGAGATCCAGCCAGAAATATGAGCTGCGTCAGCAGGCCAGGGGTTTGCGGGTAGCGTGATCGCCTTTATGTGGCCGAGCTCGTTCTTTATAAGAAGCAGGAAGCTGCGGCCAAAGCGCTCAGGCCAGTCTGGTATTCGTAAGGACTTGTTAGGAATGAACTCGCCCCATGCCTCGTCAAACTGAAGTTGAAGGGATTGTAGCCCACGCAGTCTCCTGAGGATTCGGAGCAATGAGCCTTCCAGAAAAACCATCAAGACGTAGTGAGTTAATTTGATGCCGAGTTTCTTGAGTCGCTCCTGACCGGGCTGGGTTTGCGAGATCAAGTCAAGGCAGTCAACAGCAGATATTGTGGTCAGCTGGTCCTTTGGCAGGTTTCTCAAGTTGCTCCAACGGACAGACTTGAGACGTTCGTGTGTGAGCTGATGAAACATGTCAGCCTTTCCAGATGTGGCTGAAACGTATAACGGGAGAACCGACGAGTCCTTCCTCATCGCCACACTCCTTCGACTCGTCAGATTCCTCCAGCTCTCGTTCAAGACCCCAGATATAGAAATCGTTCTCCCCATAAAGCACACTCAGTGCTATTGCAGAGAAATGCTTTGAGACGCTCAAGATGCCCAAAGAGCCAAAGCCAAAGTCCCAGCGGTAGCAGTCTAGCGGGTATAAGACAATCATGTTAGCATAGGGGCCTCTCAAGAAGGGGCGCATTATCTCCATCTGGATCTCCACAGGCATGCCCTCAAGCGTAGGCTTTCCTGCAAAGGCGTGAGTTCAAGCCCGTTCATCGATGCAATTGAAGTCTTGAGTGGCTTACCTCGGTCCATGATGAATGTTCGCTTGTGTATCTCCAATGCTGCAGCTCGAATATTGTCTAGCTCTTTTAACGTTTCGCTTTGAACGTTGCTTCAGTCTGTTTCGGTGAGCGTGTGTGATGTAAGTGGTCGGGTCAAAGTGAAAGTTCCGAGTGTTAAGGATTTGAGGTTGGAGGCGTAAGTGAATTCCGTCCTGAACTGTCGGAAAGGCGAAGATGAAAGTGTAGAGCTAGTAGATCAAATGTTCTCTCTCACTAGGTCGCAAGTATCAATCTGATGGATATCAAGGTAGGATAGACTGAAGTGAGGTAGGTTTCATCGAAAGCTAGCTTGGCTGGCTGTGTTAGGTCAGTTTGATCACAAATGTGAGTGCTAAACGTCACGAAAGACTGATTTACTGCCAGTGGTCATCTTTAAGCCCATATACGCGATTTGAGGAATCCGTCTACAGAAATTGGGGCTTGGTCGTGTACCGTAAAGAGTTGATGGTTGAAGGATTCCTGGGTTGCGACTACTACACTAGAAAATAAGAAGCACCGCAACACCATTGTACCAGCGCCATTAGGAATCGAACCTAATACGAACTAAATACCTTTAACAACAACACTCTGAGTGTTTAGATACATAACTCTGACGCTAGTCCATATTTGGCCTCCACATAGAGGAAAGCCTCGGTGGTTCGAGTATTCTACCCCTACTATCTTTGTAGACAAAGCTTCCCCATCTCCGCAACCTGGGGAAGTCAAGTCGATCCCGAGCGTGGGCACTCGTCCGCAAGAAGCCCGTTCCTAGAAGACACGATATTTGTCTTCCAACCCGCCTCGGGCATCAAAAACTCGAGCATCTAAGACAGTCCTCCTTTACGAGCACGTTCGCCATGATCCCTCTGCCGAAGTACTGAAATGGGCTCGAAGTCGTGCGGAAGCTGTCACAGGTCGAGGACGGTGGCACCCAAGCCTTATTCCTCTTCCTTAACTCGAACGTCATCCGGGAGCTGAAATCGGCATTGTTACCAACTGTTTGACTGTCGTTGATGATGATGGTCTGGACGTGGCCAAGTTCCCTTTGGACAAGTCGCAGAAAACCTTGTCCGAATCTCGCGCGATCCTTGAAGGCCCCTATCAAAGTCCGCATCGTGACGATTGAGCCGAGAGTTATCATCAACCTGCGCAACATTGGTTTTACCCGGTGTCGTTTGCGAAATCAGGTCCAGACATTCTACTGACGATACCGACTGCAATTCTTCGTTCGTGTGATTCCTCAAGTTGCGCCACGGGGAGTTTTTATGTCCCTTAGCATCAGGTACTGCAGGTCGAGTGAGCTTGAGACTTTTTCGGGGTCGATTCGACCCAGAGAAACTAATCTCACCGTCATCACAGTCACAGGAATCTTCATTGAAATCTGATTTGAGTACATAGAGTCCGCGTATGAAATTATGTAACTTATCAATGGCGACCTCTGCCGACCACCGGTGGACGCCAGTATCGTCTACGCAGCAGCCAGCGGGCCATATCAAGAAGCAATGATCAATCCACGTCCACGTGTCAGAGAGTGCAGAGACATCTTCGAAAAAAGGCAATACCTGGATTTCACAGCCCCACCACGCAACTCCAACGCCTCTGTATTCACGGCACCTTGCAATCGCTAACTCCTCGACCACCTCCACGGCGACCCACCACGGAGTCTCTGCAAGCCCAGTAAAACCCACCAGTGTCTCAAAACCTTCCGTATCGCCCCGTGAACCCCCCCCCCCAAAATATCTGCACCATCAATTTCGGCACTTCCCAGCCCTTGATCCTCTCCCCCAGTGCGGACATCACCCGCGGAAGAGCTACACCGTCGCCCGTAGTGTAATCGACGGCCGTAGAACCTTCGACCGTGACCTCCTTCACGTGAGTGAACTCGCCGTGCACAAGTTCCATGAACCGGCGGCCATTGCTCTCAGGTCCTTCTCGTTCATTGTCGGAATAGCGCAATCCGTGCCCGGGTTCCTCTGCCTTCAAAATGGAGCGGAGCAATCGTAGACCGCGCATCCTGATGAGTATGAGGAGGGAAGAGTAGTCGTGGGAATTTTGCATAAAGTCTCGGCTTGCGGTGATGGAAAGGCGCTTGAACATGATGTGGGCTGGTGTGGGAAGGAAAGCGTGTTCAGGCGAATGTGGAAGGAAAGCGTGTTCAGGCGAATGATAGACCCTGTGGGATGCATCATCTTGAAGCAGTCTTCTCCGGTATTGCGCTTGAAAAGAACTGGTCGTGTAGTCTTGGAATCATCATGGGGGTTGGACTATGATACCGATTTGTTAAAAGGAAGTCACGCGAAGAGGATCTCTGAGATGAAATTACCACAGTGAGAGTAAGAAGACCCATAAACTATAACGGTGCTAGAGTACGGAACACTCGGACATCGCAAAAAGATTTTCTCCGAAAAGAACGCTCGAGGCCAGCGTGGAGAAATGCTTCGAGACTCTCGTGGTGCCCAAAGACCTCCTGTGCATACCGCCGTCGTGCTTTTGGACGGGGCCGAACTCGACAGCATCGTGGTCGAAGAAGGGATGTCACACGATGATAAGCTAAATTTCGGTCGACAAGGTCTCGAGACCCAGGCTTGTCTGTTTGTTATTGATTTATTAGCCATGATCGTTGGATTTGAACGACTGATCTTGCTCCATAGTGAGGGGTGGATCTGGGATTGTCGGGATGAAGATGGCGAGCAATGCCTGGAGGTGTATCCTAGAATCTCTACAGACTTGTGGCAAGAAGAGGGAGGGTTTGCGGAGTGGAGACGGGGACTGCAAGAGTTGGAAAGGAAAGGAGGCTTTTTTAGTAGAGGAGAAGTTGGTATTACTTGAGTCATGATGTCGTGTCTGTTTTCGAGCCGGAAATTCTCTTGCTGTTGCTGAAGATGGTCCAAGATTGGAAAGATTGACGGTAACGACGGGTAAGACATTTCGAGTCGGTCACTGTGAGATGTATACCATCAGCTTAGTGTTCTTAATCACAGTTCTGGATCATGCTGCATCGTAATTGCAACTATAATATGTGCCAATGCCTTGTCCTCCAGGAAGTATTCACCAAAGACATCACGCAAAGCTACGTCTGTGACTGCATTTCATCTGAGAGGAAAGCTGTTATTGCTTACACTGCAAGACAAATCCCTCCCTAACCAACGCTCGAGGCCAGCAAGGAGAAATGGTTCGAGGCTTTCGGAATACCCTTGGGATCTCAGCGGCTCTTTTATATATTTTTATGGAAAACAACTTGTGTGTTGTAGTGTGCTAATGTTGGCCAAGACGCGAGCATGTCTCTTCTAACACATTCACCCTTATGATATGCGTGTGCAGATCTTTGAGGCATGAGCAGTCGTATACTGTGGTCAGTGACAGGATATCAAAGAGTTTTCTCCCAAGGACAACGATGCAAGAGCTATGAACACCTTTGCCTATCAATTCTCGAGTCGAAGCAAAATAGGAGCAGGATGGTGCTCGACCTGAAAAAACACTTGACATCAAAGTCTCAAAAAACGGAACGGACCTTGAAGCCAGCCTTCACTAATAGGCTCATCAGCAGGTCAAGACGTACTAGTACCAACTGCAGGCCCAGCCCTTCATGATCAGCTGACAATGGAATGCAAAGTTATCGCCAATGTGTTGGAAACGCTCCTCCCTACAAAGAGAAGCTACGAACCTACCTCTTGAAATTCGACCATTCCGAGCCAAGAGTGGATAATTGTTCACACGGGCTTGGTCGGGTCCAGTCGATACCCGCGAAGAGCACGCTCAGCATTGTACAAGATACAGGGCATCAGTTATTGATCATCTCGATGTGAATGGCTGTGAGCCGACTCGAAGATCGTATGCGGAGCTGGAGAAAGCGCACTGTGGCCGAGGCCAGCGGCGGGAACGTGGACAGAAAACGTCTTTGATGGCATCCAAGTGTTCTGAGATCTTCTGAGGATGGAAGTCGACAGGAGTGATCGATCGTAGAGGTTTGGAAGGATCGTGTTATACGGTGTGGATTGCAGGGTGCGTGGTCGACTGTACAGATGTGATGGCATACTTGCGTCAAAGACATCATTTTCATATTCGGCACTCTCCTGAATCCAACATAGCTGTTTACTCCACTTACGAGAAAGCGTCAGGTCATTGGAGTCACTGCTCGTTAGCGTGTCCTTCGATCTTGGGCCGTCTCTAGGCCACTTCTCCAGAAGATTGCCCTGAAGACCGTCTCTGGGAATACTCGTAGATATAATGGAAGCAACTCTCCAGCTTTCCCTCATGGCAACACCAGCTGTGTCTTCGCTTCTACTGCCATCAATCTCTTATCCCGCCTTGCCATCGAAAGATGCTGACAATTGGGGCTCTATCCGATGCAACCCATTCACGTGGTCACCAGTAACTCGTCTGGGAGCTCAATAGGACAGATGAGTTAACTGCCTCCTACAGCACGTTTCCGCAACGAGTGCAGATGCCTGGAGCGCTTAGTGGGCTGCGGGCTTCACATGGCACATGCGTGCGCATGGCATGCCATTTATCGATTCAGGCCGACCTAGATATACATGATTTTTCTAGCGCGAGAGATTGGATCAGCACACGACGCGCACGCACCTCACGACCTCATTTCGGCCATCTGGAGGCCTTGGAAGCCGCTGTCGAAGCCTCTACCCCAAATTTGCGCATCAGCAGCCTTTGGATAGTCCAGACAACGAGACAGTAGGAGGCAGGGTCTGCAAAGGGAGTGGCAGGGCTATTTTCTATGGAATCCCAAAGCACGATGGGGTTATATTATTATCTTATCTACTACCGTATATGGTACTCAAGCCGGGTCTTAGTATCTGGATAAGCGAAGCTCATGCGAAAGAGTTTACAAGTATGCTGCTTCAATATCCCAATCGTCATGTTTACAATGATACTTTCAGTGCAAGGCTTGTAGCGCTTCACCAGTGCTACAACTTCGTCGTAGTATAAGTTCTCGTAGCTCGTGTCGTTGTGGTGAGATGGTGAGTTGCATCTTGTTGTAGTTCGCTAGGTGTACTACAAATTGTCTCGAGCACCCGAGGGATGCGCTTTTGCCAACATGGCAAAGCGTGAATGGCATGTTTGTCATCTCGGCAATACCTCCTGAGGGATGCGGTGACTTTCCCTCGGCAAGCCTTGTAAATGATAAAGCCCTGCGTCAAGGGTCTTTTTCATTCTCGTATCCTGGAATTATGATTGGTTAGGGACAAGGGCGCCGCCAGTGGCTAACAACCTCACTGCGGTAGCCTTCCGCTGTGACCTTATATGCTGGGGGTTCAAGGTTCCGCGGAGTGCAGTCCGCACCTCCACTCCCCAGTAGAAGCTTTGATGACAGCTTCATCTGAGCCTCTAGGTGTGGCGTTGATGTTACTGATTTGTTACATTTGTCAGGTCTAGACTCTGAAGATCGACATGCCTTGGTTGCACAAGCTGAGGGGATTCGCGGATTTTGCTTGCTTCTGATTGGCTGGGCCGGCAGATCCGTTTCTCACAACGTTTGGCTTGATTTTGGGTTTTGCTGGGCGTCGGACCCTGCTCCGCTTCTCCATGATGAGTGGTTCGACAAAGCGATCAAGCAGCTTTCAGGGTCCTTTTCTAAGGAAGCCCGGGTCTCAGATGCAACCCTCGTTTGGACCCTGGTACAACGATCTTTGGCTCTCCACTCCCCCGTCTCTCCACACACATAAACCGTCGATGAGATTGAAGGATTCTCCTTATTCTCGAATTAGATGCACCACATTCTTGAGACACGGAGCTTGTTCCAGGTGGGGCTGATAGATGTGCAGAAGGACATGGTCGTCAAGAGGACCTATATGGGCCATGCTGAATATGAGACATTGACCGCTTGAGTATGGAGGAGAATAAAAAAACCCACTGACAGCTGCATCATCGATAGGTTCTCCGGCTCGGAATTCCGAGGGTATTATTTTGTAGGCGGGGTCCTTTATCAGTCCCTGTCACGAGGTAAAGTATAATTAGCGTGCAAAAGATGGGCTAGAGTCTATCGCATTTCCCTTCCTTGGCGACGGGTGAAATTCGATCTCGGGTGGAAGAAGTGCATGAATTAATTTGTGGCTATAGGCGGCGGAGACAATGGTCCGCAGCAGACATTTGTTTTTTAAGTTAAAGTACATGTACCTTGGATTTTGGATTTTGGAGATTTTGGATTTTTTAGTTTTTAGCCCCGAAACCCTTTTATTCATTCCAGGCAATCTGATTCTGAGTACCGGCAAAAGGACTTCGAGTCCTATTAAGTGGACGGGAAGCATGGCCCCCCTGGTGCCCCCATCTGCATATGAACCCTGACTCTCGGAGGCGTGCCCGTGCACATCAGACTCACCTGCATACAAATTCACCTGCATACCCCGGCGATTGGTCCATTGGCCCATTGGCCGATTACCATCAAAAAAAAAAGCTGTCTGCCTCTATTCCGTAAAACGTAACCCGGAGCAATGAGCCGTCAAGAGTTGCTTTTTTGGCGCTCTGTAGTACCAGTCCAGTTACTTGTCATAGTAGTCCCTAGCTAGAAGCAGAGGGGGAAAGAAAAAGATGCCAAAAGGACAAGGTGACTGAATGAAAAAAGACCCTTCTTTGCACAGAGGACCCTTTCTCCATCCCACCAGCTGCTGCTGCTGTAATCAATCAAAAGGCGCAGGGTCCCACTTCCGTCCTCGCCGTCCAAACATCCCCCCGCCTGGCTTCTTCTTTTTCTTCTTCTTCATTTGCTGCTGGTCGGTCTCTTCCTCGTTCAAGTCTTCCTGCTGCTCATTTGCTCCTCAGTCGATCCCAGCTGTGCGCCGACCAACGGATACCTGCAACATGGGAAATGAATAGCTCACAGTGCACCTAAACCCCTCATAAATGTCAATTCGAATATATTGGGAAGCATAGGAATCAGATCGCTGGCGACGGTGTTGACAAAAACCCCACCTGCCAGTCCACTGTCTAAAATAAATTCCCGCCATGTACGGCGAGGACTCCAGCGGGAGGCGAGTGTCGCTTCTCAATCACTCTTCCTCCAACACTACTACCACCACCCAAAACACTTTCTCACAACCCAAAATCCCCAACCGTTCACGCATCTCAATATCATCTGTATCATCCTGCACATCGCGCGACGGCTACAACTCTTCACCCTCGACCAGTAGTTCCGGTTCACCGCGGCACACTCGCTCCCCGCCAACACCTCAGCTCGTGCGCTTCGACTCGCAATCCTCCCTCTCCCAGTCAACTCCATCGCCAATGACACCCAGCAACGGCTTCGATCTCATGGATGGCCAGCATCCGAAAAACAAAAATTACAACGATCTACTCAACGGCAATGGCAATAGCCTGCCCTACTACACCAACCCCGCCTTCGGGCGCTCCAACCCCAATGGCTATCCGACCCTACACGAAGCATCTCAACAACCCTACTACAATCTCGATTCCCAGCAGCCTCTCCCAAGCCTGAACGGCTACCCAGACGGACTCTTCCACCACCGCGGTACCCTGCAGCCTTTGCAAACCCAGCTCCAACACCCTTACAGTACGAACACCTCCCCAATCCTCCCGACACCCTCATCAGCAACCTCAACCAACACACCCTCCCACTCCCTACCACCGATCTCCGCAACAATAAAAACCGGTCCCAACACCCCCATCACAACCTCCCTCACCGCCTCCACCACCGCCACCGCCAACGGTCAGAACGCCTCCGCCACCAAAAACCCTCCCCCGAAGAAAAAATACCCCTGCCCTCACGCCGTCCGCCACAACTGCACCGACACATTCACGACATCAGGCCACGCAGCTAGGCACGGGAAAAAACACACGGGCGAGAAAAACATCCTGTGTCCTACGTGCAAAAAGGCATTTACAAGGAAGGACAACATGAAACAACACGAGCGCACGCACAGGCACTCCAACAGCAAGAACGATTCCGTTGCAGGCTCCCCTGTCATCGGCAGCGCCAAAGGGAGCCGTCGCGCGAGCTCGAGCGCGGGGGCCGATGCGATGGATGTGGACTCCGATGGCAGTGGAATGGGCATGGAGCCGCCGCGGGCGGGGAGGGTGGCTCGGCCGAAGATGCAGAGGAGCGAGCTGAGCGAAATTATGGAGGGGTTGGATCGCGAGAACGGGATGCACAAGGATGAGGATGCGGATGCGGACGGGGAGGGCGAGAGCCCCGGCTTGGATGCGCTGGCTACCGCGGCCAGTGAGTTGGCTTGATGTAGGCCGAGCCACTGTCGCTTGGTGGAAAGCCCCTTCGTCCTCGACTAGGGGAAACGCAATGTATGGAGTTGGACGGGACGCCCAGGCTGGAAACGGATGGGAGGCAAACGAAATACCCATGATCTGCATATCCTACCTTTTCCGAGCTTATCATTCATGTATCACGAGGCCGTTATCTCCGGCTCATTTCTTGGTGCGCTACTTGCCGCGGGCTCATCAATGCCGGATGCATCACGGAGGTTGGCGATGAATGATTACCTTACACAGGCTATAGACAGACGCTACATTGTCGTCACCAGCAATGGATTTTCTCCATCGAGTCTGTCGATGTCGGCTCTCGTTTCACTTCATGATGTACATAGTCAGTACTAGGGGTTCGAATATTGAAAGCTGCCGCATTAATTCGATCAATGTGCTCCTTCCATTCTACCATCCCGCCGCTCTATGCACGCATCCGATTGGCCCTCCCCAAACCAAACATCTTGCCGAATCCCTTTTCCAGTAGGCTTCCTCGCCATTCCCACACCACCATGCAACCGTCCGTTTGTGAAAAGAGTCCCGGCATCAAACCCGCTACCATCGAGGTTTCGTCCGCTGGAGAGCCAACGCCAGGATTCAAAAGGAGACCATCGTCAGTCAGCCGACGCGGTTTCCGAAGCGCGTCCTGGGTCGAGATGAGAGCCGATGGAAAGAAAAGGGGAAAAGGGAAGGGAAAAAAGGGAAGGGGAAAAAAGGGAAGGAAGGAAGATCCCACCGCTGCTGCTTTTGCCGCGTCCGTGCTCGCTCACGACCGTACCGTACTTCGCGGAAACTTGCAGGATGTGTAGGTCAGAGGACAGGACCGCAGTGTGTGCCATGCCGTCCCTGCACCCGTCTGCAAAAAAGGGGAGACGAAAGGGCGTCGGCCCTCGAGATGGTGCCACGCCGGCGTGGACGACGCGAATGCGTGCGGGAAGGGATCGGGCGAGCTGGATGGCCCTTGCAGGACTACCGCGTTGCGAGGGCCATCCGGCGAACAAAAGGCCTAGGCGGACGCCATCGCCGAGCGACAGGGCGCGGTGGAGCCGATAGCGCGCCTGTCCGGGCCCAACCCCACGTCGCCCCGACGCCGGCGGCGCGGTCCCCGACGTGGCGATCGCGCGGACGGGTTGGCGCCGTCGTCGTCGTCGTCGTCGCCGGCGGCGAAGAAGTCCCGCACGCGGCCGTGGCAGTCCCGGTAGATGGGCGCGCCCCCGCCCGGCGCTGGGCTCTTGAATCTTTCTTGTACGTGCTCCAGCTCACGGACCCGTAGTGCACGGGTGAGAATACCAGAGTCTTGATGGAGCGTGGAAAGTGCTCTATGGTACGAACCGCGACCGGGAAGTCTGCGTCGTTGGTCGAGATGGAGACTTCGTTGAAGAGAGGTGTGGCACCGCGGCTTGTTCGAATGCCTTGGAAACAAGTCGAGCTTGCTTCAGATCGCTTTTGGGCAAAAGGCCCAGTATCTCCGGTGGGGAGTCCATTCTAAACGACTTGGATGTCCGCCGTCAGAGGTTTTGTGATCGTGGTGTGATAGGAAGCGAGGCTGATCGATTGTCCAACGGCGAGATCTGAAGCTCAACTAGTTGGTCCTGGTATGCGTCGAAATGAATGTCGTTAGATAGGCGTCCGGCGGCAGATGGTTGAAGTTGTGTTGTTTTGATGTAGCCGCAAGCGATAGCGAAGTCGGGTGCAGCTGGAAGATTATGTGGCTTGTGGACTGCTGGCTATTAGATCAACTGTAGTGATAGCAAAGATTGTGTCAGGTCAAGGAGTGCGAAAGAGAGGCCCTGAGTGAGAGGAGTAGGGGATAGGTTGAAGAGCGAGCGGTAGGAAGACGTAGCGGAAGATACCAGTGGAACTGATGGGTTTATCTGGACATAGTGTATGTGTCAAGACCATTTGGTATAAGGTGGAGCATGTTCAGTTCTTCTTGAGTTGTGACAGGAGTGCACAAGAAAAACGTGAGATGTCTTCGTCCGGACAACCAAACAACGACTAAGCTACTTTGTTTTGGAGTAAACGCTATCAACCTTGCTGCACATTGTCTGATGGTCCGCCTTTAGGGAAGATGTAAATCTCGGCCAAGATTCTTGATGTCCTGTGTCGAGAAAGAGCCAGAGGCAGAAACTTAATATCCGATTGTTGTTGTTGGGAATGCTTAGCGTCTGCTGTGTAGCTGCTCCTCACAAGACCAATATGCTAATTCAATACCGCGGAAACCCTTTTCCTAGCTTTTACACCCGGTTGTCCTTGGACTCAAAATCCCATCTTAGTCCGAGGTCTGTTTGCAGATTTTTATGTGTCTCCTTTCCATGGCTTCTAAGATGATCCCAAGCATCCCCTAGCGCACCGTACCATGAGAAATCATCCCAACCAGTAGGCCTCTTGAAAACCCTCGCAGTACAAAGATTGGGCCCATTGCGATAGCAGAAGCTTCTCAAGCTCACCTTTAAGAACCACATGTATCACGCGTCGAAGGAACACCGGAGAACACGCTTGGTATCTATTAGAGCGCCTGCTTAGACTGTGAGTAACACGTTTCTGAGGATAGACTAAAGGGTCGGATACTCACAGCAAGAGCCTGTCGTTACTCTGCCTTCTTCCGTTCAAACGCCCAATTTGTAAAGGAATTTCCGCCATTACGCACGAAGAAATCGTCCACATCTCGGTCATCCAAAAGATTCGGCTAACCCACTCCAAGAAGATATGTAGACTGGCACTCTGTAGCTGTAAGAATTGTTTGTTCCGGTGTGCCACATGCTCCCATAATCCTAGCGTCAGATCATGGTTACACAGCTTCCGAGTTTCGAGGCCTGGCGAGGACCCGAGAAAGCCCACCAGCTGATCTTCTGTCGACTGGAGGCATAACAGTCCAAGGGATTTGAGCTTTGAAAACCTGCAGCCCCCTTAGATGGCCTCAAATTGTTCAAATTGGGGCAACTCCCTCTCTGCGAAAGAGAGCTGAAGCTGCTCAAGGTTGATGGCACCAACCAGGGCCTTGGCCACATGTCCTTGGGTATCCGCATCATGTGCCGAGGTCTTGGTTTTGTGCTCTTACTTGGTTAGATTACTCGTGGGCTGATCAAAAACCTAAAGCTCTCTCCGAAATTAAGAGCTCGTGCTTGCGACATGTCAAATGCACTGCAAGACATCGACTATTGCCAGCGCTGATGGCGGGAATTGTCCGAGATGATATTTTAAACGCAAGTCTTCGTGATTGAAAGAGGAAGCATTAAAGAACACCATGCTCTCAAACATCTGTGAGGCAGCCAAAACTCGGTTCCATGTCAAAGAACTCCTCAAATTTGCACACAGGTCCCGAACAAGCAAATTCGGGTTCGGCAAATGTGAGTGACTCTCCAGACGTGTATCGAAAGGTTGGGCAACCAGTGATCTTGATCGTTTGAAGCTTAGAAATGTTGCCAAGAATGAAACAGAGATGTCCGACTAATTCTCCGTTTTCGTTTAAACCTTGCCAATCAACGCGCTGTGCGATGTATCTGGTCCAAGTATGTTCCAGGTGCTGATTGAAGCATTCGGGGGGCTCAATACTCCGAAGATAAATCTCGAAAGTACCGAAGTTCGGAAGTTGTCCAAAGCGTACTCCATGTAGGTTGATCTGAGATCTGAATACCAGAGTGCGAATGTAGCGACCAAAGCAAAGGACAGCCAGGTTCGCGATTTTGAGGTCGGCCCTGGTATCAGAGACGTACACTTGGTCGAAAAGGAGAGGGTTAGCTGCCTGCTCAAAAGACTTGCAGACCAGCCGGACATTGAAGAGAGCAATTCTTTCTAGAGACCCTAAGACGAATCCCAGGAACTCTGGCGGAAGTTGCATGATAAGGCAATCAAAGCTTTCTTTTCTGATCCTATCTCGCGATCTTGGCTTGGTACTACGAACTTCTCACCGAATGGCGAAACGAGGGATGATGATCATCAGGAGAAAGCCAAGAAAGTGCTAGCATCTGGGACCTGAGTACACGACCTAGGCCTAGCCCCTGGCGGTCTTTGTATAATTAGGTCTTGAGTAATGACAGTCTTGGTGCGGGTATGATGAAGTCTGGACGTTGTATGGGACAAAGGCTGGAGGGCATGGGTGAGGTGACTGAATGAGTTACAGTGCAGTGTTAGTGCTAGCGTGTACAATGGCCTCCATGATATACAAACTAAATGACAGACACTTCTACGTCGTTGCGTAGGCGAGTGCTTTAGGAGTATGCGAATGTGCAAAATTTTCAAAAGAGGTTTCCTTGGCGAAATATCACTGATAATCTCATTGCATTGAGGCCATGGAAGCGATGGCTCGATATCCTTTGCAGATGTGGCGATCAAATTTTTGTGGGATATAATTTTGGTACAACCCTTGAAGCTATGAGGGTTCTCAGACAAATACACACCTTGGCCCCATTTGAGACAATCCCGCGGTGATTGCTAATGATATTGTACGGGAGGCAGATTTCACGCGGAAACAATATGCCCAAGGATGATCGAGAAAACCAATGCTGTCTGCTGAACTCCGTTGTATCGAACGAGTAGCTGCTCGACGATGTTGGGGGCTTTGAGCCATCCTCAATGGTATTTGTTTCAGGCTGCTACGAAGTCAACATCTCCAGCGGGGTTGACCATCTGCCGTTTTGCTTTGATATCGGCATCGCACTTGTCTAGCGCTTTCGTCGTGAATGGATTTTCCCCTTGACCGAAGAGAAAGTCGCCAACGTGCCCGTAGTGGTCCGCGTATTCGGTATCCGCCCAGGGCTCTTCGAAGCCACCAAATAGCGAATTGAACTCTGCGTGCTTCAGCAGCGGCAAAGAAGCTCGAATCCAGGCCGCAACCCGCAGCCACAAACCTTCAGTCAAATCGTGGCCGAGGATGGTGAGTTGTTCAAGATTTCTGGAGTGTTTGAGTAGCCGAAGCAATTCTGCCTCCGAGGAAGCAAGTAAGACCAAGGTTAACGATCGGAGTTTGGGAAATCTGC